TGTAAGTTCGCTTGTGGCGGCGGACGCGATTCTTGTAGACCCCGAAGTCGGTCTCTATCCGGTTGAGGTGGCACAAAAAACTCTCGATACGTTCAAATTCGCGCGCTCGTCTCCGGATCAGTTCGTCTCCGAGATTATGATCCAGGTGATTGATGGGTGGAAACGAGTTTTCCCGGAATATCTTGCACAAGACTCTCCATTTATGATGAGCTTCGAAGATAGCCCATGGGGACGGATGGATATGCTGAGGCCCGTGGCCAGACTAGACGACAAGGACGCAAGTCCTATTTGGAAGAACGCTCCTGTTCCGAATTGCCATCATGACCAAAACATCACCTGGCATGATCATGTTGCAGGGAGGCTTCCTGGATTGTCATATTAGTACATACGATAGAACTCCATGATAATAATATTCAAATTCACAGCTCCCCAGTGCTTTCAGCTAAATCATATACACCGAAATCGTACGCCGGAGGGACACCTGCTAGCATGTCTTGCCAGTTCCAAGAAAGAGGAGCGGGCAACGGTAGTGGCCCTGTAGTATGGAAACCTTGATCTATAGACACAATGTTCGAAGACTGAATGTCGCGGCCATCATTTTCAGTCGGCTGGGGAGGATTGAAAAAGGCCGGGAAAGAGTTCGGGAGCAAGTAGTCATTATGTGTCAACATTTGCCCTTGCGGACGAATGGCAACTGGCTGATGACCACTCACGGAGTAGTCTGGCTTGGGATTTCTGGCCCGATGTAACTCTTCCCTGGCTGCACTCTCGAAGTCAGAGCACAGAGCCAATACATAGTCCAGGTATGTATCTTGTTCTTGGGATGCAACCCTTGATATGAAGCTGACCGTCTCTTGGATCATAGAAATATCCAATTCAGTGTCAGGACGCGAAGGATCAATGAGAATTTGGGAGAACAATGCAACCAGGGCTGCTCCTGCGAAGTAAACAATGCTCCTGTATTGTAAATTAGAGACTAGCAAAAGTTCGACACATCAGATGAGCTTACCATTCAAAGGATTGGCCATAGTGGCCTTGGACTTGACTGATCAGTTCAATCGCCGCTCGTGCTGCTTCTATTGATTGCTGCACTGATCTCTCTCGGTCATTCGACAGTCCCGGTGTCCTGAGCCCCTCATTATGTGAGCTGGTCGGCCAGCGCCGAGGAAGTAGACAGACTCGGTGGATATTGAGGTAGCAACAATGGTATGCAAAGTGAAGTCTGAGGATGTGCGGTAGGAAGGCGTGGTGGCTGATCGAAAAGTTCCTTCGGGGCCGGAGGATCGGTGGGATACTTCGTTTCCATGCTTCAAGATCGTCAAAGCAAGCCCCCACATCTTCCATCAACTGTTCTTTGGTTTTATTGAATGCATCAGTGCTATACAGCTCATCGCAAACCTTCCGTTGGATCAAAGAAAATCGGGCTAGCGCGGAGAAGAAATTGATTTTGGCATTCCCGATCTCCATCACACCTAAGGCATCAGGGGGGTTCTCGCGAGGCAGCAAAGTATTGTAATCACGGGTATCTTGTGCAGCAGGGCGGCCGGTCCGCTGACAGATGTCGGCGTCCAGAATGAACGCTATCCAGAAGACTCTTCTCCGCTCTTCGACCTGGGAGACCGGAAGACCAAAGGAGTTGGACTTGTGCAACCCAATAGATTGCGACAGACGTACAGCGGCAGCGGAAAACATGAACAGAGGTTGGGGGTTTGGCGTGCCTTGAAAGAAAATTGCCAGCCCAAGAAGCGCCTGGACAGCGAGGAGATCGCAGGTTCGCATGAAAAGCTCAGTGACCACGTTCATGGCGTTTTTGACATGACCCAGGCATTTCTGCCAGTCATCACTGCTGGCACCGGAGCTCTCTGCCCTTTGCATGTATGCAAAGGCAAGGACAATATTGAATGCAGCCCACCATGAGGGACTTTCATTAGGATGCCATGAGAAGTGTCTGCTGACCATTCCCATGAAACTTTCGGGTCCGAAGAGCGGTAGGGCCTTGTTGAACGTGTCAAAATATTCATGGACAAGATCCAGGATGACCGCCTTGGATGGTAAGGGTTGCGAGCATCTGCTTTGGAAATCATCTTGAAGAGCTCGAGGATACCAGTCAGCTAGCCTCCATCGACTGCCATTTTTCTGAGCGACGTGGCGCCATACATTACTACCCGTTTTGCTTTCAAGCCAGCAAACACCCTCAGGGGAAACGATCGAAAAATGAGAAGATGCACCTAAGTGTCGGTAGAATCAGCCCAGCCATTCGTGCGACCGTTGAGGAACGATATTCGGCGAGCCAATACTCACCAAAAAATCGCATTGCGCCCTTCGGAGTTTTAAGGGTATATGACCCTCTATCGCCATCGCCTCGATCGGCCTCGGCCTCGAAAGATTCTTGAGCGGTCACATTTCTCGGAGATGGTAACTGTGAATCGGATGCTTCTGAGGGTTGGACGTGCTCTAGGCCTGTGTCCTCGTCACTCGGCAGTCGCCGTCTCTTGGACGCATGTGCTTCATTCAGTTCGTCTTGTAGAGACTGAATGCGCTGTTCCAGCTCGTGATAATGTTCCTCACTGTGAGTGATGGAATATGCATTAATCTAAAAGCCCCAACAAGTCAAGCAGAACATACCGGTTGTGCTTTTTCTTACGCCGCACGGTGTCCTCGTACTTGCAGGGTAAGTCGAATGTTCTGCAGGGGACACAGACTGGCCGAGTCCCATCACATTTGACTTTCTTCCGTCTGCATATACTGCACGCCTTTGTAGCGTATGCAGGTCAGCATCCAATTACAGTCGTTCCCTCAGTATATGGGGCCATGGGAGCCATCTGGGGGCCAGTCGATACCTTGGCAAGGCGTACAGCGTCGCTGGTGTTCCCATCCATAATACAAAACAATTGTGTAGTAACACCAGAACTGTTTCTTCAGAATTGCAATCCCTACGCGGCTCCAATGATCATGATTAAGAAGTGTAGGTTGAGGCAACATCAGGGTCCCGACTGAGATTCAGGCGTTCAGGCTTTGAGGCGTTCAGGCATCAATGCTGAGTCATTATTGATGCCTCAGGCCGGAAAGATGTATATAGTTAGTAAATCGGATTTAACACTTCCCCTCCATAGTCAGCTCCGGCTGACAGGCTGTGATCCCTGTAAATTGTGTGATTGAAGCTTCTCATCAGGTGTGCTCACCGTGGGATATCCACCGGGGAGGATCACCGGCCTGCCGAAGGAGTGGCCTAGAACATTGATCTTGGCTTTCTGGAAGACTTAGGCCTTCGAACATCCTAAATCAGTCTGCATAGCGAAACGACATCTTTTTTTTATTCATGAATCTAGAACTCCTTTTCATGATTAACCTTTATGCGACACTGTTTGTAGATTTTGAATAGCAGTCCTGAATGAAAAACCAGTGCTATAGTAGGAAACCGGAGAACTAGAGCAGAAGTTATGATATCACTCTATGTTAGATCAGACTAAAATAGCAATAACCTATTACCGTTCATCAAACTATGAATCTCATAATATGAATCATTTGATTCAAATTGGGCAATCCTGTACACCTTGTACTCCCCTGATATAGGTTCCGTCAATGTACTTTGATCCTTGTGTATCAGCAAGAGTTCAAGCTCGCGAAATATGTGCATAGTTTGAATCTGTTCACCAAACTCTCCCATAGAATCAGCTATGCCAAGATCTATTTACTGAAAGCCATCACGATGCAACGGGATGTTACTCTGTATAACAACCCAATCTCGCCACAGCATATAGCCGCGAACCATAATCAAGCATAAATGGATTTGTAGAATGATTGCTCATTGACCGCCACGACTATTGAAATCTTGTCGCACAATTCAGCTATGTCTTAGGTATCTGTTTGCGCTACCTTTACTCTACCTTTGGTGAATGGTTGTGGTCCAGGTCATTGTCACACTATTGTGTGCATGACAGACTGGGCCCTCTTGACTAAGGTTACTCTCTATTTAGGAACTATATCCAAAGGCAATGTAACCGTAAATCAGAAAGGACTTCTACCGGTCAAGCTGAGACATATATCGATCAATGAGAAAAACCAAGCTGCGGCGAAGACCAGCTCATGGAATCCATTGGCTGATTTCGAGCTCGTGGCGATGTTGCTGTTCACATTGTTCCAAAAGCCTCATTGTCAAGGAGTAAATATGGTTGCAATAACAGAACATCAATGCAACCTGTGGCTGGATTATATTCCCCTGCATGGTTATTTTGTAGGTACGGTGCTTCCCAAATCGTATGGACTTGTCTGACAAGGCAAAATATCACACTAAACATTTGATCTTTGATATCTCGGGGTCTAGTAAATCCCACATATAAAGGCAATAGATCATCCCTTCAAGCCTTTTTCTTTTCATCAGCAACACTCTTCAGCTTCATTGCCAGTCTCCAGCCACATAATCAACAAGTCCAAGCGTGCCTCGAAAGCCCACAATGGTTGCCATCGGTATCCGATCTCTCCTCTGCATTCTAGGAATTGCTTCCCTTGGCACGTCTGCCGCCGTCGATAATACCGTCCAAGCCTGGCAGCTGACCCAATATTGTGAGTTGAGCTAAAGTAAAGCCCCGCCATCTCAAGCTAAGCTGATGCAAAATCAGGTAACGAGTTCTATACTGTCAGTAACGGAGACACCTGCTGGGACATCATCGCCCGGTGCCAGAATAAGTTCACCATGAGCCAGCTTCTTTGCTGGAACAACGATATCAACCCATGGTGCTCGAACTTGATTCCAGGTCGACAGGTCTGTATTGGAGTCGAGACTCCTGGGCCTGTCTGCTAGATAATCAGGTTGGTGGCTGGATTGCCGGCATTATAATTCAACAAAGTGAAATTCCTGACATCGCCGGAGCCTTGGATCCCCAGATTGTTTGATGGAAATAATGAGAGAATGATTTTTGAGTTCTGACTTTTGTTTGCGCTGTTATTACAGATGGTCATTCATTGAATCAAAAATTTGAAGCTTGCTGGTATTGATACATTTATGCACTGTTTCTGTTCCAGGGATTGTGTAGAAATTGTCTCATCGTAATTGGCTTCACCTCTTGGAACCGAATATTGAGACGATCGCCGGGCAATTGAAAGACATTATTGACTGTGAGCCTGCTCACCAACGCAGTCACCTCTTTGAGTTCGTCCGATGAGCATCCCATTCCCTCTGGCTGGGGAGGGACGGTGACATCACCAGTCTTGATTTGCTCCAGACTATCATAAGTTACCTTGAATTTTTTGCCTGTTTCAGAGATTATTATTAGGTTGTGGGTGTATCTCGAATAAGGGCGTGCGATATGCCTACCGGTGAATTCTTCTGCCATGCCGAGAATCTGGTTGTAGGTAACTTCGTCCCCAACGATTATACTGAATTCAGGCCACTCATCAAGGTCAAGTGCTTTGATCAGGTAAACAGCCATATCGTACGTGTATGTCATACAGATCATGTTAGTCCCGTCACCTGGGATTGCGGCAGTGCCACTGGATATATCAATACCAAAGGTGAAGGGCTGCAGGTGAGTTTGGACATGTGGCATTCCCCAATAGTCCATAAAGAAACCAGGGATTACCCTCGTGTATTGCAAGCCACTAGCCTTGAGACGATCTGCCGCGTCAAGCCAGTATTGAATGCTGGGGTCAATCGGAAGTAATCTTGGAAGATTTAATATCAGCATGCAATGGGATACAGCTGAAGTTGGCTGACCTACTCCGTGGTTTGGACGAATGAGTATTCACTGGGGATAAATCTTTTCGTTGAAGCTGACCTCTCTGCAGCTTCGATCAAGTTCAACTGAGACTGACTTGCCTCATCGGAAACAAGACCAATGGCAGATATAATTGTGTGGATGTTGTGTCGCTCAAGCGCACGTACCATTGAGGGAATATTGTCGTAGTTGATCTGGACATTTTGAATATTCTGCGAAGCAAAGTCCTGTTTCACATGAGCAGGAGGTCAGTTACTTGCTTAAGTGGAAAATATCTCTACTTGCGTACACTGCGAGACAAGACGACAATATCAAATTTAGAGTCGAGCAATTTTTCAACAATAGTTTTGCCCACTCCACCAGTTCCACCAGCCACAGCAATGACCGTCATGATTGAGAAGTCTTTAAAAGTTGAAATAGTTGAAATAGTCCGAAATTGTCACGGAAGTGTTCCCCGCGATAACCCCACTAAGCAGATTCTCACGCATTTACTACTTCTATTTCTACTTCTACTCTCGAGTCTACGATGTAGAATAACCTGTGTTTCAGACTCCTTATCTGCATATAAACTCCAATCAAATCTCTCTAAACCCCTCGGGGATTCGGGCTTCAGACATCGGCGACTTCAGGGCTTCCCCCAGCCGTGACGGCTATGACTAATATCGGAGGGAAAAGCATATAAAAGCCCAAATCTTCCGACGGTTCCACTTGATCTTCCCTCTAAAACCAATATACAAATCCAATCTCATCATGTGTATGAAGGCTACCTGCTCGACCTGCAGTGAGTTTCCACTCTCTGTGTCCACAGAACAACAACTAATTATCACAGACAAGGTCACCTGGTGGGGTTGTGGGAGCCATATCCCTTCGGTGATGGACTCTGTTCCCGAAGGCGAGTGGTGTGCCTGTACTCCTCAAGTTGAGAAGGATGGGAAGAAGTACCCTCCCAAGGCGGCGAAGGCCGGCTGACTACAAGGCTGTGTGATTTGTTAGTTCGAGAAAGTGAGTGCCACATGTACTCGAGTACGGGAGCCTTGTAAGGGATTTTATCGACATAGCCTGGATCTCAACGAAATTCAAGGGAAGGGGATTTGATGGAATTCAGGAGATCGGGGCGAGATTTTATATGTCAATTGGAGCAGATGTACAACGAAAATATGACGAAAGACAAAATCAAAAGTCCAAATCCAAAACAAAATCCAAATATGTCTGATACGGAAGCCAAAGAAGTGAGGAACCACATCGAAAACCAACAAAAAAGCAAGTAAAAAGCGAACAGGCGAGTCGATGTACGGATACCAAAACACTCGACACTAAGGGCCCACTCCCTTACCCTTCTTCTTTTTCCCTCTCTTCGCTGGTGCCTTCGGTGGCAGCGGGAGCGTGGGTCCTTGGACTGGTGGTAGATTTGCGGCTTTTAGCTGCTCTAGTACAAAATGAGCTGGTGGTCCACCCCCTGGAGCTGCAGGAGCGGAAACCAGATATGGCGGTGGCATTGGCACAAAGCCAATTGGCAGAGCCGGCAGCAGCCTTAGATCTCTCTTGTTATCACAAACATAGAGATTTCCCTGCCCGTCTGGGCATGTTGCAGTGTAGAGCGCAAATCGCAGGAAAGGCCCCGAAAGAGGCATTCCGAATTGAGGCCCCAGTACAGACTGGATAACACAGGCCTGTACTCTCATCCAATGGGACAAAGGCCCACCGCGGCGGTCAGTCAGACGGACATCAACCTCCACAACCTTGTGACATGACGTGCCGCCAGGGATATCCATGATAGTATAGCCCTGAACGTAAACGGGGACACCTATCGCCTCCAGCTGGTCTATATTGCATTGAGGTATCGCCATTATATCGGCGCCAGTATCATGACACACATATAGGTTGATGCCAGAAACGCCAGGAAGTTGACTATCAACCGATATATCCACCGGGAACTATATCGAAAAGAATCGAACGTCAGAAAGAAGAAATAATAAGTTAAGAGAACAGTATAGACACTGTACCTCAACCGTGTGAAGGGGGTTATGCGGCGGAAACGAGTGAAACCCCCCTAAACTGATACGACCCGGAGGTTGGAGCTATATATAATATCTCGAGTCAGAATTAAGGATAATGTTTGCATGTGTTGATGATCAACTTACACCTTCTACCCACCACGCTTTAGTGGTATCGTACTGCTCAGCCAGGTTCTTATGAAATTCCGCGTCGAACTTCTGGGGCTCATTGAGCTGCACGCCATTCGACCAGTAGCTGACCCATCCTCTCGACCACCCCAATTTTCCTTCCCTGTAAGCTTTGATGAGAGCTTTGACATTGGGAAGCTGATTATCTGGGTCCCCATCCGTATTGAGATGGGTCTCGATATCTTTCAAATGATTCAGGCGTCGAACAATGTCCCAGCTGAGTCCGGCTGGTTCAGAATGGATCATTTCATCGCGAGCAGCCCTTCTTCTCTCATACTGTGACAGTCTGAACTTGAAGAAGTCAGGCAAAATTCCATCGCTGATCCTCTCCATACATCTCTTAATTTGACTATCGATGTCGTTGATGTCGAGATCTAGCTCGTCGGCGTTCCAGCCTTCTGGAACAAGCGCTGGATTGGTAATGGGCTCGTTCCCATTGTGTTTCCATCGATGTTGTCTCGGAGGACGGGAAGACCCTTCATGCTGGCCCCCTTGAGCCATCAGGCTGTAGTCAACATAGTCGGAGTTCTCTGGGGCGAGGGGCAAATGACTTTCACCTTCGTCTGATGAGAAGTCAGGGGAAGAGGAAGGAGAAGGAGAACCCCCCCTTTTACCATTGATCGGTTTGCGCTTCTTGGTAGATTCCTCGTCCACAGGGGGCTCTGAGTGCGCCCGCTTCGTGCTACGGCGATGAGGCATCTTGATAAAATCGGAGATGAACTTTTTGACACGGGAGGAGAGGGCCCGGCAACTTGGGATGAAGAAGAAGCATTGAGATGGGGGATATAGATGAAGATATTTGTAGTAGACATCCTGGGAAATTGAGTCAGACCGGGACAAAGAACGATGAATCGAAATGACCTATGGAGTAGGGGAAGGTAATCTCTGCGCGCTTGTGTAGATGGAGACGAACCCCTCGACGGAGCCATTTCCAAAGGTGCTATTTTTGGATTTCCAAGAAGCCCATGCGCTCGACAACAAAGAAGCCGAGAGAGTAACTCTGGGATCTCGGGCGTGCGGCTCATCAATGGAAATGACTAGGTTGAAATGTGCTCTCTCGGAATCCAGCCCATGGTGTTGCTTCAACGTTCTTTGTTTCATCTCGACGTACTCCGTACCCATAAGTCCTATCCGGGGACGGAAGGGGCGAATCAAAGAAGACGTTAAAGGACAGGGCGTATTTGCCAAAACATACTAGGGCGAATAAGTAAGGCGCAACAGATGACCTGGGGTATAGTTCCGGTAGTCTGGTATAGCGTAGCGATTTTGAGCTTCTCGCTCGCCAACTCCAGAGATGTGAAAGACTTGCACACTCTCTTCGATCTCTAGCGCTTTGACCAGCCATTGGAGAGAATTATAATGCTAGGAAGGATACCATCAACAGCCTGTGCAATGGCTCCAGAAAAGTGGAATCGTCAAAACTCGCTTACGAACACCGGGCCAATAGTGACGAATTCGGAATCTTAGTCTTCGTTTTTTTCGGAGAAGTATCACTTCTTTGTCCCCCAAAGTACCATTTCAGACGTTAGTGGTGTGAAAGAACAATATTGAAGTCACAAAGAAGCTGAATCCCAGGTTTCATGTCAGCCAGAAGCCCAATTGTACGTTCGAAGGTACGACCCATGAGGAGGCTGGTCAATGAGCTTCAATAGTGTGCCCCGGAACGCCGTCGAAAGAAATAAGATGGGACCCAAGCTGGAAAGTGTGGTCGATGGTCTCTTTCATGCTAAAGAGACGCTGATAATGTGAATTAACTTGGGGATCCGGCCATGCCCCAGGACTGTCAACTCGCTTCGCCTCCAAGATTCTCAACATGATGTAAAGCAGCCGCGTCCTGAGAGATCAGGCCATATTTTTAATACGTCTGACCTCATCAATGAGGTGGACTTTGGAAGAGGGACACATAACGATGAGGTTATCAAGTATGTATTGGATACTTCCTCAGTATACATAACTCTACAAGCAGCTCGCACACCAGAACGAAAAGCTAATCCATAAGCCGTCAATTTCTAACCAGTATGCACCTTGATTCTTTCTCGATCGTTTCCATACGTGAATATCATGTAGATCAATCACAAAAAAAGCGCAGAAACGGGGCAATTTTTCCGACCTAAAAAAAGGGGACGGTCGTACTAACACGAAGGGGATGACAGGAATAAAAAAGAAACCATGAAGGGGGAAAGATAAAAGAGAAAGAACATGCCATTACATCAGAATCTAAGCCTTAATCGCTGCGCCCAATGCACCACCACCGAACTGCTGGCCACCAGGTCGGCGATCGCCCTGGGGAATGCGGGCACCGCCACGACCACCGCCACGACCGCGACCACCGCGGCCGCCACGGGCACCGGGACCGTGTTCGCGCTGGAAGGCATTGGCCATACCCTGGGTGCGCTGCTCAAGGGTCTTCTCGTTGGACTCGAGGAGGTTGGTGGACTTGTCGGCCAGGGTGACAATCTGGGACTGGAGACGGGAGAGCTCAACGCCCTTGCGGAAGATGATGGCGTCGTTGACCTGGTCGAGAGCGGCAGCGAGCTCTTCGTGCGAGATCATGCGGGAGATGATGGAGACGATCTTCTTGGGCTCGAGCTCGAACATGGTGGCCAGAGAAGAGATGGAGAGGCTGTCGTAGTAGGGGGCGTAGGTGAAGAGGTAGGTGCGCAGACCCTCCTCTTGGGTCTGGCGGGACAGCATAGCCTTGATCAACTCGGGCTGGGGCATGAGGTCCCAGATCTTGATCGCGGCGAAGGTAGAGGCGGAAAGCTTCCAGTCACCAGCGGCAAGAGCCTTGGCTCCGGCAATAACACCGTCGCGGGTGTTCTCGGGGGGACCGGTGAAGACCTGACGCTCATTGTAGTCCAACATGCGGCGGAAGGTCTTGGAGATCATGCGGCGACGTAGCTCGGGGGCGGAGGAGGTCTGGGCCATCAAAGGCACCTCAAGCAAAGCACTGCTGGTGAGGTAAACGCACTCGAGCAACTCGAGGTTGATGTGCATGTGGAAGGGCAGCTGGCGCTGGCGTTCCAGGCGCTCCTGCTCAGGCGAGACAGTGGAGTAACGCTGCATGATGATACCCTGGGCAAGAAGCTCCTTTTGGCGGCCGCTGCCGCAAATCTCACCAAGGGTGTTCTGGGCCTCGTAGATGAGCCCAGCACGGAAGGCACAGAGACCGATCTGAACAAGGGTGCGGTTGAAGAGGATCTGGGTGCTGACGTCGAAAGTGGCGATGTTTTCAGTCAGGTGAGACATGAGCATCAAGTCACGAGACTTGTAGTATTGGTCGTGCAGGGCAAGGAAGTAAATTTGGCAGAGCATGGCGCGAGCGCGGGGAATGCCATCGCTGTGTTCGAACATGTAGTTGCAGATGGAAGCCACAAGGCTCTGAATATCCCCAGACTTATAGGTAGCAGTAACTGCTGACTCGATATTTGTGGGAACTGCCTTGTCCTTGGCCTGCTCGACAATGGCAATGACATTGGCGGGCTTGAAGTAAATGTGCTCCAACCGTCTGATAACCAGTCTGTTCATGCTGTCCTGGCCATTCTTATCGGCACCCTTGAGACTTTCAACGTAAAGCTGTGAGCGAACAAGGGAGGAGTAAAGTGCCTGCTCGTCCGTCAGACGCTCAATGTACTCTGAGGTGTGAGGGTCAATCTCCCGGAGACCCTTTGTGAGACTGTCATCGAGGTGCTCCACAAGGGATACAACGGAACCGGGAATGAAGAAGGTCTCGCCCTCAGCAACAGTAGGCTGCTTCTCATCGTCCTCCCACTCGTCGGCGACTTCGCTGACAAGGAATTGGCGGTTCTCTTCCAACACGGAAAGGAGAGCAGAGTATTCCTCGTTTGCGGCCTGCCATTGCTCACTTGACATGTAGGTGGCGGCGGATGTGGCAGTAAGATCGAAGCGGGTGGAGATCAGGGTCATGTATGTGCGGATGCGTTGGTAAGGAGTAGTGGCGACCTCGAGGAGCTTCTGCATGGTGCGGATCTGGTCGGCACGGTCGGTGTTCTTCTTTCCGCGGGACTCGACAATGACACGGAGGTGCTTGAGGATGCTCTCAGGGGTGTACTGGAGAGTCTTGCCGCCACGTCCAACCGTGGCGAATCCATCATCCTCACCGCCAGCAGCAGCAGCAGCAGCGGCCGCGGCAGCGAAGCTCTCAATCCTCTCGACCTTCGTGGGCTTGGGGGCAGGAGCAGGGACGGGCTTCTCCTCGACCTCATCCGCCATGAAGGCATCCTTATCGGCACGGTACTTCTCGATCAGGGTGGCGTATTCCTTGTTGTTCTTCTTAATCTTCTGCTTGACCGCGTTGAAGCCCTTGCTGTTGCTAGCATTCATCTTCTTGTTCGAGGCCTTCTGCTTGGAAGCGGTCTCGTTGGTGAAGTCTTCGAGCTCGGCAACGGCCTGGATGTAGACCTTGGGGATGGGGCCGGTAATCTTCAACATCTGACGGTTCAGGTTGTCGAACTCTGTGGAAAATCATGTCAGTTCATGCCATTCCTTGGGCCTTCCAATTTTGCTGGCTCTCCAGTCCTTCCGGGCAGCGTGTGGACTCACCAGTGGCGATAACAGCCCAGTCGTTGATCTTCTCAGCGTTATCAATCAGGCGGATGGTGCTCTCGAGGCCCTCGAGACGCTTGTCCTTGGCGGACTTGACGATTGTGACCTTCTCCTCCTCCTCACTCTCTTCGCTATCGGTATCATCGTGCAAGAACTTGGAGGCACCGGTGCGGCCCTCCTCGCCCTCCTCGTCGCTGTCGGTGCTGGAGCCGGAGTCGGTCTCATCCTCGTCAGAATCTTCCTCGCTGCCGGAGTCGGAACGGTAGACCTCCTCCTCCTCGTCAGACGAGCTGTCGCTGTCGCTGCCGCTGCCGTAGAAGAAACGCGACGCCATGGTTGCGGTTTGCGGTTTCGTTAAAAGGAAATGGCGATCCTAAAGCTGAAAAATCAGGTCGTCGGCGATACAAAGTTGAAGTTCCCGCAGTTGAGAGCCACACACGAAATTTAAGCGAGGGGCTGACTAAACCATATTAGGAATAGCGCATAACAAGGAAACAGTGACGGCCTTTTTTATACTTCTTTTATTGCCTTGACTTGCTTCTGCTTGATTGGTTTGCCCTTTTTGACTATTTGCTAAGTTTGAGGCAGTACGAATACATTCGAAAAGGCGCCTTTAGACAACTCGAGCTGCTTTAAATTGGGCAACTGGCCTCTCGACTGCCTCTAATCTGAGAATGAAGGCCTGACCGATCAGGCAGGCGCAAGGAAAGAAATCTCCAATTACATACTAACTACATGTATGTACATGACCATGCAGCGAAAGCTGCACTCATCAACTCATGGTTGTTCCATTCATCATTGCACTATTAGTTCTACTATTTACTGCATATAGAAAATAAAACGAGGAATCCCCTGGAAGAAATGACATGCCATGACATACGACCGAAAAACTTACCTCGACAAAGAGAAAAAAGATAGATCAACATTCCCGGAAAGATCCGAATTAATTGACAGTTACGAGATGAAAAAAAAAAGAAATTGATAAGATCGTTCTTTCATGCTCCTCCAGGCTATGCTCAGAGAGAAAAATTCACGAAAAGAAGGTAGACAGATGTGCCGAAGCACTGCCTAAAGAAATTGCAGCAACATAATTGGGATCGTAACACAGCAAGAAACGTAATGAAACGCAATGAAATAGTGATGATGATGATGATGATGATGATGATGCGGGGAGTGATATCTCGCGGCGAAGGATTTGGCCGCTGATGGGCACAGCTCACGGTGAGTAAGCGTGCGGATCGATCTAGCGCTAGGTAGCAATGCAGATCGTGTATCAGCGGTCCGAGACCATTGTTGACCACGTTGACCCACTGAAGGGATCTCTTTCTTGACTCATACCTACAAGAGCCGGCCACATAAGAACAGGTTGGCTGGCAAGGAATGAGTCAGCAGAGCAAGGCTTACACAGTGCCTTGGGGGTCATTGCACCCGTGGACAAAATATATCAGTATGCCTGCTCCCGAATCGTAGGAAACGCTGGGCACGAGGAATGCCCTTTTGCCCCGATGCCCTAATGCCATTGATTCTGACCCATGTATCCTTCGCTGAGCACACCATCTTCGAGGGTGCGAATGAAATCCCGGTTGCGTTGGTTCCCATTCCCATTACCCGCTCGGCTGCCACGACGCCGTTGACTGCCGTTAGCATCAACGTACCCGTCAGGAGGTGGTGGATAATACGCAGGGCTGGGCTGCAATCGAATCGGTGCGTTCGGATCCAGGTGGCTAGCAACTCGTTGGATGGTAGTCGGGATTCCTCCGTTAGGGTCCATGGTGGACGCTCGTTGACGGCCTGCTCGTGTGGTCGCCTGTGCATAGAGACTTTGGGGAGGTGCCTGATTGCCTGGCACCATTCCCATTTGATGACCGTAGCCAGGCGGCTGCTGGGTAGGGTACGGAGGAGGCGGCGCACCTTGTTGGTACATGCCATTGTACATGGGCGGGGCTTGCGGCTGGGGCTGAGGTGGAGTATGGAATTGGTTCATCTGCACGGCATAGGCATTTTGCGCATGCGCCGCCTGAGCTGCTCTTTGTTTGCTAGCGGCCTCGGCCTGCTGTTGTTGTTGAACCCCCGGAGCCGGCTTATTGGCCGTCGAATACTTGAGGTTCATTGGTGGCATGAAGGGCCCCGTGAACTTCTGCTGGGTGATAAACGGGTGCAGCTTGGCTTGTTGTGGTGACCATCGCTCGAGAGGATTGGTCGACAGGAGTCCCCGCACAAAGTCGATGAAAGCGATGCGATTGTTCAGTTCTGTAATAATTAGTCAAGTCCCAGGGTAAAAATAGAAAAGAAGCCTACCTCGATCAATCTCTGCTTGCTTCATATTCTTCCGAGGCATTGGGTAACTTCGGATAATCTCCTCTAGTGTCGAGGCTGAGAAATACTTCTTGCTCGGTTGTTCCTTCGTGTTGTGTTCTCGGGAATACTGCTCCAGGCTCTTGAGGCGGTAGGTCTTTCGTCCGAACTCGTCCTGTGTCTTTTCGAAAAACTCTCCCGACTGCTTGCCCATCTCCAACATCCATGTTGGCGGGATACCCAGCATTTCGACGATCCGACAGATTTGATTGTACTCCGAAGAGCCAGGGAACAGAGGCAGACCCAGGAAGAGTTCCACCACGATACACCCAAGAGACCACATGTCAATGGCAGATGAGTAGCTAGGAAAAGATTAACAAGGAACGAAAGAGATCAGACTAAAGTACGTACGGCAGACCTAATAGTACTTCTGGGGATCGGTAAAATCGCGATTGAATGTAAGTGTAGACAGTCTGGCGTTCATCGCACGCAGAGCCGAAGTCAATGACCTTGATAATTGGGCTCTCGAGGCTGTGAACAGTTAGAAACCGATTCTGGAAGGTAACAGACGATACTGACTTTTTCAGGAGAATATTCTCCGGCTTCAAATCACAGTGAATCAGATGCGCTTTGTTCAACAAGCTCAAGGCATTCAGCAGTTGCTGGGCAAACACCCGGACAAGGGTAGTGCTCAATCCACGGAATTGGTTTTGTTTGATCAGCTCATAAAGATTAACACTGAGCAATTCAAATGCGAGACACAAATGCTGCCGGTGGATGAATGTGTCCTTGAGACGAAGCAGGTGGTGGTCGTCGTTCTTGTCATATTTGCTGTTGAGCTGCGGGGAATCAGCGAGCGTTCGGATGACAAGGGTTGGGGACTACATCATACCAGATCCAACACAGAAACTTCCATCATACTCTGGTTGAAGTAGGCAGTCTTGTTCTTGATGACTTTCACAGCAACTACTTCTCCCGTTTTCAAGTTCTGGCATTTCACGACTTGGCCGAAGGTACCTTGACCTAGAACATCGAGAATGAGGTACCGATTTCTAGATCGGCAGGAGAAAGGATTGTTAGCACAAAGGTCGGCTATCCAGGGGAGATGGGGGCATACTTGTGACCGGCTTCCTCGCTGCCAAGGATGTCATTGACGTAAAGAATATAATCGCTGTCCTCGTTGTCATATCCATCATTCTTGACCCCTTTGCTGGGTTTGGTCAATACTCGCCGCGGGTTTCTCGAAGACTCATAGTTGAAACCAGGGTTGCATATGCGGTAGGTGGCCGGGAGGTGGGTTGTCAACGATTGAAGCGGCTGAACGGGTTAGTCAAAGCAACGATAGGCTGAGGTCTGCCGACCACTCACGCTGATGAATCCACCCTCTGGATTGGCGCGCCGATATGCGGGCTGTACATTCATGCGCGGCTTCAGTTCTTGCACAGACTGGATCTTTTGGAACTTGGGAACGGGACCGCGACCGGGCACTTGGGGGGCCTGAGATGGTAGCGAGCCGGACCGCGGAGATCGCGACCCTGGACCGAAGCCTGGACTCATGTGTGAAGATGCGGATGCCGGGTAGTACTGGTTTGGGCTGAGGTCGCCGGATTGAAGGGGAGGGAGTCTAGGGGGCCGGGTGGCTGTCGAGACGTTAGCAAACGGGGCACGGCCAAACAAGTGACTGAGCTCGAACTGACATGGCGGCGATTGATATCCTTGTGGTGGTGATGCATATTCTGGTCTCGCAGGGGACCGGCGGGAAGCACTCTGGGGTGCGGATGGGAATCCATAGGAGCCTTGGGACTTGCCAGGACTAGTGGGATATGACATCGGCGGCGAAAGGACATTCCCCGGAGAGTATCTGCGAGCAGCCGATGATTCCTCTGCTTGATTCAGGAATTGTGACGAAGCGCGATTGTGGTTTGCCCTCGAGGGGTACTTCGCCCGGTTGTACGGGTCAGCGTCCTCCATGGTAGTATCCGCATCGGTGACATAATCCCGAGTACGTGGCGTGGCGGTGGGGGAGGAAGCCATGGAGACAGTTTTGGAATTTGAGCCAGCCGAAGGGGCTTTGGATGTCGTGCCGGGGGTCTGGAAAGTCTCGTACGTGTATCCAACGGGCGGCTGTGACTGTGGTGGCTGACCGTATTTCGAGGCGAGTTGCTGGGGATGAGATGCCAACGCAGTACTGAACTGCGCAGGGTTGCCCATCAAAGGATCTTGGTAAGGCTGCCACCCAGGATCCATTTTGTGAGAACCCTCTTTTTGGGCCAACAAATGGACTCGGGGTCCGTGTTCGTCTGAAGCACTGCGATCAGGGTCCGTGGGATGCCAGCGGGGGCCAGCACTCGTAATGCGACCGCAGGTTCGAGGCGAATCTTGACGGAATTCGAGGGACAGAAGATGAAAAGTAGGGAATTGGCGTTAAAAAGAGGTCGTGCTATGCTTCATAATCTGAGGAATTGTTGGTGAAGACAAGTTTTGAAGAGGAGAGGGGGGCGGTCGCAATTTGGTTGCGACGCAGTAGACGTAGGCGGCTGGGTGTTTAGCCAAGTCAATAGACTTGTCTTGGGACCCGGTGAAAACGGGAAATCAAAGACACTGCTGGCATCAACAGATGTATTAAACAATAACTTGGCTCACTGAAGCATAGAGCTAGCTACTAGGTAGTATGTAGCCAGAGATCAAGAAGAGGAGGGGAAGATGAGTTGAGTTCTAGTGAACTTTGCCAGGTCTGGATCTACATAGTAATATCATTCCCTTTCTCTCTCTATATATATACTTGGAAGGTATTCTATCTCTGACTATACAATGTGCACAGATATATTCAAGACCTGCCAAAGTCTCAACATTTGTACTGGATTGTGGTCTCCTTGGCGACGTGACTCTTTCCACATGATCGACACTCCATTGCGTACCCAACTACCAGAGCGCCTTTTCTTTCCGCTACTGAGTGGCTTGATCTGATCTACACGGTTCAACAGATTTACCACCAATATCAAATGAGCTAAGGAGCCACGGGGTATCTTGTCGGTAGTGTTTTATAGAGAGGCTGTGTGACGTCGTCGATCACATCGGGAGCCCAAGACTTGGATGAGTGATTTCATTGTTGGGAATAATGACATGGTATTCCGAATATAGAGATAGATAATCAAGAAAAAACAATTTCAATCGTTTCAATCGTCACAACCCTTTTAGTGCTCTCCTCTTGCCACTTTTTGCTCTGTACAACTGAGCAGATCTGTATTAAGTTTATCCAGCTTGGACACGGCCAAATTGCTCGGACATTGCGATTATGGATATGAAAGACGTGAAAGACGAGAAAACATGTCTATACCATCTCTATATGGAAACGTATGGCTACCTAGGTAGTCGCTCCTTCTGTCTCTTCCTTCATATCTAATTCATAATCTGATCTATTTGGCTTCAGGTATCTTTCAGGTGCTTGTTTTAGGCTATACCGCCGCTTTGCGCTGAAGGCTATTCACAACAGTCTTGTCTCTGATCCTGTCATCCTTGCCTCCTGAGGTGGAATCTCTTATTGAGAGGAGTGAAGAAAAGCTATTTATGGGGGTCTAGTCCCCATGGACAGTGCACGTCCGATCTTTCTCACATTGTGATATCCGCAAGTGGACCGCCCTAGAAAGCTGGAAATACGGCACAGATACAGTGAGAGCTAAACTCCGTCACCGTCACTGCTCCCCTGTGAACGGGTGGTATTCCATCGGCCCTTCCCTCTTGCAGCTCCAGTTTGCCAATGAACCAGAATGGCATACCTATGGCCTCACGCCATGCATATAAATTTCAAGTTCGAGTACTGGTATCGGTCCAGAACTCGGGCCCGGGGCAGGATAGAATGACTAAGCTTTCGATGAGTCATTGAGATGATTCACGTGAGCGGTGTCACAGGCGGTGGCCCATTGTGCCAATGCCTCTGATAGAGATCTAGCTATTCATCTAGACTTATTGTTGCCTGTGCTATTGTACTGTTGTATTTGTTCTTTGAGCAATCGCCATGTTCCACCTTGCCTTAGGCAAGGTATTTTAGTCTCTCACTTCTTCTCACTTAATACAATCTTTGTTTGGACAACTTTCACAATGTCTACGAACGAGGAGGCAAGTCGCTTGCGTGACCTCCAAGCAGACGTTCGTGACCAGGATGATCTTGAGAGAGATATCACTCGCCAGGTATGACCCAGTCCTCAATGGACAAATATTTTGGGCTTACATTTCTCTTTCTTTAGGCCGATAAAGCCCTGGCCGATAAAGCGGAAGAGAATGACATCAAGCGGCTTGAGAAAGCCCTTGTGGATCGGGAGTAAGAGCGCTTGCCCTGAGAGTCGATGACATTACTAACTGAACCCATAGACGGGTGGATTCGCAGGTCCGGCAAGCGCAGCGGCGCTTGACACAGCCTGTCGGAGCCGCCACTCGCCATCGCGTCGAGAATGAGCTGAAAAGGCTGCAAATGCGCAAGGCCGATCTAGGGAAAGACCTGAAGGACATACAACAGCGCATCGATGAGAGACGCGAGTCGCAGGGCAATTCGACGGTGGCACACGGGTCAGGGCGACAGCCGAATGAGTCCCGCCGCGACTATCTCCTGCGAACCGGAAAGATCACCCCGTTTGCATTGATGCAAGAGGGTTCCAGAGATGGACCACTTGCTAATCTTCACGATGCACTTGTTGATGCGGAGGACCAGCAGCATGAGGAGGAGGAGCGCGAACAAGCCAAACATCAGCCAGCCGTCTCTCACCGGGACCTTGCGCGTCCAGACTTCGACTTTGACGAGAGCATCGAAAGCAAGAGGAAGCGGAGGAAGGTAGATGGTCGTAGATCTCCGGGAGCAGATTCTTCGGCAAGTTATGTTGTCTCTGATGCTGATGCCACATCTGAGGGTGAAGAGTTCATGCCTGATACTCTCCCTGAAACCAAGCCAAGTGGCAAGCGCAAGCAAGGAAAAGTGACCACTGAGCTTGAAGACCTGAGTGGGGTTGATGATGGAAACGAGGCAATATACCAGTCCCGCGTCCAGGAATGGATCAGTCGGCGAAGCTCTGCTCGACAACACGCTGACAGTCATTCTATCGAAGCCGACCTGAACGAAGAAGAGGAGTGGCTTAAGCCGCATCCCAGTGAACCAGCCATGGAGCTTGACAATGGGCTGCGGGTCCCTGGAGATATCAGCCGCTTCCTTTTCCCCTACCAGAAAACTGGAGTCCAATGGCTTTGGGAGTTGCACCAGCAAACTGTCGGCGGAATTATCGGAGACGAGATGGGGTTGGGGAAAACCATCCAGGCGATTTCTTATCTCGCGGCACTGCATCACAGCAAGAAGCTTACCAAACCCGCTATCGTTGTTTGCCCTGCGACTCTCATGAAACAATGGGTTAATGAGTTTCACCGCTGGTGGCCACCCTTCCGTGTTTCCATCCTACACTCATCAGGCAGCGGAATGATAAATCTTGGCAAGGAAAGCAGCCGAGAAAATGCACTTACATCAGAAATGATCGGCAGTCACAACTCTCGTCACCTATCTGCTGGTCAGAAAGCGGCTAAAAAGATCATTAAGCGTGTCACAGAGGAGGGCCATGTCCTCGTGACCACATACTCAGGTCTGCAGTCTTATGCAGATGCTCTTGTTGATGTTGAATGGGGTTGCGCTATCCTTGACGAAGGTCATAAAATCCGCAATCCAGATGCCGGTATCACCTTCAGCTGCAAGGAACTTCGCACTCCACATCGTATCATTCTTTCGGGAACCCCCATGCAGAACAGTCTAGTGGATCTTTGGTCCCTATTTGACTTCGTGTTTCCGATGCGCCTGGGAAACCTTGTTACATTCAAAAATCAGTTTGAGATCCCGATCCGTCAGGGTGGATATGCATCTGCATCAAACCTTCAAGTGCAGACGGCTGCGAAATGTGCAGAAACTCTCAAAGATGCCATCAGTCCTTATCTGCTCCAGCGGTTCAAGGCTGATGTGACATCTGATCTGCCGCTGAAAAGCGAACAGGTCATTTTTTGCAAATTGACCCAACTCCAGCGAACCATCTACAAGAGGTTCCTTGGCTCAGATGATATGAAGTCTATTATACGAGGGAAAAGAAACTCTTTGTATGGCATTGACATCCTGCGTAAGATCAGCAACCATCCAGACTTGGCGGACCACACATTGCGCTCTCGCGAGCCCGATTATGGTGATGCAGAGCGGTCTGGCAAGATGAAGGTTTTGAAGGGTTTGCTTGAGGTCTGGAGAGATACTGGCCACAAGACCCTGCTTTTCACCCAGGGCCGTCTGATGCTAGACATCATTGAGAAATTCCTTGGGGTGCTGGGTGAATTCAATTACCGTCGAATGGATGGGACTACTCCAATCAAGGAGCGACAGAATCTGGTTGACAATTTCAACAACGACCCCGATATCCATGTTTTCTTGCTCACCACCCGTGTGGGCGGAATCGGAGTGAATCTGACAGGTGCTGACCGTGTCATTATCTACGATCCCGACTGGAACCCATCGACTGACTTGCAGGCGCGAGAGCGCGCCTGGCGTCTGGGCCAAAAGCGTGATGTCACGATCTTCCGCTTGATGACCAAGGGCACCATCGAAGAGAAGATCTACCACCGCCAGATCTTCAAGCAATTCTTGACCAATAAAATCACCCGTGATCCTCACCAACGAGAAGGTTTCCAGCTAAGTGATCTTTATGATTTGTTCACTCTTACGGACGAAAACGACGCCGAGTTGGAGACGACCAAACTCTTCAAGGACGCTGAAGTCACATATCAGGAAGAGGCTAAAGATGATGCCCGTGGCAGCAAGAGTAAGCCTGCCCCGACTCCTAAGGAGGAAGACGACATCAACGACATCCATGGTATTGCCAAGGTCGAAGACTTCCAAAACACCGCCGAAGAGGAGAAAAACACCAAAACTTCCGAAGACCGCATTATGCATGGTATCTTCGCTCGTTCTGGCGTCCACTCTGCAGTACAGCACGACCAGATCGTAAACGGCAAACGAGTTCTTCGCGCAGACCCCAAGATGATCGAAGCTGAAGCTCGCCGCGTCGCTAACGAAGCCGCTGAAGAGCTCCGCAAAGCCGAGGAAACCGCCCGGGCACTCCCAATTGGACTTCCAACCTGGACAGGCCGTTTTGGGATGGGGGGCCGCGAAGATCCACGGGCTGGCGGTAGCTCAGCTCGTCCTGCTGGGGCAGGACCATCATCCTCAGACCTTTTGGCCAGGCTCAACCCTGCTGCGGCTGCCGCAGCCGCTGGACAGAGAACCAGCGGTTCCAATAGTCCATCAGCACGGATGCCACGCGGCAAAGATTTTATGCCCTTGATCCGCGATTTCCTTGCCTCTCAGCGTGGGCCGACCCTGTCGCAGTCGATTGTTCATCATTTCAATCATTACTGCTCCAATCCGCAGCGTGTTGCGGAGTTCCAGGAGTCGTTGAAGAAGGTTGCGACACTTGAACATGGTCGGGATCGTCGGGGACGGTGGACACTGAAGCCTGAATTTGCCCGGAATGCCAATAATCGGGGACGGTGAGGGGCCTTGTAAAGTAGCCGGTGGACTGAGGGCATCCCAAGTAGAAATTGGACAGACTATCTTTCTCTTTACTCTGGGGATGTTCATGTACGATAGTGGGTTTCACGAGATGATGAATGACAATGACAATGCCGATACCCTTCATGCAATTTCACAGTTGGACGCAGTCTACTATCTAAGTACTGCATAATCCGCGCCTATATTGTACTCCATCGTTGCAGTAGAAGACACCCACTAGGCACATGCTTAAAACGCCCTATGGGACGGTACCAAGGGCTTCCAACACGCATAGAGGCAAGCTGCCGTTTAGCTCAAGCCACATGCGCTCGTATACGCTGGCCATGATGTACGCCAAGCATGAAAGCATATGCCAATATTTTGGTGCCTTGTATTTCGCCATAACTTCATCAGAGAAAGGGGCTGGATATTCTAATAATATTTTCAATGATGCAAGAAATAAATATCGAAAGGATATACCGAGCCAAATAGGCAAGAGATTTTCGTTTGTACAAAGTAGAGTCGCAACGACCCGATATTCATTGACAGTCAGACAAAATTCAGGGGAAAAGGCTCCACAGGATCTTGGCGTTCATTGTTTTATCGACTTCTTTTCAGTGGCAAAGGGGTTTTACGATTGATGTATTTTCTCTTGATGAAATTATTGAAACAGAATTCATCTTATATCACTGTGAAACCCTATCATAGGGGCAAAAGCACATGAGTGAGATCACCAATCTTTGTCTCAGGTGCTTTGATGGATATAGACGGGGCCGTATGATCTGCACTTGGCCACCATCATGACTGGCTCGGATGGTACGGAGTATAGGCAGTCAGGTACCCACTTAGCGACTTCCAGGATGTCGATTGTAATCACCATCCGATGCGTTAGTCCTGTCGTTTACCCCATACACACAGGTTCTGATACGGCAGCGTGGATCAAGCAAGATCCCGCAGCCACAGTTATGTCCAAGGTTGCTGGTGCCTTGCATGCTGCAAACAAAAACAAAGTGAGAAAAAGCACAAGAGTGACATCGCCAGAATACCGAGTCAAAAGGGACGTTGAAGAACCATAAATCGACACTTCTTGCGATTCTTTACCGATGGCAGCTCCTATTTTGATCTCAAGGATGCCTACGGAGCCCTCGAGGAATCCGCATCAGCCCTGGACACCCAAAACAGTCCGCCCTATACTCCACCGGTGGAGCATGTGTTCCATCGACTGCCTTCCATGGATGTCCCAAAGCATATAAATGCGTCACTTTCCTGTCAAATTTCAACCCCTCTCCTCAGCATATAAAAGCAATCAAAATCCCTCAACCATCAACTTCAAATCATCCCCTACCCAACTTCTTCACCACCCAAAATGAAGTTCTTCGCCACCGTCGCTCTCCTAGCCACCGCTGCGGCTGCCGCCCCATCCGAGAAGCTCTTCAACCTGAAGACCTCCGGCGCCAGCAACAGCTCCCACAATGACCTGTACCTCTCCGTTGGCCACGGACTGATCAGCGACCCGCTCAACAGCGAAGCTGTCTTCTCCGGAGCCCCGGCCAGCCGCGCCGCCGCCTTCTCCTTCGTCAATGGCACCATCCTCTTGGATACCGAGACCAAGGCCCCCTGGACTCTCGACTTGATTAATGTGGAAGGTAAGATAGCCCTGCCGGGCTTGGATGTGGCGGTTTCTCGAACCTGGAATGCTAACGATATTGGTACCATGTAGGCGTCCGCAAGGAGCGCGCCCAGATCAGTGTCAATCCCACTCACGGCTCGAAGGGCTTCTCTGTCGGGCCCCACGGCGTCCAGGGACCCAGAGAGACCTGGGACGGATGGTTGTGTAAGTTTTCATCATGTCCCCTTCCCAAGGCATGATCCTGCCGAGTGCATATGGCTGACTCCTCTTTTTTAGGGTGCCCCGCCGATGTGGAGGCGGGCCAGTTATTCCCCAACTTGCACTTCCTCAGCAAGACTGTTCAGGAGCCTGCTCTCCCGGCTGGATGTGACAGGATCCAGCTCAATGCTGTTCCCAAGAGCTCTGCTTAGAGGGATTTTGGATTGGATTTTATCTCCTAGCGAACATCGGATTGTGCTCTCTTCGAGAGTTGGAACTTCTACTGGACTTTTGTTCCAGCATCTTTCAGCGTATAAGTCAGACTTAATTGGTAATGCATTGATTATTCTACTAGTTATTTATCACAAGAACCATGGATATCCTGAAAATGCTCTAATATCAAATTCTTCTCACCACATACCAACCCCCACAAGTGCCACATCCACTCTATCCGTGGTTCCCTATCAGAAATAGTATAGAATATCATATATCCCCACCCCTCAATCTTCTCCATTCCAACCTCTGAATTCCCAATAGTATTCGTCCTGATTGTGGTCAGGTCGCCACCCCACGTTTGGGGAACTTCTTCGGCGGAACCGAGACCTGCCCGACCTTGGGTACCAGCAGCTGGGTGGCGATAGTAGATGTCTACTTTGGGTTCGTTGGTCAGTAGTGCAGGTGTGACGGTTTGTGCCATGACGTCGAATATTGGTTCCAGTAGTTACGTCTCGCGTACTCCATAGTAAGGGTAGAAAAAATATACTGCTAGCTGATAAGAACTTTGTCATTGATGACTTCTGTTTGTTCCGTTGTGTAACTATACTATGTCATGGATTATAGCCATTCATATCATTTGCTTGTCCAGGTTGTATAGTCTTGGAATGATCGTGGGAGGCCAAACTCGGGGATAGGTGATTAATGATAGGGCAAGTATCAATCCCGCCAGGATTGATTGAACTATGTATATCATTTATATTGTCCCTGAAACTGAAGTATATATTGCACGGACCTCTTGTTTTAGTTTCCACGGTTGATATGATATACCTCACCTAATCAAGTGAAGAATGAGAATAAATGATCGTGTCCTCTACTTTAGGGGCCATTTGTGCTAATTAAGAGATAGATACTACATTGCAGTCAAAGAAATCATTTCATCCCAATAGTTCTCTCTATAAATAGCCGATGTCTCACATGCTTGACAGCCACTACCTATTTGGGCTTAGCCCCGCAATACTCAAACATCGCATCTTCTCTTTCTCTGCTTCCTTTTCCCTTCTGGACAATTATCTGTGAAGACACTCGTTTACTGTTCGCCTTGGATTTATTTACAATCATTGATCCGCGAAAATCCACATTCTCGATATCTGCATGTTTTAGTGCCAAGGCTGGCCAGGGGGTCAATACCATATTCTGCACTCCACGTCCTTTTGATCGTCCTTCCGTAGCAACCGAAATTGCTTGTTACCGACACCTAATCGATAAGCCTGTTTCAACAAGAGACCCTTTTTCCTTTTTGACAAGTCACACCGGGTTGTGGCAAGGGGTGTGATCAGTCCACCTTTCAGCCCAAGGAGTAATACCTCGGTCGCTTGATTTTTGAACCTCGAGATAATCTCTCCAACCTTCGACATGCGGTGTTTTCTTTTGAGCGTGCTGTGCACCATACTGTTGCTGGGGACGATATCATCGGCTTGGCCATGGCGACCCTATGGAGGACTCCTGGGTGGTTCCTTGGATAAGCGAGCCGGTAATTGAGGCCTCTTATCATACCATTGTACCCTTGATGCTGACTTACCCTTCAGACACCACAGAGACAACAACAGCTGAAACCTCCGAATCTACCGCAGATGCATCCACTGCCCCCAAGACTTCTACCGGAACAAACACCGACGCAAATACCGACACAAAAACAGGCACTGCAACCGATTCCGAGACGACTGGCACAGCAACTGGCACGAAAACAGGAAAGGGCAAGACTACCACGACCAGCTCAATCTCCATTGACCCTGCTGCCGCTGCTGGCGGTGTGTCCATGATCACCCCCGCTTCCTCGTCAACGACCTACTACAAGATCGGCGAGGATGTGACATTTGTGTGGAACTATACCTCCTTGTCGGTCACGCCATCCGCGGTCAACGTCGTGGCTTCGTGCGGTTTCAACTCGATGAAGTATACGCTCAGCTCTAACATGACCGTGAAGGAAACTGGAAGCATCGTGTGGGATACTGGAAAATACCAGAAATCGGCTACCATTCCGTTGCTCACAGCATCGTATACTTTGATCGTCTACGATGCCGACAAAGACATCGGCGATGCTGCGAGCGCAGGGCACCTGAGCTCGCAGAATGGTGGTTACGTCTTTGGGATGTACACCCCCCAGCCTTACACCCCCCTCAATGGTGAGTATTTAATCCATCCTCGTTCGAACAGACTGCTAACCTTTATCCAGAATTCAAGTGCGCTACCTGCAGCGGTGCCCTGTCCGAAACCAGTCGCCTAGCCATCAAATTCACCGTCGGAATGGCCGTGATCACGTTCGCGTCGTTCACCTGGTTTGCGGGCAGTGCTGGCGTCCTCGTCACTTGAAAAGCACACACTCAGTGCATTCGAATCGACTGGTCATGAACATATTTTTGCGTTGCATTGTTGAAGCGATCTGGATTTACGATAATAGCAAGGAAACGGCGTTGCGTGATGCTTTTATTGTCATTTCTATATAATTTTTGGTCACATTTCATCCTTTCTCTAATCTGTTTATTTTGCAAAAAGGAAGCTTGCTACAGCATGGGCTATTCACAGGGGACTTTTAGACCTATCAATCTGATCAGCCAGCACTATTCAGCTATCAGTTCTAGTATAGCCCCTAAAAATAGCTGAATAGTGCTGGCTGATCAGATTGATAGGTCTAAAAGTCCCCTGTGAATAGTCCATGCTGTAGTAAGCTTCTTTTCTTATGTTTGGCCTTGCATACAATACAACATCTGTTGCACTACATCCAACCCTCCCTTTCAAGGGATTCTTCCTCCTCGATATCCTCACATCAGGGACAGATTTCCCACCCTTCTTCCCTGCGATCTCGAAATCCGGGCACAGCAGGTCTCATCTGGGCCTTAATTTAGCCTCTCTTTCCCTTCTCGGCTTGCTCACGGCCGCGGCGAGCCTCGAGGTAAATGAGTTTGACCTTCAGCGATCCCATGATCTAATCGTGCTCGAGATTCCGACTGGCATCCACTGGACGGCTGATCCGTCGCGTAGGAGTTCACAAGGCCACGTGGTAGTTGGCAGCTGTGATCAGCAACGTCTTGTTGCAGCTGAGCATGACGTCAACGTCAAATGGCTGGTCCAAAGCCTTTCGCAGCGCTTCCTTTGCCTTTCCTATTCTGGCTTCGGTCCCAGCGGTGGCTTCAGTCCTAACGAAGTCTGCGCCTGCGGCGTTGGGATTGTATGCCTTATACGCCTGGTTTGGCTAAGGGCCGTTGATATCGGTTTTGGAGTTCGTGTTTAGTCCCTGCTGGTAGAGGCCGTTGTGATGGCGGAAGTTGGTGTGCTGGCTGTTGAACGGCTCTAGATCCATACCTTCTTGCGGTGAAAAGGGTTGGTGGCAATGGGTATTGGGTGGCGGGTGGATGCTACCCTCGTTGAATTGCTCAAAAGCCATGGGTGCTCCGGGCGAAATGCCTTGGTAATGGATAACAGCTTGCTGGCGGACTTTACCAAGGTTGTTTTTGAATGGATCAAGAAGCATGGGTGTCTGGGGCGAAAAGCTTGGGTAATGGATACTGGCGTCTTGGCTGGTATCAAAGCCTTGCTTGGGGACATCAAGTTGCTGGATCACGCCTTGCTGACTGATAGTACCGTGTCACCTCTGTTATAGGCCTGGTATTTTTCATCGTCCATGGGCATTATGGTTTGCGGCGAATTGACTCGCCGGTGGGAGACACCGCACTGCGGGTGGGGGTCCCCTGGCTGGTGAATATGGCATTGCTGGTGGATATCGCAGGGATGGGGACCACTGCCTTGGCGGCAGGCATAGCTTGGAGTGAAAGACATGGCGGGGTGTTGTGTTGATGAGAAGATCGTTGTTGATGGCAGGATTCTTGCCGGTGGAGGCTTTTTTTGTCTGCGAGAATCGCCCTGGCGATGGGGTTTCCTTATGGGGGGTACAGTCTTGATTGAGGGTCATGACTTCCTCTTTAGTATGTTCTCGATTACCCCTCTTAGCCTTGGGGTTCCTGTTTGCACGGCCTGGTTTTGCAGTCTCGATTCCTCCTTGCTCTCTTCCTGATTGCCCTTCTTGCCTTACTGCTCCTCTTTGAGGTCCTTGCTTTGGGGTCATGGCTCCCTTGTTTGATAGCTGTCTGATCGATGTTCTTAGCTAGCCCTGCTATTACTTTTATCAGGAGGTGTAGCCTGGGAGTTGGTTCCGCGAGTGACACGTGCAGGCGAATTCTTGCCTCGCTGCGAGCTTTCGCCCTGCTGCTTCGTATCCCTTTTTGAGGGACATTGTCTTGTTGGTGAACACCAGCTTCTTGGAAGTCTATGCTTTGCAGGTGCCGGCGCGGCGGTAGGCCTTGTCTGCCTTGTCTTCTTTGAAGATTATGTTTTGCCGCGAGTTGACGGGCCCACGGTTGCCATGGCCTTGCTGCCGAACACGGTCTTGGTCGCACGAATCTTTTTGATTGTGATCCATTGATCCAGGATTGGGACCTCGCCCAATAATTTGATAGGACCACTTCGTTGAAGTGTAAAGATGTCGCTTCAGGCGAGGGTATTGATGTTCAGTGTGCCAGATCAATGAAAGCAGAAGGTCAGGATTGAGACATTTCTGGAACAAGATGTTTGTTTCATTTCTAAGAGCCATTGTTCGCTTAGTCGCTGCATTGATTAGTCACGTTGCTTAGTCGGCCTGTATGATCTCCATGGCTACTTCCAAGTTTCCGTATGTAGGTATACCTGGATCTACGCCCAAAGGATGTTAGGAAGGGTGTGCCTGGCTACATGGGGGTGTATATTATGTAGCCCCAATAAAAAGATTAAAGCCATACTCTTTTGTTGATCGTCTGAACCATCCTTTTGCCTATGGAAACATATGCACGCAGCCGTGATGTTCCCTTTATTGTGAGGAATGGGGCATTCACTTCTACTTCCCATGCAAATTTTCGATTTTTGCGTGAAGCCAAACGAATACAAAACAAAGCTGGATGTCTTACTCTTACAATTGGAAATTGCAGTCTGTCTTACAGATAAAGAAAGCCGCGGGAAGCTATTGAAGCGGTTGGTTCATTGCATAGAATATAAAAGAAGCTACTGAATCTCCCTCTACTTCTTCTCTAATCCATGAAACTAATTCCTTCCTACTTATCTGCCCTAAGTCTTCCACGCCCAACATCCACTCCCAAGCTGCCAAGAAGAAAGTATCCAAAGCTACAAAAGAAGACAATGCCCTCCCAACTAGGCTGGATCTGGCCGAAAGATCCACGCCCCGGCAACCCACAACACTGGCCACGCCGCTGGCGCCTCTTTGACGTCCTAACAAGCAAAGGGCCAGACATCTACGTGGGCCGAATCGACCAGCCCAAAACCAAGACCAGAAGGTCATCCTCTCGACCCCGGGCCGGGCCCACAAGACAAGAATGGTCTCGATGGGAGACCGACCCCAACGACCCTGACTCGAACTACAGCCCGTTGCCCTGGGCGCGGCGGCCCGCCGGTGAGCGCTATGATTTCCGCACGAGGAAGTACCACACCCCGGACCATGGGACCTGGAGTGCCGTTGAGTACTGCAATGGGAGAAGGGCTCGGAGGGGGAAATGGGTCGGGAAGGAGGAGGTGCATTGTGTGCCGATGCGATATTGGGATCGGAATGGGGTTGAGTATCCGGCGGAATTTTGGCACGATAGTATTTATGGGAAGCATGCACGTTGAGGGCAATGGATGGGATGGGAGGAAGTGGTTGAAAGAAAAGGAAGGAGCTTGGGCGTTGGGAGGGTAATTTACATGACATTGTGTTTTCAAATCCAAATAGATCGCTTGAAAGGTTCCAACAATTCGTTTTTCAAAAGCAAGATTAAAGATGTAGGCCAATGGGCCGACGTCTTCCAAAATTTCCCTCCGAGTTCCAAGGGTTAGGCTGGTATAGGGAGACCTGTCCAATCAGGCGCACCCGTAGTGCAATGCGTCAAAGGTGTATATACGTGCTGGTCCATCAGCAGACTGTTGATTCGCCTGAGGGCGTCGGAGAGTTGGGAGTTGGGCGCCGTTATCAGTCAGGCGATTGCACTTCACGCATGGTGTCTGCTTGATATCCGCATAGGAAGAAATCATATCCTGAGTCGGTATTAGCAAGTTTCTTCTTCGGAGTCAGGAACAGAACATACCAGCAAGAAAGAAAGGTCCCATTTCCGCGGGCGTGACTCCACACATCCCAGTACAGCATTCTCAAGTTTCGTAGGTGACCGGCCAGCGATCTTGCTCGAAACATCCCAGCCAGAGACCGGAGATCCAGGGAAAGATACCCCTTTAACCTGGAAGACAAGGCCAGCTCTAACAAGTGCTACTGCTAGAGAACTTTCATCCAGGCCCTTTATAACCCGTACACCGGGCATATTCCGCTGAAGAAACCGCTCCAAAACATTCTTCCACTCGCCCTCCGTAGATTGCGCTTTAGTATATTCAGCCTCTTCGCCTTCTCGCTGACGTTCATCTATTTTGGATTTTTCTGTTCGCGCTAGCTCTTCTAGAAGGACATCATAATCCCTTTCCCACTTCCCGTTCGGCTGAAGAAGCTGACCGTTGGCTTCCTTGATGCGTGATTCAACATGCGCCCATACGGATGTCAATTCCGGATCCCTCCACAAGGACTGAAATTGCTGGACATCAGCGACGCGTGCGCGTGCGGCCTCATCCAGACTGGCCCGGAGGACCCGTGGTGTTTCAGCGACTGGATTGCCAAGTGCCACTTTATCTGGGTTTGCGATAGGCACTAAAGGCTCCAATAGGCCTTGGGGCATGAATCCACGCAGTTCATGGATCTGGATAACTCATTAACTTGGTTTTGTGGCAGAGCTCCAAGGGCTCAAGTAATTACCTTGCGTTCGAGTTCTTGTAGTTTTGCTAATGAGGAAACAAGCTGAATCTCTGAGTCTAGCCCTGGAGTTTCGCTGTTGCCGGTCACCGGCCCTTGGGTGGAGTTCTGATTGGTAGCAGCCATCGACGGGGCAGTTGACATCGGTTTTTGTGAGGGACTCGATTAAATGGTCAAATCTGTCCCAAAAATGCGCAACTTTGGCTTCAGGAGATGAGTTATATAGGTATAAATTTGAATAGGCACCTGAGTTTCGAAGTGCACAATCAAGCGAGGTGGAAGACAGCGAGTTATCGCAGTGATGGTTCTGTGGGCGATGAGATCACCCTGTATTGTCCGTTCTATAATGAAGTGTCAAATAAAAATGTCGTGAGTCGAATAAGCGAGTGTGTTTTGATGTTGGATGACAGATAATGATATTTTTGTTGCTTAAAGCTACTCGAGTAATGCGAGGATGTGAGAGATGAGATGGGCCGCGAACCAATCAAGAAACTCCAGCCACAATCCCTTGTGCCACAAGTGGCTGAGGTAATGCTTACATAATCTTATTTTTATAGAAACCCTGGAGTGCAGTTTTATTTCCTTTGCATATTTGATATGGGTAAGTCCTTCTGAAAGGCCTTTAATTCGTAGTAACTGTCTTGAATCACGGTTTCATCATACTACCTGTGTCTTTGACCCTAGGTGGACGGTCTTACTCTGAGTGAGTCCAATTTGAAACAACCTTTTTCGATGAAGTTGCAGCTCTGAAAAATAAGAATCACTGCCATTACAGAATGATCTAGACGAAAGAAATTCTAAGATGCTGCAAAGGGTGCAATCTATGTCGCTTTGTTGGCCAGCGGAGCTATAGAGACGAGACTGGATGGAACAAGTCATCCATTGTCTCAGTTTTGCAACTTCTTTGTAGAATGAGCTCTCCAGAACGGCATCTCGACCTTGGTTGGTCTATAAAGACTCCTGTAGCCCATTATCCGATACTTCCTGTCAACATTCATCGGGATCCATCAGCATCAATCAGCACAGCAACCTTCACACGTTGAATTCATCATGGACAACACGGATCCAACGCACGACTGCCTCAAGCGTGACGGGGCCTTATGCAACCGCCGAATTCTAGAAATTGAAGACTGTATCAAGGTATGATCGACTCACAAGAACAACCTTAGAATTTCTGGATAATTACCAATCAGTCTTATTCGCTCGACGAATCTTATGCTTTCCTTTGATGCTGCACTGAAGATGATTGAAGAGTTTCCCCGCATTCTCCAAGCAGACAAGGTGCGGATTAGTCCTTCGAAGCCGCAGAAAAAGTGAGAGGGCTGATATGCCTGACAAGACTTTCGAGGAGATGCGAATGTCTTCTCAACGATCCTTGGGGGGGTAATTAGCTAGTGTGATAGATCTTGCTCGTCAATAGATGTAGATTTATGTGGACTTATGTGGATTCTAAGATAAAACTGATAGTTGTTGATTTCAAGCCTGTGCTAGGCAGGGTATAACTGCACAAGAATAGCATCTCCAGGCTTTGTCACTGATAACATAACTCAGTAATCTTTCTACCACGACGATTTGCAATTCGCCTGGTGGTCAACTGCGCCCCCAGCAGAGCCTCAAAAAGTGGGGTCCAAGCCGCTCAGCCCCCAACGCGGAATAAAAACATTCGAATTCCCAGATTTTGAGACCACCACAACAACAATGGCAGACCAAAAGATCCCAGATAGCTTCCTCCGGGGTCCAGCCCCAAACGCAACCCTCCGCAAACTCGATTTCGAGCACACTTCCCCACCGATTCGCGGATACAAAGGCCACTTCGCCGCTATAGTGGACAACCTCTTGACCGAAGCCGAATGCAAAGAGCTCATCCATATAGCAGAAGAATCAACAAGAACTCAACTTCCAGACTCAACCCTGTCGCCCCCCGCATGGGAACAGGCGATGATCAACTCCGGCGGCGGCAACCAAGTACTGTCCGTTGACTCGCGCAAAAGCGGACGAGTCATATTGGACTCACCGAAACTTGCGGACAGAATCTTGGAGCGAATTATGCCTTTCATGCGCGAGTGCGAACTCGACCGCATCCAGAGCAGACCCTTGGTTACAGGTCTTGGGCCAGCGAAACGGGGTGAAGTGTTCCGTTTCAGTAGGCTGAATGAGCGTCTTCGGTTCTTGCGTTATGAGGGCGGCGATTATTTCCGGCCTCATTGGGATGGGTGTTATATTACGCCTGATGGGCTGGAGAAGTCGCTGTATACTATTCACTTGTATTTGAACGGAGACGGGGAACAGGATATGGAAGAGTTGCGGCCTCATATTGAGCGGGCAGAGAAGTCGAATTTGATGTTCGGGTTTGGGAAGAGCCAGGATATTGATCCTGCTGAGGTTGAGTCCGAGGATGTTCAAGTTGGTGATGGGAGTTGTACTTCGAAGACCGAGACTCTTCTCGGTGGTGCAACTTCGTTTATGGCTGGGACGAACTCAAGGGAAGCGCTACGGGTCTTCCCAAAGACGGGTTCTGTTCTCATCTTTCAACAAAGGTACTTGTTCCATGGTGGAGATGATGTGTTCAGAGGTGTCAAGTACACTTTGCGGACAGATGTCATGTATACTACCGAGAGTACTACCGAGTGAAGAAGAAGTGACAGCACATTCAACGCATTTTGCCCCTGCGTTTGGATTTCTTACCAAGCGAGCCTGGATTCCATCGCAACCTGGACTTTCCTGTAGACTGAAATTGGTCTGTTTGTTTGCGTAGCATGATCTATCGTAACGGGAAAGGCTCGGCTCGGTTTCCAGCCTTCGTATGATTTCATGCCGGCAAGCTAGTTTTTCACGTAGAGAAGCCCAGCATGAGTTCATGTTCATATATTTCCATTTCTCATGGAGGAAGCCCGGTCTCTAGTGAACAAATTCCCCGCTGCTTGTAAGAATATTGCCTGGCAAGGCTTTATAAATAGCTCGCATACCGCCTTCCTAGGCAGGGAAGTGCGCTGTGCATTCCAAGGTCACCGGCTCCACCACATTGAGGTCAACAACCCTCTCATGCTCTCATTCACTTGTTTCAATACATAGTGGATACTTTAGTCCGATGATTTCTGGAATTGAATAGATGGGAAGAGGCAGTGCAACCTGGACGATCCATGGCTAGCTTAACGCGAGGAAAACACCCTTGGGAGAACCTTGGAAGGCTTGCGACCTCATAATCAGAGAAAGACAGACATTCGCAGCCTCAGATCGGATTTAACGGAAGTAGTAGCCAACACAAAGCCATCGGACTCGACTCTCTATCAGGGAAATAAGGGAAAGGCTACAGGCGAGGTGGTCACTGCCTACAAAATACGAAAGAGTGGGGACAAGACCAGCGGATCGGTGGATACTGCAGCCCCGGATCACTAGAATCCGTTCATATTCAAGGCTGGCCGAATAAATCGAAGAGTCATCTGCAAGATGCTCTTAATAGTCTCGGAAAGCTTTGCGGCTGATACGTGGCGAGAACCAAAAAAAGACAACTGGCCATCAGCTGAAATACGGCCTTAACTCTCCAGAACAGAGATGGGGGGCCTTACCAGAACGAAAATAGGGCGCCGAAGTGCGGTTTCTCGAAAATTGAGTTATTATTATCTATTAATGTACCAAAGTATATCTAAATACAGCTCTAATTATTGTCCTGGATATGGAATGCGGTCCGGGGAAGGTCGGCTATTCATCAAAGATGCCGTGGGAGCCCAGGGCTGGGCACAGTTCTTACCCAAGCAACTATTCTCATCCAATGAATATCCTTGAACCTTCCCCAATCCACTTCTATCATTCTTCCGTTACACCATTCCAAGGTTCCTGAGGGTGGCGTGAAAATCGTGGCGTCCGTAACCGGGGCTACAGGGTTCCAAAATAATTCTCTCGACTCTTGGAAATCAGACCATATTCATTACTTCGTATACAACATAATAGAATCTGGCACAGAATCATCGATCGACACCCGGTCTGACAACATTTGCGGGGTGAAGCTGTAGCTACACTAACATCCGATTGGCTGCGTTTCGAAGATGTCTTAGATAAAAAAGGAATTTATGTTGGCAGCCATGTGGAGAAATGAAGAAAGAGTAATAGAGAATAATGCACAAATCATAACTTGTAGGGCTGTCTCACTTCTACAGCAGGCCGCACACAATCAAGACACCGTTGTGGAGCAACGTATTCCAGGTGTTACCCGACTCGACGTTACATCCATGGATCCCTATAGTTCTATTTCGAAATGTGACCTGCAATGGGCTCGAATTTGATATCATATAATGACGAAAAGACATAAATAGCTCCGTTCCTCCCATACTATCCCCTTCATCATCAACATCCTTCAAAACCAAATAATCCAATCGACTACTCAACCTTTCAACCATCAACATGCAGCTCACTCAGCTCCTGCTCGCTACTGGCCTCTTGGCCTCCTCAGCCTTCGCTGCCCCCGCGGACACTTCTGCTAAGTCCATGATGGCCGACAGCCCTCAGTGGACCCTCAAGGACACCAAGCGTGTCTGCAACGACGAAGACACGTCCTGCACCTGGACTTTCGGCATTTACGCTGGCGCCGGCGATGCCACTCCCTGTACCTACATCGTGGAGGGCAGCCCTGCCTCCCAGGCCAACGGTGGCCCCGTCACCTGCGGTACATACACCGTCACCTCCGGCTGGAGCGATCAGTTCGGCCCGGAGAATGGTTTCACTACTCTCTCTGTTGTCAACGAGGCTCGCCAGATTATCTGGCCTGCCTATACCGATAAGCAGGTTGCTGGTGGCGAGGTTGTCAAGCCCGACCAGAGCTACTCCCCTGCTTCTCTCCCTTGAATGGAGACGATAACATCCCTCGGAGTATGAGCGATTACTGTGTATACCAACCACTTTCCTTAATGACAATCAATGACAAGCGATTCAATATTTTCTGCATGTTATCATATGCATTTTATAGTCAGGATCGGCTGTAGAAAAAAAGAGCATAGCACATAATATTGTTCATGACGAAAGTCAGCGAGAATATGTTTTCCTTTCATACTTAGTCTCTACTAAAGAAGAGGAAGGAGAATTAGGACAGTACGTTCTTTTCGGCTAAATTCACCGAGAATGATAAACCTTAGTTCATCTGAATAATTGCGGGGTGAGTTCAGGTACCCCCATGGCGTCAGGACCTTCTCTGTCTCCGTCCATTCCTCTCTTTACGAATACACAAGGATTCTTCCTAGTATAAATTTATTATTAGCATCCTCTAGGCGTCACGTGGCTTTTTTCTACTAGCAAGGACCGTTGGTAACTGCTTTCTCTGAAGTTTTCTGAATCCGACTTAGTATATGGATCCGGTACGCCTATGTAATTAATATCTAGATAGAATTTCGATCAGATGATTGACGCTATTATGGAGATAGAGAACGAGACCGTAGGAAAACTCTGCTCCTGGAACTGGTCGAAGGCTGCACTCGCAGTCGGCAGTTTATGGCCATCTACTTCCTCCTGGCACGCGGGCCGTGGCTCCAAAGGAAATGTACAATATGGGTATGACGGCTCTGAAACCAAAGCTCTGTTTAACAAGGGAATCCAAATAGCAGCCACCTCTAAGTGTTAAAGTCATAAAACTCATGGCATGGCTATGGACTGAACTGATACCGCTCCAATCTGCAACGGGATGATGACTATGCAGGCCTCCCTATAAACGACGGTGGCCTAAACACGAAGACACCAAGAAAAGAGGAGAAGAGACATCCAACTCATGACCAGAAAGAGCAGAAATGAAGAAAGAGAATTCTATCTGTTCATACTGCCCGTGAACAGAGCCAATTACCCAAAAGCCATCCGCATTATCCATCTCTTCACTTCCCTCTCGGTACCCCATCTCTTCCCCGTGACGTCCTTGAAGGTCTCAACATCCAGGTCTCCGCACATGATAGTTTCGGAGAATGGTCTGATCGGCTGGGAATCACGCAGAGGCTTCGATTTCGCGTCAAGGTCAGGGGCGACAAACAAGACGGCGCTCAATCGACGCACGCCTGGGGTACGGCGAACACGGTGTTTGGCGGCTGAAACCCGACCACCACTCAGGATAACCGCACACCAATCTGTCAGGACAACAGTACCATCCCCGGGGATAGGAACCCAGATGCCAGGGGTTTCGCCGAGCTCCAGGCCCGGCGTGCCATCTTGGAAGATTATGGAGAAGGTCCCATAATCCGTGTGGGCTCCACATCCATTCGACGACTCGGGGCAGCCGTGTTAGGGTTGTAGTCGCATAGGCGATATTTCATATTGTGTGGAGTATGTGCTGCAGCGAGATCGGTACCGGCGAGGATGCTCAGAGAAGACAGTATGGTGGGTACATACTGAGCACTGACAGCGTTGAAGAAGTTGAAGACCTCCCCTAGGCCGTGAGGATCCAAGGACTTACTAACAGTTTCCGGAATCCAGGAGTTCCGCATGGGCGAGAGGTCGATGGTAAACTTCTGATCTGACTCAGTTTTGTGTAGAGCAGCAGTCTTGACGACGTCCCTGCGAGGGTAGGTTGCATTGAGCTTAGCAACATTGTCTGGATGGGCGTGGAGATGATCAAAGAGGGTCTGAATGGCTGAGAACAGTGCTTTGGCTTCAAGATTGACTGAGGCGGTTGTGGAATTCAAGCTCAAAAAGGATGCTGCCGGAGCTTCGGCTGGGTCAGGAGAAGGTCGGGCGATTGAGGTCCCCTGGTTGATAACGCTGGTAGCCATGATGGATTCCATGTTGGTCGGAGCGATGATAGACGAAGGATGGAAATGTGAGAGTGAGAGTAAGAGGGTTTAAATAGGAGTTAAAAGTAAGTGATCCCCACTTCGGGGTGACATTATCACATCACAGCAAACAAACATTTTAAGAAGATGTTGAGAAGCAGAGACTCAGTGTAGTATACTGCGCTGCGATTTAGAGACTGCAGCCCAGATCAAGCCCTAGTCCTATTAGTTCAAAACTTGTTGGATCATCCCATCATCCATGGATGCCTTGTTTTTCAGACTGAGCCTTTCTTGTTTGCTTACTTGTGGCATTTATAAAAGGCCTTTCCTTGATAGATTTAATGCAGCAGGTTCTTATTCCTGCTTTCCCCCTAGTAGCTCAGTTGGCGTAACCTCAACAAAATTGTAATTGATTCTCGTAATCACCAGGTCGCTTCAATGCCAACCCTAAACGGGCTTCCGTCCTGCGGAGAATCTTGACACGGATGCAAGATTGCGCTGCCTATGCGCATGTATACTTCACACAAACTGCATCATGTTGTATCGTAGGATTGTATTCTAATCCAGGCTGCATTAAGTCATATTCAACTGATGGAATCCGATCCTATTTCATATTGTAGCAGTAGAGAAATTAGACGCTTGGACAATTTCATACTTACAATATTCTATTTCCAAGGATCGCAACTCAATACACGCGTTATAGGTCGTCTACCTGTACTCTTACCAAAAGTGTAATCTTTGCTTCCGTGCCATCCATTGACATATATCTGTGGCACAGGCCTCGCTCAGATTGCCACCGTCCTTCGACGCGGCCCGTCCGTGATACAATCGAGATCAATTCACTACTTAGTCTTAGTAGAGCCCATATTGCTGGTGCTGCCAGACGCAGCAAACAGCCAGTTGAAATAGGCAGTAAGTCTGTATTCTTATCAAGCTCTCCAAATGTTCGACCCCATTGCCGTATCTAACATGAATACTGCACCCTAATGGATACATGTAGGAAAGGTAAGTTGCACTAATCTCATCATTCATTTGCTATAGGATAACCCTCTCATTCCATAAGATCAATATAATACTGCTGATTCACAGATAAGGCTTTTATGTCACCTTCTAAGTGCAGGATTTCTGGTTTTCATCAGCATTAGTCGATATAAACCATGCACTTTGAACAATGGCTTCCTATTTAAAATACTACTCATACTTACACAGCACACCCTAATATTTCCCGGCCCGGCACATGCCTCCGGACGGCTAAGCTTCGTTTAGAACAAGTTGATATAAAATTATAGTCAATGGGGCTAGACTCACCCTACAGGACACTCATCAAAGGAAAAGTCCGGCTAATTCGAACCATAAGCATTAGCCAACTCCTAAACTATTCCGTGTTTATCTTGAATATTGCATGTGAGCTCGATGGTACACGTACAACGCAATCAAACTGTGGTAGATGTGAGCGTTGAGATCTCTAACATTCCGATAGAACTATGTTATATATACCTGCGGTGGTCCTTTGTCTGGTGGGGCTTCTTGAATAGGCATAGCACATGCCACGGCAACAAGGAGAGGTAGGATATTTAGCAAACGCATTTTAGGATTGAATCTGAACTCTTGGATGGTAAGGTAGAATGAAAACAGCTTCAATTTAATTGATATCGATAGAAAGGTACGAGGGAGTATAATCAAGAGATGCCGGGAAAGTGCTGGACTATTTATCTGTGAATAGGTGATAGGTTTTGGCACTTTTGACATGTCCGCTCCGAACCACTCCTCGCACACGCAAGGTGGCTCTATATGTAATAATATTAGCCGACATAAACCTAGAAAAGTACCAAGGTATCCTTAGAGTATAGTTAATCTTTTTTCTAGGCTTCGTTTGGCCTCACTATACCAGGAATACTAAATGTCTTAGGTTGCATCATGTGCTATGTTCTTCTTGTCTTCGGACTCTGCATTCAGGACTGGATGTATTACAATTCATATTCATCTTAGAGATCATAAGACTTTAAGACTATCTAAGGTTAGCGTCGAGTCAGCATTACATGAAGGACATGGAGCTTGACAAATGGCAGGATATAAAACGATAATTTGGGAGTACTGGCAGTTACATTTACTGATTTCCCCCGAATTTTGTGGAGTTAAAATAAATTATAACGACGGTTACGCATAGAGCGCAATGTTCAGCTCTTGCCTCAATATCCAAATTTTAGGAGAACAGGAAGGGCATTCTGGTGTGCCTCAATCCCATACGTGAGTGCCACACCACCGGGGACAAGGATTACACAGTTGCTCTCACGCAAGTAACCAACTAGCTATGTACATAGTCAGCTAGATAGATAACAAAATAAACAGTAACAATACAGCATAGACATTCTCCTCAGGCACTTTCAGGGACTCTGACGTCTTTTTTAAGCGTGCCATGGAGCAAAAGATTAAGTGTGCTCAAATATCGTGTATCATCCAATGCATCACATCATAGTTCTTTTCTTTTCGGTATGGACCTGTGTTGAAATTGGAGCCAGCAGAAGGTACACTAAAATAGCTTTTTGCTTCATTACACCACTACTGTCCATAGTTCGTCATGCTTTCTCTATAGCGAGAAATCCTAACTGCACGTTATTTTTAGATGAACTGGCATAACAAGCTAGCTAAACCTTTAGGATATCAAGAATCCTACTAGAATACAATCTTGGACCAACTCACAGTCCTAACTTCTTTCCCGCCTCGCCACCGATTGTCTCCATCAGCCTCCGCCGAATATGCTCCCCAATAACAGTCACCTCCCCAGACCCATCTAAGGCATGGCATTTAAGATCCAAGTTTCCGTTCATAAAGAAAGGGGCACTATATCTCGCCTTGGTGCTGGAATTCACAACTCGATGAAGCGCACTCCGATAGTACCCGACTGTCCACTTCTGCATCATATCACCCATATTAATAACGTAAGAGTGTGCTTTTACTGGCACGGGAACCCAAGTCTGAGTTGGAGGATACAGGACTTCCAAGCCTTCGGTCCCTTCTTCTTGTAGCAGGACTGAGACGTTCCCAAAGTCGGTGTGCTCGCCCACTGTATACTCTTGTCAGTCTCGTGAAAACCAAAGGTAACTGTAGTTGACTGCCGTACCTCCAAATTGGTTTGCCTGCTTACTAGCTTGAGGAGCGTAGTAGAGCAGCCGCAACGGTGCTGACGGATCGACCGTCAACTCATCAAATACGCTCGTTGGGCAGTTCCACTCCGCGGGAAGGCCGGCAGCCAAGATCTTCAGGATAACCTTCACCATCTCGATCATTTTGCCGTGGTATTTCATGAGGGGTACGCGGAAGTCCTCGTCACAAAGCCCCTTCGGCCACTGGTTAGGGCCGGTATGAAAGGTCCCGGCCTCGGGAGCATCTGCTGGGGTCTCGCGACCGAGAATAAACCCCTGTTTGGCATTCAGTAAGTATACACAAAGTTTGAGAGAGAGTTTAGATGCTCACCTCCTTTGTATCTGGCAATAATCCCTCCTTATGTATCTGAAGGGCAGGCGGCTCGTAGCCACGGAACGACCTTCCCATGGCCTTACCAATCCAAGTATCCATCTTTTCCTCTTTTGGGAGGGCGAAGTACTGACGAGTGCATTCGAGCACGGTCTGGCAATCCTCTTCGGGGATGCCATGACCAACGAGATAGAAAAAACCAAAGGTGGAACATGCATCACGCATGGCGTTCACAACCTCCTCCTTAGCGGTTGGTAAGGCATGCTCGTCGAGCCAGGGACTGATGTCCACTGTGGGAATAGAAGTTGGAGGGGCGGGATCAATACTGCCCATATTTTGTTTCGCAGATTGGCCAAACTTTTGAAATGGGTGTAAAGACGGCTGACCTAGCTCGAGTTATATCGTAATTATTGCTTGGAGGATTAGCGATACTGTCCTGTTTCGAGTGGATGATTCTCCGAAGTCTTGTGCCATATATAGCCTCGTCAATCTGATTGTAGAATTTGAGGTAATACTCCGGATGAGCTGACGGGTAAACAAAAGTAATATCCTGGATTCTTATGTTGGTTTAGGGGCAAAGTTATCATATCCGAGAGTAAGCATGATATAAGCACAGAATTCAATGGGGCTATCTTACATTCAACAGACATGCGACTAAATGATTCGTTAGAACCCTATGTTGATTGTAGAACTATGCTCAGGGCAATGTCGAGATTAGGGTATCGATTCGGAGAAATCAAATTTGACTTGTTGTGACGAGACATTCAGCTTAACGTGAAAGTAACTCCGAAGAATTGCTATTAACGGTGATAGTAAAGGTTTCTCCGATTGACTATAATCAAGTCCCTGTAACATCTCCCCATAAGCTACGTACCTTCGAAATTGGAAACAAAAAGCTACATAAATGCCAACCCCCAGAACCTAAGTTACAGTCAAACCACAAGATATAATTTATTCCTGATCCCCTTCTCTACAAATCCCAGCCAATTTTCAATCTACAATGTCAACTGGCAAACACGACTATCTCGTTCAAGTCCCCATCAAGTCATCTGCCCTCCAGGCCTGGGCTTCAAATCGCGGTGCACACATAGCGCACTTGAAGCCTTATATCCTCGACGGGACCATTGTTTTCGGAGGGCCAACACTCGCCGCGCATCCCAAGAGTTCCGAAGACACGATAGAGGTGCGCACGAGCGTGTTGTTGTTCCAAGCAAGTACAGAGGATGAGGTTCGGGGGATCGTAGAGAAGAACCCATTCGTGGACGCTGGAGTTTGGGATATGGAGAAGCTTGTCATTGCACCGTTCATGTGTGGAGTCAGGACTGCTATGTAATGTTACCGTCCTGTGGAAATTGCCGTATATTCAGTCTTGGGATATGGCTCGGTCAAAGAGAAAAACATTTAGACAGTGGAAGGATAATAGGAAAAAGTAGCCCTGGATAAGGGAGCCATCTACCTATTACGAGGGTCCTGTGAGATTTTGATGCCTCTGGATCCCACTGTGAGATTTGAACATAACCCACATCTTGAGGCTTTACAAATTTTCAATGCTGTATTAATACGATGTTGCTAGGAAATGGGAAACTTTTAAGGTCGGTGTTGATTTGCATTAATATTAAATCCCATAGTTGAGGCTGTATGGTATCTGCCCAATCTAGCAATCTGTTTTCCCTGTATGGGAAACTCGACTATCACGCCTTGATATTGAGCTTTGGCCCGTACTTGTAGACCCTAATCGCCGCGTAGCCTAGTCCCGACACGCAGGTCGGAACACCTCCGAACACCCACAAACTGTGCCAATCAAGCGACGCGCCACCGTTCCTGAGAATTGCACCACTGCTGGGACCACTGGCCAGCACACCCAATGCGATAATCGCATACCCCATGCCAACACGGGTGCCCAGTTTCGACTTGTCCGCCGTCAGAATGGCCAGACACATAGGCGGCAGTCCGATCAGTGCACCACTCATGAAGCCAGATAGTATCGCCATGACAATGACTGCGGCCTTGGAGTGCACTGCCATCATGCAAAACATCAACAGCCCCGAGGATAGGGCCGCAGGAACAAGAAGGTTAAAGGGGCCAAAGCGGTCGGCGAGCTTGTTCGGGATTGTACGACCAAATACCGAAGCTGCGTTGAAGATGGGCACCATGTAGAAGGCCAGACTGCTATCCGTGATGCGAGTTGCCTCAGAAAAGAAGGACAAGTAGAACAGAATAACGAACAGGCCCATGTATGCAATGAGTGATGTGAACACGAAAGCCAGATAAGCCGGGTCCTTGAATGCAGTGGGATCGACCATGGCGCGCACTTTCGGTGGTTTGACGCGCAGACGCATGATGCTAATTGGGATGAGCAGTGTGCCCAGTGCGATGAATCCGATAACGCGCACTGCCCAGGGGAACCCGATTTGATTGATGAGGCGGTATAAGACGATGGGGTAGATGACACCGCCGAGTGCGGAGCCCGAAGCGGCCGCGCCCATTGCAGCACCCATCTTGGTCGTGAAGTATTGAGGGATGATAGCGACACATGGAACGAATAGACAACCTGTTCCGATTCCGACGACGAATCCCTGCGCCAACACAACTTGCCAGAATTCGGAGCACAGACTCAGCATCATGTGCCCGAAGACAACCATGAAAGAGCCCACAATGAGGAGTGTTCGAAGATAGCCGCGGTCATAGATGGGTCCAACAAAAAGGCCGACAAACAACAACATGAATGCGGCAATTGACCCCACCCAGGAGATGTCGGACGAGCTGGAGTGGAAGAGAGCACCGGACTCATAGTAGGTTTGGTAGGCGCCAAAGGTGTTCAGGATGCCCCAGGTGTTGAAGTATAGCATAAAGCTGCCAAGCACATTGAGCCACGCTAGCGTACCACCATTCGGAGGTGGAGATGGTGATGGTCCACCTGTGGGCTTTTCTTGAGGAATAACCTCTTGAGGGAGAGGAGACTCCTCGCTGGTCTTGTCGGCCATGTCGATTTCCCACGGTGAGATTGACCAGAGATGGATTGAAGAGACAGATGAAGACCTAATTTCATTTTGAAATCCCCTTTATACATATGAGGTTCATATACCGGGTTATTCCCCCATTCGGCGGTCTCTCGGAGTTGTCACTTCATTATTGAGCCTCCGAGGCCTTAACCCCATTAGGGAATTCTCGGAGATTAAGTATCCCCATTAGGCCATCGCTCAGGGTTATCACTTCAGCCCTAACCTGATCATAAGGTTACTCCGAGTGTCCAATTGAATCCATCTTTGTTCTTATCAGAGATGTTTGAGACTAACTTGGCGATCATTTCTTACCAGCTACCTATTATGGTCGTATTTCCTTCAGCATTACGAGTTGCCTAGCTTGGCAAATCTAAATGTTTTCTGACGTTCTGGTGCCTAATGGCTTGTGCTGACACCGTGAACTAGACCTTGCCCGTAATGGCGCCAGTCGTGGAATCTTAGATAGCGAGATGGTTTGACCTCCACGGCGTCCTTCCACGCCTCGCTACCGACTTGCCCGCGACGGGGATATCGAAATCATCCGCTCTTTCTAGCTTGTCTTCGTCGAGTAGGTGGTTCCTGCATCACCTATAAACCATCAACATGGATACGTCCCTGGATCTGCCACGCATTCTTTGCCTTCACGGCGGTGGCACCAATGCGCGTATCTTTCGAATGCAATGCCGCGTACTGGAACGAATGCTTCGGTCGCATTTTCGCCTCGTCTACGCCGAGGCTGCACTTCCAGCACAGCCAGGACCCGACGTGACAGCCGCCTACAAAGACTATGGGCCCTTCAAAGCGTGGCTACGCGTGCATGCACAAGATCCCATTCTGAATGAATATCAAATCGTGGACGGCATAAAAGCTTCTTTATCTGCCGCTCAACTGGAAGACGATAACCTCGGGGCGACCGGAGAATGGGTCGGGCTACTGGGGTTTAGCCAGGGCGCTCATCTAGCTGCCAGTATTCTAGCAAACCAACAAGTAGTCCACTGCGACACGGAACCTGTTTACCGGTTTGCTATTTTGCTAGCGGGACGAGGCCCACTGCGATGGCTGAACCCAGAGTTGCCTATGCCTGCAGGCTTCATCGACGCGACGCAGTCCACTACGGGCCGAGAACTTATTATGGACATGACTGAATCCCGAGTTCACATCCCAACGGTACATGTCCATGGTATGGCGGATCCAAATCTGATGCTGCACCGCAGACTGCTCTACCAGCATTGTGATTGGAAGAGTACGACGCTGGTCGAGTGGGATGGCGAGCATCGTGTGCCTATCAAGACAAAGGACGCTATCCCGGTGGTACAAGAGATCTTCAATGTGGCACACAGGACAGGTGTCATCGGGACAATATCGGGGTTCTGAATGTCTTGATGTCCTCTTACTTTCCCTTCAACTGGACTGGTCCTTTCACAGTTTCTTTTTCTCTTTTCGTTTCGGAAAACAGTCATGCTTTTTTTCGCTCGCAATTAGAACAATGGCTGTAACCTGTAATTACATTCTAGAGATAATAATTCCAACGCAAATACATAGTCTGCTCCAATTCCTGTGTTTTCAAAATTGATATGATATTCATCAGATACCCAATAAACGACCTTCGATATGATAAAAACACGCTACAAGACAGGCAGCCAGTATCAAATAGATTTGTTATATAAGAGAATATACTTTTACATTCATCAGCACCTTGTCTCGGACTTTCTTTTCAGTACGTACTCGGCAATCGTTGCTAGTGCTGACTCGGCAAAACAAATTCCACACACCTCATCTTTCATATTCTACGTCAGATTTGCAATGTAGTAAGCCAGGATATAAATTATGCGTACATGAAAAAGATATATACTGTTTATCACCCATCTTCAAACTCAAGGCCAAAGTATCCACCGTCCACAATCTACAGCTATAACCACAATGACGCGTTCACCGGAAACTCCAGAAATTGCTATTGTCGGTGGCGGCATTGTAGGCCTTGTCCTAGCCGCGGGCCTCACTCGTCGTGGGGTGCAGGTAAAGCTGTTCGAACAAGCACGCAACTTTCGCGAGATCGGGGCTGGGATCGGCTTCACACGTAACACCGTCAACTGCATGGAAAAGATCAGCCCGGGAATAGTGCGCGCGCTGCGATCTGGAGGCTCCGTCAACGTGTCCTTGGACCAGACGGACCCGAAAGCGTACCTGCGGTATATCAACGGGTACGGAATACAGCGCGAAGACGACCCCATGTATCAAAAGCCGTTGCTCAGACTGGATGCGGGTGTCAAGGGATGGGAGACCGTACGTCGAGATCAGTTTCTAGATGACTTGGTGAAAGAAATTCCAGAGGGAGTGATTCACCTCCAAAAGAGACTGAGCATGATCGTGGATGAGGAAGATCAGGACAAGGTTGTGCTGCAGTTCACCGACGGGACTAGTGTCGAAGCCGATGCTGGTAGGCATTTCCTACATTGATCAGGCTCCAATTGAAGGCTAACTCAAAGCAGTCATAGCCACTGACGGTATTAAGTCCACCGCGCGAAAACTCCTCCTCGGCGCAGATAACCCGGCTTCGTACCCGCAGTATAGCCACAAAGTTGCCTATCGAGCACTTATTCCCATGGACAAAGTCTCTGCCGCGATTGGCGAATACAAAACTCACAAACAGCACATGCACGTTGGCCCAAATGCCCACCTGATTCACTATCCGGTTAACACGAACACCATCGGGGCAACGGTAGTCATCTCCGACCCCAACAACTGGCCACTCGACAAACCCACCACCGCCCGTGGATCCCGTAAAGACGTGTTGGAAGCTCTCGCAAACTGGAGTCTCCCTGTCCGCAATCTGGTAGACTTGTTCCCCGAAGAACTCGACCAGTGGGCACTGTTCGACCTTGCTGAATACCCGGTGCCAAAATACAACAAAGGACGTGTTTGTCTCGTCGGGGATGCAGCGCACGCATCGAGTCCACACCATGGGGCCGGGGCGTCTTTTGGAGTGGAAGATGTGCTGTGTTTGTGCACGATGATTCCAGAACAGACCGGTCAGTTCAGTCGAGAGCAGAAGGTGTCGAAAGGCGATGCACTACGTGCTGCCTTTGAGACATACGACAAAATGCGACGAAGTCGGACGCAGTGGCTTGTGAATAGCAGTCGTCGGGTGTGTGACCTGTTCCAGCAGCCTGACTGGGCCAATCCTGCCAAGAGAGTTAAAGCGGAGTCATGCTTTGAGGAAGTCAAAGACCGGTCGTTCAAGATTTGGCATTTCGATTCCGGGAAGATGGAAGAGGACACTATCCGCGATTACAAGGAGAGGATCGGAATGTTGGGGAAGACCAAGGCAGCAAACGCAGTTAATGGCAAAGCCATGTTGGATACTTCTGCAGAGCCGGAATGGCTTTTTTCGGCTTAAGATAGACAATCATCAGGACTGATGTTGTTTGGTTTGAGTCTCCTTACGTGCGGGCTTGATATATAACTTTCTCAACAAGTTATTCTGGATCGGTAGAAGAGATAAACCAAGACTTTGCAAGCAAGCGAATTGATCGTATTGGAACGGGAATCTCCCTCGAGGACCGCCTTACACTATGGTAAGCTTTACTCTGAGCCTGGAGGCACATAGCTCCGCACGTTCTGCGATACATACACCGATCCTGGTGCTAATAAGTTATGTTTGGCTTTATTGCAGAACGGATTCACGCAGGACTCCGAAGTTCTCATTCCGAAACACCGTGGCTTGCGACTTCGGGATTCCTTTCGAATACATATGTATACAACACAACCTGTAAGGACTAAAACGAAAAGGGAAAGCCATCCATCTCGTATATGTGACAAAATTAAGAACAATACCATTTTAAAGGTCAGAAAAAGATTCTCCGTAATCTCAAGTATAAAAATTGCATTGGTTTCTCTCTCTGATGACCATTGGAAACAAAACGCCGAAAATGAAATTATACTAGTGTACACCTTCCTCACTTCGCCAACTTGATCCCAAAGCGACGAATAATGTTAATTCGCTTTCCACAGGCTCTTTACATCCTTCTTGACTGGCTTGAGAAGACCTTTAATCTCCGCTTTGAGAGCCTTCTTCTCTTCTTTAGACCACATTCCACTCCGCTTCGCGGCTCTGAGGTCACGGACGTGGCCTGTGAGCAGAGCTGATATATTCTCCACCGTGCACTTGGTGCACTTCTTCTCATCGGCAATATCGTTCAATGCTGTCGCCAGTGTGCGTATTATATCTTTTGCCTGCGGTTTCTGCAATTCGGAATCGAGAAGCGGGACTTGGCTGGGCCCGTGGGTTAAGCAATCCACCTTGGGGCTGGTACTAATCGGGCTTCAGTTAGCAGCTGTCACGTTGCAAACGCAAATAGAGATGTGGGGGTGTGGGTTCTCAAAGGCTTACTGTTTTTGTTCTCGTTTCTCGGTGTTGTCCAACTCCACAGAATCGACGGAGGTGTAGGACGGGGCCTTGGAGTCGTCGGTCTTGAATTCGGTCATTATGCTTGTATGCTGATTGTGAAGGTGAGGATGATAGTTTCTGAAGAAAGGGTTTCTCGTTTTGTTAGCTGTCAATATTCTAGCTGACTGGCATTTATATGTACACCTCATGGTACTGCACGTTTGTCGAAATGGGAAAGTCCGATATATCCGACGATTACCAGATTGGGTCGGCCGCCGAGTGAAATGTCCGATCGGGCTCGGGGTTTCTTTTTAATTCTTCGATTCAATGGATTTCTTATTCAAAAAGAGACCGTCATGACCGATATCTTAGTGTGCATAGACATTTTTCAAAACTCCCCTGAACACAAGGCCCAAGTGTAGCTGTACAATATAGGTTGAGCTGTATATCCAAAATGAAATATCGTTTTTGAGATGTCAACAATGACAGGCTGGACAAGACATTGACTGGATTAAGGGAAGAGCACCTGGGCAGTCATCCAATATCTCTGCTGGTTTTGGTCCTTGGACTCCCCCAGGGCTACCCGTTTCATCATCACGTAAGGAAAGGTTCATTTACACAACTTGAATTACAGCTCGATATAGGTGACAAAAGCAGCCGTCAACAACAGTATTTAATTAGAACGAATTATAGTTTTCCTCAAAGGAATGTTTAAAACATGTGCAAGAACGGGCTGGGCGAATGAGCATCCAGCGACTTAATGCAGGTGGAGGCCTCAGCACTTCGACATGCGTGAGGGCCACGCGGCAGCCTGTATATGTAGGCTATAAGAAACACGAAGGTGAAAGGCATCCCCGAGGCATATATTCACGCAGTTCATTGATTGGCAGCACCTCTTATGAATTCAAATAGCTAACTAGTACGGCGTATTGCCCTAGGAAGATATTAGAAAGAGGTCTAAAAGGATATTAAAAAGACATCGTAGTAAACGCGGTGAGAGATTCACGTCGCTCTTCTTGTAGATTCTAAAGATGTCGCCATCTGGGGTCATAATAGAGAAGGGCTCCTCTTCTCTCCCAATACACTCTCTCCCTCCTGCACTTTGGGTCCCTACGTCCAAGAGCTATCTCTCTGGAATAAAACATCCACATCTGCCAAATCAAGGATGCGAGGATTTCATGTAGATGCCCGGCTGCTGTGTGGAATGGCTTCGTGCTCGTTTTACAGACTTGCACAATAACAGTGACGGGGTTCAGCTCTCTCACTGTGTTTGTTCCGTGCCTCCAAAGGCTTAATTCAGTCCACTCGCTGTGATCAGCATGTGACAGAATGAAGTCCACAATTGAGGGCCACTTAGGAAAGATCGGGTGCTCCTTGTTCACAGGGGAGTAGTGCTTTCCGACCAGAATTAGACGCTCCTGAAGAGTGACCTCGTGAATTTTCTCCAAGTCAGGCGCTATGACCCTACGCTCATTGATTGTCAAGAAGTAGTGCTCCCTCTGCAAATCAAGTATCGTAGAACGTAAAGCAGATTCTGAGTCCAAACCAAGCTTGTAGTAACTGCATGACATAAACACAAAAAGTATGATTAAGCTTGTATTTCTCAACTCATACCACATCTGAAGATTTCCCCCACTGTGCGATGTAGTGAAATTACTGCCTTTGTTTCTAGGGCTTCCTTATGAATATGATCTTCGAACCCAGTTGCCAAGGGGACATCTTGTTCTATACCTTCCATGGCCCGAACTGGGGAATTCGATATAGAGGGGTGGAAAGATTCCTGATCCTGATTCGACGGCTGAGGCTGAATCTTGTCATTTAATAGGGTGCTCCAATGGGAATTAGACTCTCTGTCGCGGTCTGGAGTTCCTAGTGGATGTGGTTGAAGGTCAATAGGCTTAGAGATTACTTCCTCTCCTTATACACATTGCTGTCCCTGAGGCGCTGCTTCAGAACGAGGTCGACTCATTACCCAAAGTTTTTGACTGGTAATCTAATCTTGAAAAGTTATATATTATTTTCTGCACGCAGCCAGATCTACAGCCTGAAGATAACGACCTAAAGGTGCAGCAGCGGTGGGAGCTTGAGAGTACACAGGGAGCGATGTTCTTCCGGAATAATGAGCGAGGTGCTTTTGAGTGGGTGGATGGTGAGTATATCGACGACAAAGCCCTATACAAGCTGATAGAGGAGGCCAGCAACGGGCTACCTGAAAAGCTTACAGAGAACCAAAAGCACAGCTTTGAGGTCCGTCCTGTTTTTGCTGTTAGAAAATGAATGGATGCCATCTCACTCGACATTGTGTGTAAACTGAAGTTGGAGTAAAACTCGCTTTGAGGCTAAACATCATATTCAAAATGTGAAAATGTCAAAGACCATAGTGTGAATATAGCCAGTATACAAAAGTGTATGTATCAGCGCTAACAGGTTTCTATTGACATGGTCCTGTGACTCATCCAGCATGTAAAGTCTCGTTGTGATTTCAAGAGGGCACCTCTAGCAGAGCACACATTAAACAAGGAGCACTGTTTGACTAGAGGTAAAAGGTAAAAATATAATGTGAGAATCTCCAGAGGCTTGTGTACAAGCCCTTCCTTCCTTTCTTTCTTTCCTTCTCTGTAGAAAAATATCACACTAAGAACCAAACTAAATGAATTACAATGGAGCTCAAAAATAGATCAGCCGCACACTGAAATAAACAAACAAGGGGGAGGGGAACGTATTGTAAAGTACTAGAGCATGGGGATGATCGGGAGTTCGGATCATCAGACAGAGGTGAGGTCATGTATGGGCCACGTGCTAGCCTAGTCAGATAAGAGTGTAATATATTGACAACAATAGAATCGAATATGCTATCTTGTCGAGAACTCGAAACCAAAGGTGAGAGAGTAGGGTAGATAAAGATGAATGGGTCCTTTATGATACGGTTATATAACCTCACGAACCAATTTTGTGTTAGTCAAGGTAGTCAGCTCTTTTCTGTTTGAACCGAGTCATGTATATCTGCATATCGAAGTAACAGTTCTTGGCTGCATGGCTAAACTCTGGATACTCCTTTGGAAGAGTCCTTGAGATGATGTTGAGGAGAAATATCTTGTCTTTGAACTGTGTGTTTTGACTATATCTGTTCAGAACTATTCTTTCCTTTTTCCTGCAGATATCCTCAAGACTATACTACCTAACTTTAAACCGCTTTCCTGCTCTTTTGAACCTCACTTCACCAGCTCCTGCTTGGGCGGACGGTTAATACTCCAGACCAGGGCGTAGGGCTGAGCATAACCGCGTTGAAAGATGCGATACGCACGCACGATGATTTTCACGTTCCCAGCAGGAAGATTGGTCCACACCACCTGTTCGACATTGTTGGACCGGTCGAACCCTGTCTTGTCGTCCATGTTCCCATGCTTTTCCTTCCCACCTGGTCCGACAACAATCAAGTCCAGATCATTCTGAAGCGTCTCGCCAGGTGGATCTGTCCAGACCAGGGTTACCTTCAGCACCGTGCCCTCGGGCCGTTGCCTAGTTGGGATATTCACCACCATCTCGTCGCTCGCGCCTTGCGAGAGGGGTCCTCCCTCGCGATATCCACCGTCGGATTGATTGGACAGGATTACCGAGTTGGTCAGATTCACGCGTCCATAGCCGCTGTTGCCGTTGGGCGATGGACCAGCTTCCGTTGGAACATATTGTCCCGTTAGTTCAACGGTTCCATTGATCAATAGCGCCTTGACAAGGGCTGCACTGGGCTTCTGGGTTCCATTTTTAACCAGCGTCTCTCTCAGGACAGCAGTGCATCCAGCCACCAGAGGTGTGGCCATACTGGTGCCAGCTAAAAACCACCACTCGGGATCCAAACTCTCGCCAAAGCTATCTTCCGCACGAACTAGGTGTCTAGACCGGGTTGAGAGGATTGCAGTTCCAGGTGCAACGACATCGGGTTTAATCCGTCCTTCCAGAGTAGGCCCGCGGCTACTGAAGGCTGCCAGGCCTTCAGGATTGTCTGCCATCAGATCTTTGCTAATGGGGCCCTTGGGCCATCGGGCCCCATATGGGATGGAAACCTCCGGGCGATAGTTCTCGCTTGCTCCCACGGTGATACAGTTCTTCGCGGCTGCCTCGGCGCCTATCTGCCTGGGGTCAATAATTCCGTTCCTGTCCGCGTCGATGCCGTCGTTTCCGCCAGCAAAGAGGATCACCATGTCCTGATGCTCCCAGACGAAGTTGTCGATGCCTTCACTGGAAGGATTATATGACAGCTGCCTCATGTCAGGTGAAGATGATCCCCATGAGTTTGTATGAATGCGAGCACCATCATTCTGGTATGGAAGAGAGAAAAGCCGGTCAATGTCCATTGGGACCCCACCAAGACCATTGGATTGGTCGAGGAGAGATTGCACCACAAGGTTAGCCTTTGGTGCTGCGCCACGGATCTGTCCACCCATCTTGGCAGAGTACCCATCTCCAAGAACAGACCCGCAGACGTGAGTCCCATGGCCGTCTGGATCGTCTGACTTTCGGAGTCGTCCTAGGGCATACAGCTGCCTGACTCGGCCCTTGAAGGCAGCATGGGCGTCAGTGGCACAGCCTGTATCGAATCCAGTATCCGCAACAGCTACCACCTGTCCATCACCATCGTACTGGGTACCATTGACTTGGACAGGGGCACCGAGGATCTTCATCGCCCGGCTGTTGAAGAGCCGTGGGGGATAAACTGGCTGAATGCGCCTGACTTGGTCAATGGCCGCAAGAGCATCCAGGTATTGACTTTCAACATTAAGCCGGATCTTTTTTGGTCCCGCACCTAATGCTTCCGGATCAGCATGCCCAGCTGCGGCAACGGCCGACAGAACTTGTGGAGAGCTTGCCTCCACGTCCTTATGAAGGAGGACGTCTACCGCTTGGGTCGTCCGGTCTTTGGGCACAGTCGGGAACACCTCCATAACTCCGGCAGGAGTCTTCAGGTTTGACTGGACAACAAACAGGTCTAGATAGACATTGACCCAGGAGAGATACGGAAGATTGCGGATGCGCTGAAGATCCGTGTCCTTAAATCCGCAAAGGTAGGTGTTCCTTGAGACATACTCCTGGATTTTTACACCTAGCTTCTCGAGCTCATCCTCTTGCTCATTCGATAGAGGCTCGATGGACTGCACCAGGATGTAGTCCGACTTGGAGGCGTCTGCTGACTCAAGACCGAAAGCACGAAGCGCCGGGCGTTGTGTCTCAGGGTCCAAACGGTTTCCGTTAATCAAGATCTCGGCCATTTGTGGTTGAGTGACGAACAGCTTCTACGTGACTAGTTTTCTCAAGGTGACAGACGAGTGAGTAAGCATTAATACCAACGCAAGGTGTAACTGGTAGTAGATTGTAGAATTGAGGTGCGGGTTACTTCCAAGGAAGCCATTACATCGTGGTCAGTTACAGACGGGATGACCCTGGGATGACGATGGCAGGAACCTCCCTCCATCCGAATACGAACCCTCAGTGCTGACGCCCGAACGGCTGGAAGAAAGGTGTCCCATCGAACCGGCTTCCTGTCCAATCAACTGGGATGGGTGAGTCGGAACTGATAGCAGTGGACGCAATCTTCGGAATCTTTTCCTTCCCGTGGTGTGAAGTTGCATCATATAGACGTCAACGGCATCAGCGCTCAGGCACACGTATAGATGGTGTAGTTACTGGAGAGTCTTTGGGTGATCCCATTAATTATCCTCGCAACATTTCAGAAGTAACCCGTAGCTTCCTTCTCGATATACACTTTTTACCTGAACAAGCTTCAAATGCCGTTTGCAATGGCGGAAGCGCCCAAGCCAATTTTTGAGGACATACCTGCTGAAAGGACTAGAAAGACGGTTGACACTGTGGTTGATGTCTTAAATCCATTTCCACCAGTCGAGGTGATCCTCCTTGACAAGGAGAAATATTTGACTTGGGCCGGAGAAGGTGCACCGAAAGAATGCCCAAGCCAACGACTTCCCGGCTTCTCCTTTAGAGCCAGGCCTGCGGCTACTCCTGCAGGGCGCGAAGTGCGAGGTTTGACAGACACCGCCAAAATCAAGCCGTCGGTGGTCTTCCTACCAGACGAGCGCTATACCTACGCCGACAGCAGCTTCCCGTGGTCAACAGTGGGTAAGGTACGCCATGCGGGTCGGGGGTTGTAGTTGGGCCACGTCATGACAGCTTTGCACTGTATAAATTGGAAACGCGACCCAACGGTAATATCGGCTGGGCATCATTCACCCCCGCCTACTATGATGGCCGCGGGCCCTGGGGAGAGTTCTCCGTTAGACGGGTCATCTGCTGGGTCGAGAACAGTTCTCAAGGCTTGACAGGCCAACAGAAGCCTTTGACTATGCTGTGCTGGTGCTCCACGACACAATCAACGACAAGGTTGGCGGCTACGCCGGCGCTCGGATGTATGACGCGGCGTGGAATGGACAGGCGTTATGGCAGACCCTTGGATACCCCGCTGACCTGAACAACGCCGAGCGCCCAACTTTCCAGCGAGACTGTGTCATCAGTAGCAGGGAGGACTTCTCCTTTCCCACTGGTCGCGGTCCTGGGGGCTTTGTACTGGGCCATTTCAATGACACCTTCTCTGGCATGAGTGGCGGGCCGAATTGGGGAACCTGGCCTAACGACCCTGGGCCGAGTGTGGTGGGCGTGAACAGCACAAGTCCAACTGTTCCACAAATTGGCAGTACCACTGGGGATGAGTACGGTGGGGGAACAGCCATGGTTGAGCTTGTGAAGTGGGCAAGAAGCAATGGACCATAGCTTAGACATCGCCAAAACCCAATCCAACCTCAAATTGAGTTTGGGTTTGGGGCCCGGAAAAAAACACTATCTAGCATAAAGGATTTTTGATTATTTTTGTGGCTCTTGTGACATCAGCCGACTGCGTGTACTGACCACTGCTTATTTGCTCCAGAAGACAGTGGAACACGACTTTGAGGAACCGGGCACGCTAAGTATCCCTTTCTCCACGGTCCTCCAGTTGTAAAAAAGTAGCCTCTACGACCCAGCTATGGGATGATCCAAGTTGAGATCAAGGGCTTCCTCCTCAGTGAAAGAGCTTTTAATGTTGGCTTTCCATTGCGGGATAGATTTCATCAAGTTCGCGCAGGCACGTCGTCAGACAGGTCGTCAACTTTTGGGGTCGTCGCATGTTTCGCAAACTTACAACGATTGGTCTTTTTGATTCGTTCCTTGGAAATTGGGGGGATTTGTTTCCACAGATTATTGAAAAGCCTCAAAAGACTTCTCTATGTTAGTATGATAGTCCGTATAGAAAATGATCAACTTACATCATCATCAGAAAGGAGATCGAGGAGATCGTCACGCGTACGGCAATCTGCTTCAAAACATGCAGCACTAAACCTTTCCAGGACGACTTTACTCTCAATAAGTCCCATATCCATGATGTTAAATGATTTCCGTAGTCATTGAGATGGCGAAGTTTAACTTGCACATCCGCCTGCATATAAAAATCACCATCATGCCAATATTCGAGCCAATAATATCTCTTTTTTTGCGAGCTCGGCTTTGGTTGGCCAAGAAGCGCTTCGGCTCCTTAGGACCGAGCGTAGTGAGAGTGAGCGAAACCCGAATAATGAAAGGCCGTGTGAGTCGGCAGAGCTTGAAGGCCTGAAACATGTTGCACAGTACACTTCTATGCCTGTTCCGAAAGTTCATCGAACCTACTGCGTTTCTGGACGCCTCTATATCGAAATGGAATACATCCAGGGGGTTACACTCCAAGCTATATGGGCTAGCCTCAATTTATCATCCACTGAAAAGCATGCTATTGTTATTCCAAGTTGCTGCTTACGTCGATCAACTCCGACTTCTCTAGCCGCCACAGAAAGGGGTTGTCGCTTCAGCAGGACTAGGACAATGCCTTGACTACCGTGTGGGGTACAATGCTTTCGGCCCCTTTTTCAACAATGAAGAATTTCATTCTTTTCTCCGCGGACACATCCCATTGGAGGATTGTACACAAGTGTATGATGAATCTGTCACGCAGTGCCATTCTCGCCAATACCGGAACTGTTTCACCCATGGAGATCCTTGCCCACGTAATATCATCATACGCAATGGCGATATTGTTGCAATTGTTGATTGGCAATTCGCTGGGTGGTATCCGGAATATTGGGAATACACAAAAGCGCATTTTGGACTTTTCGACATGCCGGACTGATACGCCGAGTCTCAGAATGCTGTGCCTAGGTACGATGATGAATTGGCTGCGGAACGTGCTCTCTGGGAGCATTTGATCAACCGGGAATGGTGCAATTAAATTCGAGGTCGGAATTGGGGCAAAGGTAAATAGGCAAAAGTACCTATTGCTACGATGATTGTTCTTCACATCCAATACTGATTTCTAGGCGACAGAGGAATTGTTGACCACACTGTCGTTGAAGCGAAGAAGCAGACCGATACCCGCGTATAGATGTTCTTCGATCAACTCAACAGAGACTCCGGGAATATCATTTGCAAGCTCTGCCTGACTACGACGTAAAGCGTGATACCACTTGTCCGGATTTGGCTGATCCAGCATCAATAAGCATGGTGAGGATAGGCTCAGGCTCCCTATCAACCCTTGAAATGCGCCCGACAAGCCTTACATAGAGAAAGCCAAGACCAAGTGCTCTAAGGATGCTTGCTGTACGCTGCTGAGCTTTAAACGAAAGTCCGGCAATTGTACCAGGAATATTCGTCGTTGTGATAGATGGAAGGGAGTATAGCGTCGGGCCTCCAACACGGTGGGATGGTTTCAAGGATCCATGTCTGTCCACATATACTGGACTGCCGAATGGAGACGAGGATGATGAAGTTGAGTAAAAGCTCAGTGCATGAGAACTGGCCTTGTAAAAGGTAGAAGATGTAAATGTGGATGACATTCTTTCGTAGCTAGCCCTAGATCGATATAAAGGCGAGGCGAGATGGTAAGGAAGTTGGAGTTGGCAAGAGGTGACAAGAGAAAGGTCGTGACCCAAACAGAATACCCATGATTCAGTTTGATATTAGCGACCTTATATCCTCAGGTTCTCACGTAAAAATTCCCCGTTTGAGAAGCGGCTTAAGCACCGAACACGAAGTGAGCCCAAACCTCCAGCTAATCTACCTAGGTACGTATATTTTTGCATAAGGAAAGGTTCATTTACATTTCAATTGACAACTTGAATTACAGCTCGATATAGATCAAAAAGTACTTAATTAGAAGGAATAATAGTTTTTCTCCAAAATATTGTTTAACCATGTGCAAGAACGGGCCGGGTGACCAGCGACTTAATACAGGTGGAGGCCTCAGCACTTGGACATGCGTGAGGGCCACGCGGCAGCCTGTATATGTAGGCTATAATAAACACGGAGATAAAAGGCATCTCCGAGGTATATATTCACACGGTTCATTGACTGGCAACAGGGGAAGCGTATGTGATCCCGAAGTTGACCGTTTGCACGGTATCATAGTCCCTCGGGTTAGCGCGATTGCCGAAGATCTTCAGCGCACGCACAACTAGGGAGTAGTTGCCTGCCGGAACGTACGAGCCGTTCGCCAGCACACCCGTGAATGAAGTTGCCCCGGGACCAGTAACGCCCTCAACGGTCCGGGGGAGGGCCGTCTTGGGGTCAGATACGGGGAGGATAGTGTGGCCATTGGCCGCCTTAACACCGATCAGGAGCAGATCTGTGCCCATGGACAGCTTGGTCTGGAAGATGGGGTAGCTGGTGTTTGCTGTGTCGATGGGGTCATTCTCGCCTGGCAGAACGAACTGCTGGTTGGCCTGAACACGCTTCTTGGTGGTGCTGTCGATGATGTAGTTGCTGCCTTCCGTCGTGTCTAAGATGGTCACGTTGCGCATGGCGGTGGCAACGCCCAGGTAAGGAACGGAAAAGGAATCATCCGAGCTCGTTCCATTGAGGGTGATGTATCCGCTATAAACAGGGATGCGGCGGGAGACGAGACCCTTGGGAGGAGTGGCAGTGACCTTCAACACGGTGGACCCACCAGCGGCGACGAGCACACTAGATGAGCTGAAATTAAGTGAGGCGCCATTGTCAACGCGGTCCACGAAATTGCCGAGCTTGTTCTTCTGGGGAATGGAGCTGTTGTCGGGTAGTGTGTAGACGGTAGCAGCGCCGACGTGGCCGACAGTGTAAAGGCGCGGCAACGAGCCGGTGTTGTTGATGCGTATATAGGCCGGGGCAATGTGCTCGGTATCATTGAACGAGATGGTGCTCACATTGAACCTAGTGGTTGTGTGCACAAGCTTGTAGGCATCAATAAGGCCACCGCCCTGCTGCGCCACAGATCCCAGGATGGGCGATGCTGTGACACCGTCATGGAACAAACCAGGGTTGGCCGTAGTCGACAACAGAGACTTGATCTCGGCAGGGGTCACCTTGCCCTTGCCGCGAGCCTCCATCAGGAGAGCAATGCAACCCGCAACGAAGGGAGTTGCCATTGAAGTACCACTCTCCACGGCGTAGCCGCCTTCGAGGACCGGCCATGTTGACAGCATAGATCCGCCGACCCCGGAAGCCGCTGTCACAGGGAGGATCTCGTAACTGGGACCCCACTGGCTGTATCGACTGATTTGACCGCCCGATTGATGGTTTGTCTCATTGATGAAGATAGTCTTGGCGTACTTTTCACTGATCATGTGTAGGGTGATATTGGCCCCAGATGCGGCAAGCTTCACCCAGTTCTCGCCGGTCTGGGCGGATACCATTCCCAAGCCCGTGAGAGCAGGGTCCTGGACGGGGAGCTCATAGGTTTCAGGCTCGTTGTTGTAAAACAGGATATTCTTAGCACCGGCCTTGACCGCGTTGGCCTGCTGCACACTGCCGCGGCAGCCACCGTAACGGATCAGAACAATCTTGTCGGAGATGTTCGGGTGGTTACCCGTCCACGGCTTGCAGGAATCGCCAACGACCGATGTGTTGAGGCTGCTAGGATATAGGGTGTAGGTGCCATTGCTGAAGTCGGAGGTACCCGCCAGATGCCAGCCAAATTCTTTGGTGGTGTTTCGGGTTGAGTAAGTAGCTCCGGTTAGCAGTAGAGGGCTATACAGGTTGTTGACAGATCCGATGCCAATACCGGCAGAGTTGTCGATACCATTTGAGGCCAGGAACAGGCCGTAGCTTCCGTCATTGCCAGTGGCAATGAAAGAGGGAAGGCCGGCCTCAGCCAGCTTCTGGATCAATTGTCCCCACGGCTCGTCGCTCCAGCCCCTGTATGAGCCGAAGGAGGCGGAGATAATATCGGCTTTGTCTTCGTAGGCCTTCTTGAAAGCGGCGGTGACGATATCAGTACCAGTTTTCACGACCCGCTTTCCAAGGACCTTGTAATGACCCAGAGTTACATTAGGGGCCACGCCAGTGAAGTTATATGGGTTGGGCTGAGCGGCAATCAGTCCAGAGACATGAGTTCCTTGGCCAGTCAACGAAAAGATTTACACGGAGGGCTTGGATGAGGACATACCGTGTCCGTCGTGGCCTTCCCACGGGTCGGTACTGTTGTCCAGGAAATTGAAACCAAATTCCACAAGGCAGCCCTTACCAAAGCAGCCTCCGAGAGCGGGATGCTTATAGTCAATGCCTGAGTCAATCACCGCCACGCGGATACCAGATCCCAGGTAGCCTTCCTGACGCAGCTTGTCAACTCCGGCCATAACCTGAGGGTAGTCGTTCACTTCGTGGCCCCCGGTGGCACGGCGTCGAAGACCATGAGAGGCCGCACTAAGCCGGGCCAGCGAGCCATGGGCAACACTCGAAACGTCTCGATGCGGCTGGTGCAGCTCCCGGACAGGGGAGACCTTCTTCACCATAGGCCATGAGGACATCTGCTTGACAATGGTCGCCTCATTCTGGCTGTTGTCTAGTAGTGTGAAGGAACTACCGTGGAAAAGAGCGAAGGATAGGTCGTGGTTAAGACTGGCGGGGATGCCGTGGTCGTTAAGAGTAGAGAGGAAGCTGGCAGATGACTATAAAAGCTAGCGAATCAGTATAACTGGTGACTCTTGAAAGGACAGAATTGACGATGGACGGACAGTCTTGGAATCGGAAAACTCGACGATGTATTTTTGGGCGATAGGGTCGCCATGTCCTGCCAAAGCCACCGGCAGGGCTGCTAAGAAGGCGCCCAGCCATAGGCGAAGAGGGGCCATGTTGGAAAAGAAAAATGAATGGCCGGACCCAAAGAGTCCAAAAAGAGCGACTGGAAACAAATCAAATCAAAGAGTGACGAGGTTGAAGGAAAAGAAAGAACGTCTACAACCCCTATTATCCTATATATACAACATAATGAGAGGACGGGAAAGCTTCCACAAACAGACTTTGACGAGGTTTCGTTCTGATCTGAAGCCCTCGGCGGGGCCGGATCTCGTATTGTTTGTGATCGGCGTAGATATCGCCGATCTGCGTCTATTTAGGCTAGCTAGCGCATTAGGAGGAAAAAGAATCCGATTGTGTTAGAACACCTGTTCTCGATGGTATTGTCTGTTATCCTGATCCATACACACTACGGAGTAGTATAATGCATTAGAATTAGACCTGTATCTGTATTATTAGATTGCTACACAACTCCACAATAATACAACCAATATACACACTATGTACAAGAGATTGTGAATGCTCGGAGCTCGGAGATTAGACCTGTGAACGATCGACAAATCCATAGCGCTAATCTATTATCGCAGAGGATCGTTGCTGATATACCCTTGCTCTTATATTACTATAGGCTAGTTTTAAGGGCTAAGCTGATGGCGCAAAAAGGTGGGGATTACAGAAACACGGATAAACCATTGGTCTTTCGGTTCGAACCGTAGTCGATCACTTTCTTAATCCTTTTTAGCGTGATAACTTGATGAACCGGGGTTGAGAACAATGGATCCTCCAATAATGCGATTCAATGCCGCCTTCAGATGCCATATTCACTCCCAGTACGGAGTAATGTGTAGTGCGATACCCCTATTATGGGGTCTGACATGCTGAGCATATGATCCTTTTAGAAAGGTCTGCACTTTCTGTATTGCACTTCATTGTTAAATATTCCTTTATTTCTACTTGCAGTACTCAATTCAATACTTGTAATATTTTCAGCAGGGGAGAAAGATAAATTCTCACTGCGGATGTGTAATATCCCGGGCTAGTAGCTTGGGTAGACTTGTAAAAAGGCTGGGTAGACTTCCAAGGTTCCAGCTTTGGAATGTTGTAAATGGCAGATTGTATAACTAATATATGGCCACTATAATATGTAATCATATTAGCGTGTTAATATTTCTCTATATTGCAAAGTTTATATTACCGCTTCCGTTTTTGGATGTATCATTCTCTACAATGGCATTAACACTACCTATTACAGCCTCATAATCCTTCCTTCTAGAATACTCCTTACGGTTCTGGGCTCCCTCTGTCACTCTGTCACGTACATATGTATATCGAGTGATTAGTAGAAGCGACCCTTTGCTCTCCTACTCAATAGGCTCTATAACAGATTAATGTGGTTTTGGGTCTCCCTCGGCTTGTCGACCTAATGGAGACCCAAAGGCATTTTATTATAATATACCATTTACAAGTCTACCCGAGCTCGAACCCGGTCAAGCTGGTCATCCACAACCCTATGGTCAGAGCTAATGAAGGCAACGATAGATGCAGCAGCTCTGCCTAATTCTACTAGGTGACAACGTTCCTGCTGCAATATTAAAGCTCATTTTCTGGCATTTGAGTAAATGCATTTGCTCCCGTTCATCATCTACGGGAGGCTTCATGCTTTTGTGCTGGAGTTACGATGCGCCTTGTACACATTGACATTAGTACGCAGGGTCCAAGCCCGGAATCCCAATTGATTCCAGATGTTCTTTCTGCGGTCAATGGAGTAGAACAAACAGAACACTCAATCACATCATCCTGCACAGGTTATCTGGTCCGACTCAAGGAATATGTGGGTACCTGCGGTGCATTCGTGTTAGGCTCTGTAACTGGCCAGCACCATCCTTGCTTGTTGTCCCAGCGGAGATAGCCCCGGAGATAGCCCCGGAGAAAACAAAGGGCTTCGGGGTTTCCTTTTTTCTTCGACTCATGGGGTTTCCGTTTCGGGGAGGACTATGAGCTGTATATCCGAAGTGAAATATCGTGGTTGGAATCGTAACAATAATAGGCTAAATAAGATGTTAACTAAATCAAGGCAAGAGTAGGTCATCTAATGTCTCTGTTAAACTTGGTCCTTATACTCCTACCCGTCTCTTTATCATATTATGACATGTTTTTAATACTGCTATAAACGAATATTCCTATCTAAACTTGTCCAAAATCGACGGCAGTTTATTATCTCGATTGACTTACTATGTCTACGTCAGCTTTAAACAAGGCACCTATATCATTGTCCAAGAGGTCATATAATGATTAACTTATACTATGTAACCTTGGAATGCTAGGTATATCAGCTACCTATCTAGGAAGATAGGAACCACCAAGTGCGATCTGGCCCGTGAGAACACCGTGGAAGAACCATATCTCCCTCACTCCAGCTCCCGCTCCCGCTCCGAGATCCCTTCGAGTCGCAGATCATCCGCAGCCAAAAGAAGCCTACAACCCACCCGTATTTGCACCGTTCCACGCACTATGCTGAAGCTCGAAATGCAACATTCCCGCGAGGCTATTAGCAGACGCCAGATACCGCAGTGAAGAGGATAGGTCCTTGAACTGCTCTGCAGAGTTTGCATTCACCGACTTGCACGAACGAGTGAATCCGGCGCAGATGAACAGAGCAATGGGGGTGAACGGGTGCACCTGCGTTCGTTAGGACAATTTCATATCTCACTCAATGGGCAACCAGGTATCACCTTGAAAACCCCCAGTTGGGACAATCTCTGCGACTGACTGTGGATTCGCTCAGCTGCCTTATAAGCCCGTTTCTCGTACTCCCGGTACACATCTTGTGCGCCTTCCGAAACGGAGCTCAGCGCAGTGAAAAGAACCAAAATGGCGGCCTCTGCAAGCATTTCGATATACAGACGGGTAGGGTTACAAGGCTCGAGCTCAGTGGAGAGACTAGATAATGTCGTCTCAATTTCCTGGGTTAATATCTTGTCCAACGTGCAGTGCCGCGCCAGGTATTCTTGCGACGTGGGATCCGTGATGCGCTCAACACTGCACTGATTTCGGTGTGCTAAGCATCTTGCAAGGATGGTGACAATGACCATTGATTTGGCGTATGGGGAGAGCAACTGATTGGTCTTTTGGGACATGGCCGCGGCCAGAAATTCCGTCATTATTGCACCTTGTCGTCGGAATGCTGTCTCGGTAGCGGGTAGTCGCGTGAGAATCTAGAAGGCAGACGTGTCAGGTATGTTGCAACACTATCTTCATCTGTTCAGTCAAGCTCACCATCTGATCGTTCAACGCAAGGGGCAACTCGTGCACGAGATTAGCATACCGGTCGAGGGCGTATGCCGTCCAGAAGGTCCGCCGTCTCTCTTCAACTTCTACCTCTGACAGTCGGCATACTCGTCGCGTGCTTGGACTGTCTATTTGATCTAATTTCGCCCGATGTACCAGGTGAAAGCAGCGGCCCGCACTGCTCCATCCCTTCCGCGGATCTTCCTTCAGAATCCTATATAAAGCGAGCAGTAGCTGCGCCTGAACTATCTCTATCGGGATTTCTTGGTCCGGCATGTTGCGGTCCCAAGCGTCCAGTATACCGCTCGTATGTGCGTACAGCATGGGAAGAATGGCCTTGAACTGGCTACACATGGAAGCTGCAAGTGTGCGCATTGCGTGTTGCAAACACGAGAAAGGTTCGCTCGTCCGCGACACCCTGGTTGCTCTGGCGAAGTAGCGTTGTTGGTTGATTATCGGTGCGAAGAGGTACGCTCGTTCGAAAAATAAGTCATCGCTGTCTCTGATAAGAATTTGAACCACAAGGACGGGGGGATGAACATACAGGTCTGCACACTCGAGTGGTGTTATCTGGATGGGAGGCCGAGTGTCGAGGGGCGGTATTGGCAAGGGCTGGGAGCTCAAATCTGGAAATATAACGCTGTTCTCTATCACCGGGTCGGATATGGGCTTGGGGTTTGACATTATAGGCGGTGCCGGCGATATGACCGTGGGATTGGTGAAAGCGTCGATCTGCTTGTCCAGTTCGCTTTCAAAATCCAAAGACACGTTGCTAGGCCACTTGGAAAGTTCAATCGGTTGAGCGCTCATCAGATACTCCATATAATCCCCCGAGCTGTGGGAGGTCATCGCCTCGACATCTTCCATTGCTCCGTCGCTTATGTCCCCCTCCACCGACCTATCTACCTCCAAGGGTTTACGTTGGCCATTGCCTCCTTTGCTTGCAGGGGTGCCTGGATGGACCTCGGAGTCTCCGTACAATTGGCGCTCGAGCGTCGCTGTACACCCACACGTTAGCCATGACTTCTAGGCGGCCTGCGCAAGGGTATCCTACCAATCCGAGATTTCAGGGTCTTGACGTGTCCTTTTCGCGGTCCTCGTGGTCGTCGCAATGGATTAGTGATGCACGTAACACCGAGATTATAACATGTTCCGCAATGGGGCTCGGCCATGTCACACTTGAGCTTTCGTGAACGACATTCCTCACATGCGAGGCCATTTTGTTGGCGACGAACCTTCGTCGGTACAATAACGTCCCCCATTTGGTCAGTTATAGCCAGCCAATTGAACAGTATTTTGCTTCGTCACAACAGTCAGTACTTTGTCTCAGTCAGACTCAATGGGTCAGGCACGGCTATATCTAGGTCGATTAACTAGGTTACAGCATACACGCCGTTTATCAGGTCTTATACGGCCCCCATGCGGAACTGGTAGGATGCGGGATCTTTGGGGGCCAGGCAATTGGATCCGTCGGGGTACATCATACGTGATAGCGGCCCAGGTAAGACTGACTACTGCTCACTACATATCAGCCCCTAGACCTTCTCCATCAAAAACTCTGAGAATGTCAATCATGCCGATCATTCCACGCTAGTAATTTACTGTATCGTAAATTACGTCGCTAAAAAGAGCTGAGCTTGATGGTAATTGGCTAATTCATTGCAGCTAAACTGGCGAATACTGCATGAGACGCCACTATGACATTGTTTTGGAGTTCCAGATGTGCCCAGTGGGTCTTGGTACCTCTGCTTACTCTTTACTCCGCACACATGTCCCGGCTGACGTCGACCCTGAAGTAAAGGAACGCTACCTAGGTAAATGTCCTTTACACTTTTGCCCTGATTTAACTGGACAACACATAGCCTTCGGCTAGGTTCCGTCGTATGTGCCTCTTGGCTTTGTTGGGTGTCTTGGAATGATACTGCGCTAGGCTGATTCCTGAATAGACATATTGCCGCCGACTACATACCCGGGACACTGAATACCGTGAACTGGCCCGAGAGCTCTTGGAGAACCATACCTATGCATCCTTCTGTGGTCTTGACCTCGGGCACTCCACGCAAGGGCGTTGCCAGGGCATGCTTCACCTCGTCCCTATCCTTTCTCGTGTAGGGACTACAAATATATATATACTGCTCGACTGGGAGACAAATAGCAACGGTTGCATCTACAATTATACGAATAGGATGTGTGTAGAAGTCGATGGAACAAGCAAGGTGTAACATTCGTCGACTGGAGGAACGTCTCGGCTAATCTTCTATGCTTCGAAAAAGAAGCGAAATGTATGGCCATCTTTTTTTCAGCCCCTTGAACTAACTTTGGAATTACGGATCAATGTATGCATCGGCTTTCGTAATATAAGCGTATTCGCCGTGATAATACGAGCCGGTTCCACAGAGCTCGGCCTGAATTGTGATCCCTCATGTGCTGAGGATTCTCGTGCAGTGTGTTAGGAGGCAAACTGCGTATCCAGCCGCCAAGATGCATGGAACTAGTTTCTCGCCCAGAAGGCTTCGCGATCACTTGACACTACCGCTGAGTGGCTCAATTGAAGTAAGCTTTGGATGCCCAATGAGTGGGAATTGCTAGGAATAAATGGTGATTCTCAAAAAGAAACCCTATAGGACCGGCCAAGCTCTTGAAGGCTTGGGACCAAGTAAATTCCAAATCTGAACTCATGGTGTGTCAGCCGGGGCAAATTGATAGATAGGCGAGATATCAGAGACTGTATTTTGCCCAGTTGGGCTTTTTGGTAGCGGCAGTAATCATGGGATTGCCAAGGACAGTAGACATTCGGATGGGAATAATTCCACTCGCTTAGTTCACCTTACTATGCCATAACTGAACGGACAAACTTTTGGTTTGTGTTTAGATGTACTCCATGCTTAATTAACTATACCACGGCTAAATGAGTGTGTAAGCGAATATTTGGCCAAGAGACTATATACAGTACTTGAATTTGGATACCAATTCCAATTTTAGTTCCATTTATTTGTATGCCTTAATTTACACCAAAGCCCGAATGGAGACACACTCCAGGGCTATCTGGTGGCGTTATTCAGCCTTGGGAGTTACGATGTACTTTGCACACATGACAAATACATGCAGGGTCCAAACTTGGAACCCCAATTGACTCCAGATGTTCACAGTCGCATCATCCTCTAACGGCGTATCTGGTCCTATCCAAGGAATAATCGGGTACATGCGGTGCTGTTATTCGTGTCAGGTTGTCTGTTATTGGCCAGAATCGTTGCTTATTGCCCTGCCCAGCCTCGGAGATATCCTCGGAGAAAACAAAGGCCTCGGGGATTTCGGCATATTCACAAAATGGGATTTTAATCCCGAGACCGAATATTAACTCCGAGCCCTGTCACTGCCTAATTGAGATCTCTCAAAATAATACGTTAAAGCTTCAGACAGCTATTGATGCCTTGAATGACAGGTGAGAGGAGCCTCGCAGTAGATAGCTGGGCTCATCACCCTTCTCTCTCATCCTCAATCTGTCTTTCCATTCCTCCCCGTCTCTTTTGAATGCATCTCTATTTCTCTGTCCCCTCTCCACATCTCCAAGATAGTAACTACGTTGACCCTTTTCATATTTTCGACTTCTGCTTTGCCAACCTGGACTTAACTGCGCTCACCATGCTTCGCTCACTATTGGCGATCACTAGCAGACGCCCAAAATATATCTTTCCTGAAGTCGATCCGAAGATCGACGGAGACGATTGCCGCAGCGACTGCAATGACTGCACCGTGACATGTCCTAAAAACGTCAAGATTGACAGCACTCTTCCGATGTACGGATTCATCAAAGAGTTTCACGCCCACATACTCGTTGCAACGGGGAAGACAGATTGGATCCGGAAGGTCGAACAAGAGGAGGGGAGTTTAATGGCGGCCTTCAAATCAGACGCAAAGTCCAAGCACGGTGTTTGTCTATTTGGCCCGGCAGTAGAATCTTAGAGATATGCTAACTGCGTGCGAAAAAGCGTCTCATGATCTCCGCATCCAACCTTACTCCACCAGGTGGAGAGGTTCCTGATAACACCAAGACAACAATTCTCCTGTTACCATCGTTTACTTTTGTGGATTGTGTCTCTTACTCAGATGCCCAGCACGTAGTCGAGACGTTCATCGACGTGCCACCGGGTGTTCCAACCCATTCCATCAGCAGTCCACGATTGAGTTCCCGACCATGTCCACATGACTATGTAGTCCTGCTGTGCTCACACAAGCGGCGAGATGCGCGCTGTGGAATTACAGCTCCGCTGATCAAAAAGGAGATGGAGCGCCATCTGCGCGGGCATGATCTTTACCGTGATATGGATGATGAGCGACCTGGTGGTGTGGGAATTTATTTCGTCTCCCATGTTGGGGGACATAAGTTCTCTGCAAATGTGCTGATTTATCGGAAGAAAGAACAGCAGATGATCTGGCTGGCTAGGGTTAAGCCGGAGCATTGCGAGGGAATTGTGAATTACACCATACTGGAAGGGAAGGTGGTGCATCCGGATTCGCAGCTTAGAGGGGGATTTGACAGAGTTAAGGGGTTGACAAGCTGGTGATGCTTAAAACACCGAGAACTAGTGCTGGAATTCAGTCTTCATTGATTGACTTACAGTTTTTAATCACAATATCACAATATGTACATTGCAATCGCCCTCACTTTAAGAGCCCCTAGATAATTTGCCGGTAAAACCATCTATCCGTCTTTTCAACGCCTCAGCTAAATCGAATGACTGGAAGACCTTCACATTCTCGGTCACGAGCTTGTTCTCATCACGAGTGCAATACGCGCATATCCGAACCCGTCTAAACAATCATTGTACAGGTTCTTGGCTCAAAATGTCGATTCAGTGAAAACAAATATACTTAAGCTAAATCATCAAGCGCCACTTCTTACAAATGCAAAAACCCCGACTCCTTCCACGCCTGTATATACCTCCTAACCAGCGCCTCGTCAATTGGTCCCAGGCCCCTAAACGTTTCAGAATGCTCCCTTGTGCGAGCTGTGTCCAGAATCATTCCACCACATGACATACGCAAGAAGTCCGTCTCGAAAAAGTCTGCCAACCTCGCCGCTGGATTCTCCGATATCAGACTAGGCGGGAATTGGCGCACGCGACGTAGCCATTCACCATAGGGTATGATGTTGGTCTGCGAGATATTGAGTGCGTCGGAAATAATGGTGATCATTTCGCGCCACGGCTGCCGCACTGGGTTCTCAATGTGATAAATTGGGTATGCGGGCCGCTCCTCGATCAGCAGGTCGCACAGTGTGGCGGCTACGTCGTTGACGGGGCACCAGGACAGAACCTAGAAAGGCATTAGATGGGCAATGAAGAGGAAGGGAGAGCACAAAAACATACCCCCTCCAAGTCTGGCAATACTCCGAGTGTCTGGGACGACTTGATCAAGTGCACAAGATGTTCCACCGGATTCCAGTTTCCGTTGACTTTCGATCCAGAGATTTGGCCGACGCGCACAGAACTGACGCGGAAAAACTCAGGGTATCGGTGCAGAGTCTCGTCGAGCATATGCTCACAAACAAGCTTGGCGTCGGCGTAACCCATCGGCAAGGCAGATGCTATGTTGACTCTTTCCTCTGGGACTTGTGCTAGTCCACTCAGGAAAGGATGACTGCCTACCACCGAGACGGAGGAGATAAACTGGAACCCGATTTTCCGTCCGTTCGAGGAACAGTCACGAGAAAGGTTGATCAAATTGCGCATGGCTTTGAATTGGGGCTCGAATCCGCGCACGGGGCGCGTCATGCTCATAGCCCATGCGTTGTGGACGATATCCGTGGCGTTCGTGACTAGATATTGATAGTCTTCGGGGCAGAGACCGAGGTTGGGTGCAGATGAGTCCGTCTCTATAATATCCAATTTCGAAGTTTTGTCATTCAACACAAGGCCCCTCGATAGCAGGGCCTCGTGTTGTCGAGCGTTTGGGTCTGAACTGCTCACCCTGTTCAGACAAATGACTTTGCGCACACTCTGTTGCTCAACGAGGTGGGCCACAATGTGAGACCCCAGACAACCCGTGGCGCCTGTTACAAGTACACAGCGCGAGGAGATCTGACCGGTCGAGCGCGGGACTGGGGCTGCAAAGCCACTGGTGTGTTTTCCAACCAACGAGTCCGTTACTGTTTGGCGAGCAGAAAAGTCAGCCGGGACCTTCGAAGGAGCAGGGGGAAATATAGATACCCGGCTGTGAACCTCAGGAGAAGCGAGGGCAATGATGATGCGCTGAATGGAGTTCTCTGGCAGGTGGCCATCAGTCCAGTCGATGTGGCCGTATCCGTTGCGGTGCAGCGTATCTTCCCAGACCTCTGGCTGGGCAAGGGCATGGTCACGACCGTCATCGAAGAGCCACCACCCTTCAACCAAGCCAAATACCGAATCCACCCAAGGTACCGCCTCGGTCATCTCCAGCATAATGAGGAAACCGTCGGGGCGAAGCATCTTGTGGATATTCTTGGTGGTATTCGCCAGACTGTGAGTTGCGTGGACACAGTTCGTTGCGAGGATAATGTGCTGGCTTTCGAGGAGTTTACTAGGGGCCGACTTCTCAATGTCAATGACCTCAAACCGCATCCATGGGTACTCCCTGAATCGCTTCCGGAGTCCAGCAACCAGCGATGGTGAGATATCACTGGCAATATACTCCACAGGGACACCCGAGCGTGCTAGAAGTGGCAACAATGCCGCCGTCGTACCACCAGTACCGGCCCCCATCTCCAGAATGCGAATTGGTTCGTCGCGTTCTGTTGGAAGTTGGGCCATCAACTGCTCCCAGAAATGCTCCAGTTGTCGCAGCCAGGCCACATTGATGGGAGATTTCCCGTACATTCCCGCCGCGAGTTCCCGCCCCTCGGCAGAGCCGAAGAGCAGCTGGATACCTTCAGTCTTGCCTGTTAGACAATCCGCCAGCTTGGACCCAGTCAGGCTGGTGAGCTTGTGGTCGTAGTAGTGCTCAGGGTACTCATGTAGAAGCTCATCGAGTAGCTTGGAGGCGGATTTGGATGGCACTGGAAGAGCTGTGCGAATCAATGCCGAGCCCTCGATGTCCACAAGGCGGGCCTTTTCTAGCAATCCTCGCAGAACAGCCATAACCTTGTCATGCTTGGGGAGATGAGGAATTTGAGCGACCATCTCGCCAGGCTGAGCAGAACGAAGAGAGCATCCCATTTGGTCGAGGGCGTCCAGCGTGTAGACGATGACCAACTCAGTCAACTTGGGCTGGACATAATTAGAATAGCCAGAGAGTTGGTTTTTCTCAATGAATTGGTCGGTTAGGAGTTTCGTTTCTGTGAAGATCTCCACAATGGAGCTGGCAGAGAGTTGCACGTCGCTCTTGTAGATTCCATCGATTTCGTCGCCTGGGGTCATAATAGAATCGCTGATAGAGGAGCTGGTAACAATCTCGTCGCTGCTGTCTTCCCCTGTTTCGGAGGAGTCGGATGCTCCCATGTTGGCTCGAATACCGTCCACCAAACTGCGCACGTCTGTCATGTCCATGAGCTCATCCAATTCAAACTTGATGCTGAACTTCTTCTCCACCTCACGAGCAACCTCCATGGCGAGCAGCGAGTCAATTCCAAGCTCAATGAGGTCAGAATTGAGCTGTACCTCGTCCGCTTCAAGGCCCAACAAATTGATGAACAAAGCCCGAACACCACCGAGAACGTCAGGCCCTTCGTCTTTCTTTGCATTCGGTTGCTTTTTGCTGGCTGCAGAACTGGCAGCTGCCTTGGTGGTTTTGAATTCTCGAACCGGAATATCCTTCCTGGCAGATGACTTGATCGGGGCCACGTCAGGTACGGCTACCTGGGTCAGAGCTGTCTGCTGTGCAGGTTGAGCACCGGTCAACTTCGACAGGAGCCGTGACATGCCGGCGATTGATACTTCAACAAAGTGGAGACCCAGAACAACCCACGCCAATTTACCGCTGTCAGCATCGAAGATGAACAAGTCACTCACGTATGCCTTCGGCGATTGTTGATGGCGCGCATATACATCCCACCGCTCCGGTCGCGCATCAACTGGGAAGCTGGGCGAACGAATCCATCTGTCAACTCGATTAGACAAATACATATTGCCTTCCGTGCAATCTGCCATGCAGTTCAAGAAGATACCAGCGACTTGACAGAAGGTATCACCAAGGCCAACGCTGAGGATGGTCTGCGTCGGATCTTGTTTGATGATGCGTCCTGCAGACTCGTTTCCGGCCGAGGCCAGCTTCTGCAGACCCTTGTAACTGTCTTTGTTGTATTGTACCACGGGCGTGAACACCTTGTAGATGTTACGGCTGCCCTTGATGACTTGGTCTGAGTCTTCTCCGTCGAGTAGAGCCACAGCACGCTTGTGATCAACCAGTCGCTCATATGTGTCGAAGACCTGGGCGGCATCTTCAGGCGAACGGAATATCATGCGACCTGAAACGTGCTGTGTGGCCTCCCCAGTGTGGTCTGTGCTGGTAATGTGGAATTTCCATGTAAGAGGGCTGTCACCAACCATCTCCGCATCGAGCCAGACTTGCTTCGAACCGCCCAGACACAGTGGGGACTCGCTTTCCATGCTTTCAAGCCCAGGAAGCAGATCTGATTCATCAACCAAACTCGCCAATGCATCACGAGCGATAACCTGCTGCACCATACTAGGGCAAATGGCTGCTGTTTGTGCGATAAAATGGGCCCCAACGTAAGCCTGGAATTCTTCCGACTCGGTGTGGACCTGGAACCGTGCGTTTGTGTTCGTGGAGTCGTAGCCTATGAATGACCACATACCCGTGCGCGCGTCGGGTGCCTTCACGACGGAGTCGATTTGTTTGACCTCCTGCTTGCGGCGCTCCAGCCAATGTTTCGATTTGGTAAACTGGTACGGTGGTAGCAAGAGGAGGGGGCAGTCGATTGCCGGTTTAACATGCTCCCAGAAAGACATGTTAACGCCTGCCTTCCACAGGTTGACTGTCGCATCAGTGATGTTCTGGACGGCTCCCGAGCTAGTGATGTTAATGGATTGGAAAATCATATTCTGGGATCCAGCGGCTCTACTAGCAAGAGCTGTCACGCCAGAACCTGAACCCGCCTCCAGCCATATGCTTGAAGGATATTGATCTGCGAGACGTTGCACCGCTTTGTCAAAGTAGACCGGGTCTCTCATATGAGAAGCGAAGACCGTGAAGGGGGGCGGGCTGCTAGCGCTAGCTTGGGTTGCTCTCTCGTGCTGAATAGCTGGCTTGCGGAAGATAACGTCCTCCCCAAGCTTCTCAAGTTCAGGGATAAGATCATCCACCAATGCAGAGTGGAAAGCATGGGTGGTATCAAGGGCCTTCGTCTTGATGTTAGACAAGGTGAGGCTCGTAGATATCGTTTTCTTGACAAGTCCTATGGCAGAAGTCGTGCCAGCCAGGGTGAAGTTGCGAGGGCCGTTAAAGCAGGCGATATTAACGGGAGCAGATGAAGCGGCATTCACCAGTTGCAGCAGTTGTTGTACATTCTCCAACTCGCCGTCAACAGCCAACATGCAGCCCGTCTCCGCACCCCACTTCTCTTCAATAATTCTGGCTCGTCTGGAGATCGTCTCTAGAGCGTGCTCGACCGAGAGCATGCCTGAAACACACATGGCGGTGAGCTCACCAAAACTATGACCTACAAGCGCTGAGACTTGTAGCCCACTCTCGATCCAGCTCTTGGCGCAGGAGTACTGCAGAGCAAACTGCATTGTCTGCAATTCAACGATACTTTGCCTCGGCGTACGCTCAAAGATTGCTGGCACAATTCCTCCCAGTCCGAGCGACAGACAGACCTCGTGGCAATGGTCGAGATGGGCACGTAGCAGTGGGAAGTATTCATAAGCCTCTCTGTCTAAGCCCACAAAGTTGGATCGTTGGCCGCCGAAGCAAAGAATAACTGGTCTCGATGGCTGCTTTCCGGTTGTCGAGGCGAGTTCGCCACGCCCATTTGCAAAACCGGCAAGTTTTGCTTCAAGCTCATCGGCTGAGGCGCAACTGAATATCAGTGCCTCTCCAAGCGAACGGTTTGACTGATGAGCTAGCTGGAAGGATAAATTTGCGATCGAGAAATGGTAGTCGTTCGCCTTTCTTGATTGCAGAAATTCGATCATCTTGGCCGCGTATGACCGCAAAGATTGATTGTCTAAGCCAGAGAACCAGAAGGGACGCTTGAATCCGATCGAGGTTTTCAAAGGCTCTCCGTCGCGTGGCACTTGGCTTGCCTGGGTTACGATCAGGGAAGCGTTCGAGCCCGAAGCACCGTAATTGTTCAGGAGTGCTGCACGGAAGTCTGCTTCCCAGGGCTTGAGATTCTTGGAGATGTCAATGTTATCCGATGGCAAAGCCCTCAACTTCGGGTTCAGGGTGTTGAAGCCAGCCTGCGGAGGAATAGAGCCATGTTGGATCATCAGCAGCACCTTGATTAGTGCAGCAATGCCGGAGCCGCACTCCAGGTGTCCAATGAGACCTTTGACAGATCCTAAATTCAGAGGCTGTGCGCGGCCTGGTCCACCTAGCGTCTTGCGAACACTATCGTACTCTGCTTTATCCCCGACCTGCGTGCCGGTGCCGTGTGCCTCTACCACAGAGATCTGCTTAGGGTCAAGTCTGGCTTTCCTGAGTACGCTGTTGAAGACATTTCCGAGAGACAAAACACTCGGGGCAGTTATTGCGGAGCAGTTCTCGTTTTGGTTCACACTAGATCCCTTGATAACACCGAGGATCTGATCACCGTCCTCAACTGCGGCAGATAGCTTCTTCAGGAAAACGGCCCCCGCACCCTCTCCTCTGCAATAGCCATCTGCTGCCACATCGAATGGCTTGCACTGCCCACTCGGGCTGAGGAAGGACGCCCCCGCTAGGTTTTGATACCACTCGGGGCTTGTCATAAGGTTAACGCCTCCAGCAAGGGAGGCATCACACTCGCCACTCAGAATTGCCCTACATGCGTGGTGCACCGCCAAGGCGGAGGATGAACAAGCTGTATCGATAGTCACGCCAGGTCCACTCCAACCGAAGAAGTGGCTAATTTTTCCAGCGGCAAAGGACTTGAGGTTTCCCGTCGCCGTGTATGCCGTGGGTTCATAACATGCGACATTATTCTCGTAGTCTGTTACGCCAATTCCGACGTAACAACCAACATGTCGACTTGAACTTGGTTTGTTGAAGTACCCAGACTGCTGCACCGCCTGGTAGGCAACTTGCAACATTAGTCGGTGCTGAGGATCGGTCGAAACAACCTCTCTCGGACTCTTCTGGAAGAACTTGTGGTCGAAAACGTCGTGATCTTCCACAAAGTTTCCAAACCACTTTCGATCCGGGTTGCTCTCACGCCAGGCCGCGTACTCAAAATTCACTCTGTCGGCTGAAACCTCGCGGGCCTGCGATTCGCCTGCACAAATGGTCTTCCAAAACTCATTAATGTCGCTGCCGCCAGGAAAATGGCATGCCATACCAACCACGGCGATGGAATGGTCTTGGGTGGAGTCCAATAAAGCATACATTGGCGCAGGACATTTACCAGCCTGGATATCGAGATCGACTGCATGCGACAACTTAGGGCCAAGCTTGCGCAGGAACCATTGTGGTACGAAACGCTGGCTTCCGAATGTTACTGCTAGGGAAGTTGTTTCATGAAGCGTCGTGAACAGCTTGTGCCAATCAGCCCGGTCTGTCAACATTGCGCGGGAAGCCATCTGGTGAAGCTTTTCGTCCTCGGGGAGGTCGGAGCCATCGGCTGCCCGTGTTTTAAAAGCAAGCTGGGCCGGGAAATGGAAAGCGGACTCTGAGTCAAAGAGACCCAGAAGGGCTGTCGCCTGGTCCTCGCGCCGCCCACAGTGAAACGGTCCACGCAGCGTTGTCTTTGTGAAGATCAAGCCGGCGTTTTTCAACTGCTCTTGGATTTCGCTTGAATCCACTTTGAGAACAGTGAGTGTGGCAAGGCGGGCTTCTGAAATAACAGAGATATATGCCTAACATCATTAGGTTGCTGAACCTTTTTGAACATGACAGTTTACGTACCTCTGGGAAATGCTCCACGATGCTATACAGCTTCGCCTCCGTCGTCTGGGTTGTCCACCCAACCGCAATAGACTGCCACTTATCACCGTCTTCAACTTCCGAGTCTCCTGCGTCAACCAGTGCACCAATTGCTATCGCCATTCGGATAGCAGTGGCGCCATGTTTCTCGAGTTCCGCAAGACTTCCCGAGCTAGCGACAGCAGCGCTGCTCAACAATCCGGTGCAAAGGCCCGTCGTCTCGGTTTCGATCTTCAATACGTCCTTTAGGGAATCCTCCCGTGTGATATTTGGCTTGATTTGCTCCAGGAATCTGGTATATTGTGCCAGTTGTGTCGTTACAACTAACGGTGTGACCAAGACATTAGGCAGCGGAAACTGATTTTGTGGTAGCAGTCCCCTTCTCATCCATTCACTGAGCATCTGGAGGTACTTTCTACCCTGGAAGGCCTGGAGCTCCGGATGGGCGGCAGAGATGGTCGGCCATTCTTGTGGTAGCTTCGTCAGGAGATCCACTATCCATTGAAGATGAGATGCTTCCAACAACTCCGTCCGGAGGCCGTCTAGGTGTCCGCTGTCGATATCGGGATCTTGAGGCCCGAAAATTAAGGTCAGGGTGTTGGGCTTCATATCAACCATTTTCGGTCCTTATAAGGCTCGGAGATGAACAGGCTTCGGATGTCGATGGATCAGCTTGAAGGAACCGGGGAATGTTGAATATTATACAGATGGATGTTGAATAAAGTATGTCTTCTCCTCTGCTTGTGCTGCTTCACTGCTGGGAAAGAGGAACTAGATATATGGATTCCTAGTATGCCAAGTCTACTTCGAAGAGCCCTGGAGTAGCGCAATGATTACCACATGTTTGTCAATTCGCCTCCTGTACATTGGATCTGGGGAAACTCCGATCTTGCTGACGCTCACAGATTGCCATTTTGATGACAGCGTTAGCTACGATGGAGAGCGTGGGATTCGCCCCATGGCCGCGACCGCACGCATCATGCTGTAGGCCAATAGCGTTCGAGAGAAATCTGCTCATAAGAAATATTACCAAATTATCCTAGTGTTGCCGGTTAGTTTACTCTGTTCGATATTCAGCTTACTCCTGAAGGATTTGGCCCCTTATGAGAATTTGGCCCCCTTAACAGCGGACAATCCAAACTCCGAGATTGGCTGATGCGAGGGTGGATTTTAATGCATTGAATCGACCAATAAAGAGCGAGGATTTACGAGCTGATACCCTTTTAATGAATCCTTTGCTTATAACTATAGCTTAGAGAAGCAACTATTTACGGAATAAGGGCATAAGCAAACATAAATGACCGGGGAAAAGACGAAACAGAAGAATACATCCTCACATTTGAACTATTCCATATATCCGAGACTTTAAAATACTCCGATCAGCTTCTTTGTTATGTCGGGGAAGAGAGTCTCCTGCGACATATGTAGACAAGAATTATTGCCCAGACAAGGTCATTGTATCATATTTTCCAACACGTATGGAGAATGTAGGATTCCAGACTGAATCCAATACAGTTCCATCAAGTTTTTCGAATGAAGCCTTAAAATGCTTGAGCAGTAGGCGCAAGCCTAAGTATTATATAGATATAAGTCGTAGAAGATTCATATCAAATTCGTAGTAGCACGACTATTCCCTCTGCAGCATTCGCAGTACTGAAATTTCGCTAAGCAAAACACCAAATACTAGTAGCCAGCCTTTGCCGCAACACCATCCACCCAAGCCTCCACAGTAATTGGCTCTCTCCCCAATAGCCACCTCAACACGTTCGGACTTCCCTTCAACCCGCGTCGATTGTAAAACATGATCAGATGTTCGACAGTGTCTCTGACGAAGTCCCCACGCAGATCATCAGGACTCGAGCGACCGAGTCCAATCTCACCTTCACCCTTCTCGGGCCCACCATATAAGGCGTTGATAAGCTTGTTTACACCCGTGTCAAAGCTGGGTGTCTTCAGTTCAATACTCTTTCCAATCCGTTTCTCAATAAGCCCGATGATATCCGTCTCTGAGATGGGCAAAGTTGACACGAGAGGATACTCGGCCAGGTAGTGTGCTTCGCGCTCATTGAGGACCTTCGCTGACGCAGCAGCAAGGTCATCGAGGGCAATGACACTATTTGCATGTTCGGGTTTCCACCATTTCTCCAGTACGGGATGGTCTTGGGAGGCGAGGGCTGCAACGGGATAGGCGTCAAGGAACTGCGATTTAGTTAGTACCAAGTAATGCAAATTTTCACCATGGGAACTTCATACATTTCCGGGTTTGAGGATTGTCCAGCAGTCTAGTGGACTTAGGAAAAGTCTTTCCTCGACATAGCTCTTCAAGTCGTGTTGGAGTAAACTCCGATGCTGAGTCCCCAGTACACTTGATAGAACGAAGTGTTTGAACACATTTCCTTCGCGACATGACTCGGCGAGTGCCGCATCAATTAGATTGAAGCCAATTTCTTTCTCGTGAGAGTGCAAGCTTGGCAGGACGGCATTGATGGCCGTGGCACCACGCAGAAGGTCGCGGCAGTCAGATAATAGCTGGAGATTGGCTTGCACGACCTCCGCATCGGGGTACAAGACTTGTAGACTGTTGGCTGAGGCAGTGGAATGGGCGGCCAATCGGAGTCGGAATCGGCCTTTATTGTATAGGAGAGGGATCAAGCGACTGCATTGTTTACCACTTGGGCAAGTAATGACGAGGATTTCACTCATGGCTATAGTCAAGATGAATTGATAGATATCAAAGGAATGGCAAGTCCGATGGCTTATGTAGATTAACCTGCTGCGATCAATTGGCCATCGTCATCTCACTCGGAGATACTTTTTGGGTTGGCGTTGGCCGAGCATCAGCAATCATCAACCTCCAGTCATATAGGTTGCTTTAACATCATTTTTCTTCCACACTCACCAGTCAAAGAGCAACAATGGACTCCAAGGTCATCGTTATTACAGGTGATTAAAATTTACCCAATGTCGTTCTCTTCGCTAAGTTCCTCCCAGGTGGAAACACAGGGATCGGGCTTGAAACCGTCAAGGCACTCTACCAATCTGATCAGCATTATCATATCCTGCTCGGCGGTCGCAATCTCAATAAGGCCCAGATAGCATGCCAGAATATTATAACCGAAGCGGCACAGAGCACCGTGGTGCCGTTCTTGGTTGACGTGGAGAGCGACGAATCGATCGAAGCGGCCTTCGATCAAATTGCAGCCAAGTACGATCGAGTCGATTGCCTAATAAATAATGCTGGTTTGTCCCACAGCATCTCCTTGAAGCAAGCTCCAATTAACGAAACCCAGGCGCTTGCTTTGATGCCTACATTGACCAAGGCATGACAGCCCGCCAGGCGTGGAACAAGTCCTGGGATGTGAATGTCACGGGTGCACATATCATGACCACCAAATTCCTTCCACTACTACTCAAGTCTCAAGACCCCAGGTTGTTGTTCATCACGAGTGGCCTCTCCTCTCTGCAGGGGGCTTCCGACCCCGAAAATCCGAAAAATATCTTTGCGCCAGCTGGGCTACCCAAGGCGCTACCATTTGTTGGATACCGATCAGCAAAGGCTGGCCTCAACATGTTGATGGTAGAATGGTCTAAGGTTTTGAGGAACGATGGCGTCAAGGTTTGGGCGGTTGCTCCGGGCTTGCTGGCGACATCCCTGGGGGGAGACACAGAGCTGTTGAAAAGGCTAGGAGCGCAGGATCCTAAAGTCGGCGGTGAAACTATTCGTCGAGTCGTGGAAGGCAAGCGGGAAAAGGATGTTGGGAAGGTAGTGCGTGAGTATGTGTCGCCAATTCAGCCTTGGTAATCGACCGCAACGGAGAGCTGAACTTCTCCTTGGGGCAAAAGGATTAGCCAGTTTGCCCACTACCTGGGCGCGACCTGCGAGATTTGGGATGTTGCAGGTTCCGTGCCTGGTCTCCCGGCTATATTTCTTTGATTTATTGGGTACTCGGCTTTGGAAGCCACATGTGTAGCTTTACTTCTTTATAATGAAGTCTATCGCAATGCATAGCGACCATTAGGGACCTATTGGCTTTTATTACTAGCGAAAGATTGGCCATCTACGGATTCTCTAACTTATTACAGCGTGATAATAAATTGAATACACATTCCGAGTCCTACAGATATTATATATCAAAAGCCGTTTTATAGAAATTGTGCCTTTCAAGCTATTCTACAGGTTGCGACAAATTATCCTGAAAAGACGTCTAAAAGGATGTTAAAAAGACATCTAAAAAGACATTTCAAAAGTTGTCTCAAAAGACACTACGCCAACATCGTAGTATAATCGAGGAGGGAAGTTGCACGTCCCTCTTCTATGGATTCCATCTTTCACCATCTGGGGTCACAAGAGAGAGGGCCCTCGTAGCAACCCCGTGCTGTCTTTCTCTAAGGACAGGTAAACCAGGAATCTGGCGCTGGAGCACTTCGCACATTAGTGGCAACGGTGACATTCTGGATATCATCGAGGATGCCGGCCATCAAAAGTCATTGTCCCGGTTCCGTACGCTTCATTTCCACCTTATAGCATCCCCACAAGCAGACCACCCAATGTGCATACCCACAATCCGGAATCATTAGGTTTGGCAAAATCGGTGCCTTCGCTACTAGCAATCTTATGTTCCCATGTAGGAACAACCTCAGCCTTCCCATCGGTGGTTTTAGTCTTAGTGAACTTAACGCATTTTATCTCAGAATAAGTTCCAGCCGTTATTTCGCTTCATCGTCCAGACTTTGGAAGCTTTAGGCAGTCATGGGTTTCCAGAATGACCCGCAAACTGCATTCCGGGTCCATAGCGAAAAGGCTGGAAATATCCAAATCTTAGCTGTAAAATAAAACCCGAAATTAAACGGGGTTATTTACCTTGTTACCGGTAACCCTATCCCCGTGCTGTTGTGGCTGTAACCGCCCAGCGTTGATCTCAACCAGCGCCCAGGATGGAGGTAACGCAGCTCGTTGAAGAGAATGAAGGTGACCTAGGTTGTTGAATGAAATGAAGGCGGTTGATCAAAAGAGCCTGATGAATTCTTTCTTTTTCAAATCTTGAATTCAAGAAACTAGCTAGGTAGGTGGGCTTCTGCACCTTCCTTCTATAAACACTCTCCTTCGCCTTCGTTCTTTCCTATCTTGATTTCCCTGATGAAGGCGGAACCTCCTCCGTCTTCTCCGCCTAGCCTATTCCCTGGCGGAAATCCAAAATCTCTTTCGGAAAGAGCCTGTCCCCCATCTACATTTGCAAATACCCACTCGGATGCATGGTCAACGCGGTCAACATCCTCGTTGACTACGTCGATTGACGACGGCCGGCCGGGCCGTTGACCTATAGCTTGACTTTCTCAGTATAGCCTCACTTCCTGTTTCGCTGTCGACGTACGATATGTTATTATCCTCGCTAAGTGTTACGTTTTATGGTGTGTTTAGGTAGGAAAACGAGGGTGACATTTAGATGTAGCTGGCTACGGATATGAGGGTTAACTGCGTGGCTGTTCCTCTCCTCTTCATCGCCAGGCACCTTGAATTGTCCCTCTTCCTCCGTGGTGGTAATATCCGCCCCCCTGCTAAAAGCCCGCCATCCCGGCGGCTAAAATGCAATGCAAAAGAAACGAAGTGAACGGTGTAAAATCAAGCGATCAAGCCATAACCAACGCTTGTAGCCCTTGAGGGGGAATCAGTTTGGCCTACAGTCAGTAGAAATACTGCGCAGTTCCTGCTGGCGTTTCTTGTGCGACCTCCCCGTCCTCGTTCTGTTCACGCCACTGCGGGCATATACATGGCCTAGGAGGTAGTTGCCACTATCACGCATTGTGATAAACGGCGCGCGGGCTTGCTCGTTGGCCTGGATCTGTTGGGTCATGTTGTGGTATGCACTAGCTATATGCGCGACGAGATTTGTCGGCTTCAGGTTCTGTTCGGAGCGGCGCTCGGGCATAGCATTCTTATGGAAACTAGCAAGGCGTTCCCGGCGGATAGCATTCTGGATGCTTCTTCTCCAGTGTGACTGCGAATCTTTGTAGTTCCTCCCCTTCTATTCTTCGATCTGTCGTTCGGTTGCTGTCTTGGCAGCTTCTGGCAACCATCGATCTTCGCCTTTCTTGATCTCGTCCTCATACTCAGGAATCGTTCCGTCTTAATACTTGCAATAATAGTATCATCCACTCAACAGTATTGTTCAAATCTCTCAAAGAAGGATGGTCGCGTAAAATCTGTCTGGCAATATCGGGGAATGATTCGGGGTCTCGAGTGTCAAGTGGAAGAGACTCCCGGCTCTCGATTGCTATTAACCATATTAGCTTGAGTGTATAGAACTGAGAATATTATGGTACCTTAGTGAGCGGTTCGAATCGTGTTTCGCCGTTGAACGTCGCGGTGGTTTCTTGGCGGCCAGACGGCATGGAAGCATGTGAGGGCAAAGGTACGCCATTGACGGTCACCGAGGGTCGAACTTCCTGCGGAACGTTCATGGATACCTAGGTTAACACCGCGGTGAATCCCTCCCGCACGAGCATCTACAGGCACAGTAGGGTCTTGTATGAACGGCCTATTGGGATCTCTCTAGAACAGCACGTCCATGTCTGTTTGATCGAAAAATACGAGGACTTTGTGTAGACGCTAAGATGTATGATGAACGGGTTCTTGCTCGTTTCGAGGACTTGAACAATGACAGTAACGGCGTTACGCTCTCACTGTATCTGTACCATATCTCCAGCATTCCAATACGGTCCACTCGCGGGTATCGCGATGCGACAGAATGTATTACACAACTGAGGGCCAATTGGGAAAGATCGGATGCGACTTGTTCACGGGGGAGTAGTAGACACCCTTGTAGAGCTTTTCTTCAATAAGCTCAACAGAAATTCCAGTAATATTTCTCTGGAGCTCTGAATGCGTTTGACGCACAGCTCGATACTGTATGTCCGGATTGGGTTGATCTGGCATCACAACAAGGATGGTGGGGATCGCCTCAGACCCCCGGTTAATCTTGGATTGGCGCCTAACCAGATCAACAGAGATAAATTCGAGTGAGAGTTACTCTAGGATTTTTTTTGGCGCAGTCTTCAGCGTTTCGTGAAAGTTTCCGAATTCAGAGGGCACATTTATCGTAGTAAAAGCAGGGAGTGAGCCTAGAGTCAGTCCTCCAACACGGTGGGATGACTTCAAGAATCCGTGTCTGTCTATAAATGCCGTACCATTGAATGGAGATGATTCTCCTGACGTCGAATAAAAGCTTCAATATGTGAGTACTGGCCTTTGAAAAGGCAGAATATGTGGCGGTGGATGACATTCTGGCGTCACCAGTGATGTAAAAGCGAGGCGGTATAGTAAGAGAAAAGTGAGAATTAACGAGACGATATTGGAAGAGACAAGTGAGAGTTAGCAAGGTAGAGATATATAATAAGAGATAAGTGAGAGCGAGGTGAGAGGAAAGTCAGAGTTCGATCAGAGAGAAAAGCGAGAGAACAGAATACCCATGGCCCAGTTTGATGTTCGCAAACAACCTTATCTTCTCTCCTTAGGAATTTCCCGTTTGAGAAGCTCGTCCAAAACAGGCTAAGTACCTTAATCTTGGAAGGACCTAGGTGGATGTCATAACACAAGAAAGTTGATTGTCATTTCAAAACGATAGACATAACGCTGTATGAGATAGGTTTCCACAGATCCTTTGATCGGACTCGGAAAATAGGAAGAGGGCGGCACCAAAATGCATCTACCACCTGATGACCTTCGTGGGGAAGTACTCAGTTCAGTATCAAGAGCATACATCCAAACATCTCAGGGCCAAGCTTACCTTCAGCTTCTCAGCATCAGGGACTTCGTCGCTCTTGCTGTATATATCGTAGTGGTTGGAAGCCTTCACGGCTTCCAGCATCTTATGATCACGTTCATTCATCAACTCATGGTATGCGCCCTCTCGATGCCATGACCCTGCTTGTTCCGATTGGGCAAAATTAAGGCCTGATATATAAGGCATGAATATTAGAAATCCGGCTCATCGGGGCCCGGGCCGCCCGAATGCCGAGCTTATTAACCTTGTGGGTGTTATCGGTTTCGTCATTGCCGTTCGCAGCGGACCCTAGATCGAACATTGAACGCTGAATATAAAAGAGCCTCAAGTTTAGATAAAATTCCAGATAAGACTTCCTCAAAGTATTCCCCAAATCATTAAAATATCCTCCCAAAATGTCCTCAACCAACAACATCGCCTTCACCGCCCCGATCAACCCACCAGGCGCGACACCTGTTCTCACCTCCGAGCAAATCTGGAACGGCCTCCTCCTGAAGGTCCGTTCCGCAGAGACGTTTGTTCCAGGAGCCATCCAATCCACCAAAGTCATCAGTGACTCCGTCGACCCATCAACCGGCAATCCCGTCACGGTTCGCGAAGTCCTCTTCCGGGAGACCCAGAAGACAGTTCAAGAGACCGTTACAGCTTTCGAGCCTGCTCGGGTAGACTTTGTGCAGCCCTGTGGAAGCAAGATTAGCAATGTAATAAGTCAAGGAGGTGATGGAGAGCTCTACATGACGTACATATTCGAATGGAGACACCCCGGTGTCTCGAAGGTGGAGCTAGCGGCGCTGCTCGAGAAGGAGAAGAAGATGAGCCAGATGGCGGTCGAGGGGACAATCAAAGTGTTGCGGCAATTGGTCGAGGAGGAGAAGCTTTGAAGTTGACAAACGCCGCCCTTGACACACGCTATCATGAATTCCGTCTTCGGCCCTCGATCATCTTCTCGGTAAACTCCACACCATAATCACCACATCTTTGACGTAGAGTACTCTCATAGTAATGATTTACCAGAGCTTTTCTTTTAATAGCCCTGTTGCCAGTCATGCTAGAAGCAAGCAAAGCAGTCGTGGGCGAGTCGAATCGTTTCCTCCGAGCATGTGACCCCCATACAAAGTTCGTTGGCACTCGAGACACGTACCCAATATCCTCTGGGGCCAAATAGAAGAAAAAGGTAACTTGTTTCTTGACATGAATCAGCCGAATAGCCAGCGCCCATTCCTTGCACGTCAAAGACACCACATCAAGCTCCAGTTCTGTCAGTCCCTCGCACAGTCTCAGTAAATTCCAGCAGCTCTTAATATTGTCCCATCCATTCCAAATCGGATCCCGCCACTGCGGAAATGTACATGGGTGTTCATGATGGCGGTAAGCATGAATAGGCATGAACGATATCCGTCTTAGCCACGATCTCACCTGTGGGCGAATAGCAGTCAAGAATCCCGTTAGTAGAGAGGGTTCCTCGAAGGCGAACCAGTTCTCTGTCCAGAAAACTGGTGCAGCATCGTTCCAGAACCGCTTGCTGGCGAGCAGAATGGCTAGGTTGTCACGCCTTCCGCATAGACATGGCAGAGACCTCATGCACGGAATCCCCTCCACACTTCCGTTCAGGTCCCAGTAGCAATTGTCACAAGATATGCGTTCTTATGTGGCTCCGCCCACTGGCTTCGTGCTGGGGATTGGAATATTGTGACTTGCGGCTGCTTCCAGGCGTAGCTATGGCAGTTTGCACATTGGGGGCCTTCGCTGTTCCAGAAATGTGGATTTGGGCCTGGTCTTGCACGATGCATAGGCATTTTACATGGGTTGGAGTGGTATAGATTAAATTTGCATGGCTGGACGAGAAGTTTGCCGTAGATGATATTTCTTATTTCTTGTGGAAGAGAGAAGAATCTGTGATTTTAATGTTAAAAGTAGAAGTTCTGAAAATGCGTAAGAGTTCATACCTCTTGAGAAGTGCGGACTATTCATGTTCCTCGGGCTCGATGAAATGTATCTCCTGTGCATAATGCGCCTTTGATCTCGCCTGTCGGACACCTTTTGGTTTGGCATGTAATCCGTCCACTGTGAATTGCCTGTTCTGGTTAGTTTTGCCTTCTCGGGTTTGGCACCCCAATACCCTTTAATGCCGCCCAAATAAACGACCTTTATTACTATATTCCTTCGTCCCTTTTATTCCCTCCCTTTAACTATGATGTATCAACTCTGCATCACTGCGTCCTACAATTTCGTTCCCCACAACGGCATCTCCCGAGGCCAAGTCCGCCCCGGCGGATCTCCCCCAGTGTATAGGTACCTGTCTCAGAAAATCGCGCACATTTTATCACAAAAGTGATTGATATAATGTCTCCCGGCGACAAAAGACCTGATACGTCTCGGATTACTCGAAGACTTGCGTGGCAGGGTCTGGTCGCCCCGCTTGAGGTGATCGCCCCATGATTCGACTCAAGATGCTTATACCAGGCGAGAATAGCCGGGTAAAATTGCCTATGATCGAAGTCTTTGCTGCCTACGAGACTGATAGCCAGCCTGCGAGGGATATAGCTAGAATAGCTAGTTGGATTTAATGACCGTAAGAAGAATCTCCTCTCCCTGTCTTTGTCTCTGTATCTTACAGCACTTTCCCTCAACGATCTGGTCAAGGTCAACCCGGGAACAATTCTCTATGCCGAGAATGGAGGGTACTACCTCAAGAATATGAACGAAGAAGTCGTTGCTATCACTGCCGACGATCTATGCAAGGAGCTGGACGCTGCTTTTGCTAGCATTGATGCCGATGTGGCTCTGGGACTGTCAGACTGGAAGAAAGTCAGGGAAGTGGATATGACTGACATGACTGACAAGCCTACCCGGGGTCTTCGGGTTGCTCTGGAAGCTGTTGACCGAAGAGGCTCTCTGTGATAACGTGTGGGCGTTGGTCGATATCACCCTTCGGCTTTATTTCATTCATGGACAGTGATTGAAGCCTTACAGATATAACTCTAGCATACTTTCATTCCTAGTGTCGAGGCTTTGAGAGCCATAAATTGGGTTTGCTGCATCATCCGTAAGGCATGCTTCTTTGCTAAAATTGCCCGAGAAGTGGTAAATATCAAACCAGCTTTTAACGGTATTCTGAACCAGACCAAGCTTTTCAGCGATCCTTACAATTCGAGCTTGGGAGCTTCTTGTCTTCGATTCTGCGATTCGTCAGGAAATTATAGATAGGATTGATTCTGGTCCCTCTGATGGCCCTCTTCTTTTCCACCAACCATGTCATCTCTCTAACCATCCGCATCACCGGTTTCAAACCTCATGCTGCCAATTGTGAATTTGGCTCTGCCCAGGGAGCAAAAAAGAAAGACAATGGAACTCTTCAGATTAAGATAGTTTCAGCGACTCTCCCGTGACTTCGAGGACGAAAATTGCTTACACATGGCAATAAATTATTATGCAGAGTGCCACGATGTTTGGGACAATAGACTGACGGTTTTACATTCTGCGAATCTAGAGTTTACTGCGCCACAGCTTCGGTGTGATCATTTCTCTTTCGAGTCCCCGCGAGGCTGAAATACGAGTCATGTTAGGCTGCAGACTAGATTTGACTGTATTTAAATTATACATAGGTAACCAACCCTGTAAGTCCGATTTAATTATCTGTATTGTATTCTTAAATTTGCCCATAAATGGCGAAATCATCTTCAGAGCGTGACCTAGAACCCAAGCTCCATCTGTGTACACGAGAATTACAACTAGAATATGAGGACCTGTGAAAATGACGCCGAAAATGACCACTTTTGGCGCCAGAAACGGCCGCCTTTCCACCCGTAACTTTAGACGTCCAGCTAGCGCGGCGCCCAGGCTACTAGCTCATTCAACCCAAACGCGATTGAAGAAACTGTTTAATAGTGCTAGGTATACCAAATCCTGTTTCTAGCACGGGTAGATATCAATTTATGTCCGCGATCCCCGGATACCGGACATAATACGCCTGCCAGTCATCAATCTCAGTCATCTTGTGGAATCCCGGAAGCTGCACAATACGCCAGCGTATGTTCATCCAGCCCACGTCATCCTCAGTACACCCTTCAAGGGGCTCGAACTCCTCAGGCTCTGATATATCCTCGTCCTCAGAGTCCTCTTCAGGCACATCTGTCCATTTCCATTCAGCATTAACCATGCGGACATGCCCTAATTCATATTCTTCGAACCCTCCCAAGGGGGTGTTTAGAACGGACTCCATAGCCTCCTGGTCCACGGTGATGAAGAAGCGGTATCGGCCGCTCGTTGGAGTGTAGTCTTCGCTCACGCCCTGTTCCTCTTTCAATGCAGTCTTCTTCCACTGATGGAAGTGCTCGCGTAGGGTGGCAACCGTGGCACCCTCAAAGGAGGGGTCTTCCAAGACCGTTGGGGCGAATGTGTCGAGGAGATCAAGGCCACTATATTCCTTGAGGTCTTCTGAGACGGCGCCGACCATGCGAGCCATGAAGTTCTCCCAGTCAGAGTCATTATGGTACGTGCAACGAAAGATCACGAAGCCCCAGGTTGTGAATCCATCCTCCTTAAGAAGTTCCTCGACCAGATCAGCCCCATTCATAAAGGAATACATTATGGGATCGCGCTTTAAGCGAGAGGCCATTGTGGTGGATGTTGAGAGAGTCCTGATTGTGTTGAAATGTGATATAGATAAGGACTTTGCGAGACGTGAGGGATGTTCGAAGGGAAAGCGAAAGAAGGTCGGGCGGGTAACGCTTAGGCGGGCGAATTGGCTGTAGATCGGTAGATAGCGTGTAGTTTGAAGTATCCTCCTAGTAGTCATAAGTGCGAAGGCAGGCCTTGGTTCTGTTGAGATAAGGATAAGTAGGGGAAAGAGGTGGGGCCTAGGGGGTATGGTCCAGGGGCAAGCAGGATCTCTCAAGTTTACAGAGATTTAAAGTAGAGATGCGAGTATTCCCTCAAACGCTTTAAATTACTCAAATCTCGGGTTCCCAGGATGATGAAACACTACGCCCGTCTGGGCTAGGGGAGAAGTGATCGGAGCCTCGGAGGGCCGGCCCGGGAAGGGATTCGCGGGTCTGTGTTATCGGGCGGCTCGGAATAAGTTCGATACGCGCGCTATGGTCATAAATCAAGAGCAATTTCTTCTACCGTGGATACTCTGATCATTTAGTCGCAATCTTACCCACAAGACTGGGTAGTTGCACCTTGGCATGATGTCTTATCGACTTACACCACACTAACTTCATATATACGCATCTATAAAGAAACCCCCACACACACCGAGTACCCGACTCCTAGATACTCACAGTCCGATCCAATCGCAGGATTCCACTTGTATAGTTCAGCAAAAGTAATACCATACGCGGTCTCGATCTTGGCGCACGAATCGTTCGACACCACCGTGTAATACTAGTTGCAGTTCGACGCGATTCCCGTCTGAGTAGGTGCACTTGCTATTGCGCTGGTCGTCGATGCCGGTCCCTTGACACAGTATGCTTCTCCTAGCCACAAATTGGTACAAGTAGAGCCAACACTAGGGTTCCACTAATAGAATTGAGCAAGGGTGATGCTGAACTTGGTCTCGACTGTAGCACAGTCGTCGCCCTTTATAGTGGTGTAGAACTTCTCGCATCCCGATATAGTGTCGGTTGGAGTGGGCCCCATAGAGGAGGAGGAGGTGGTGGTGGGGGTTTAGGTGGCAGTTCCACTGGCTGTAGTCGTTACAGCTACAGACCCGACACCAATACAGATGGCGCGGTCATCCGTGGCATTTAGGTTGGTATAGAGCGTAGTGTCACAGTCTCCTTCCAGCCAGCTGTTCTAGGACACAAGGTCGTCCATGGTCAGGCTGTAATCGTAAATGATGTCGTCGCAGGTGTATACTAGCATTTGATTAGTATTAGCACGATTAGGGAGGGCCAAATCATACCGTCAGAGTAAGACAGGTCGACGGAGGTGAAGCAATTGCAGTTAGATGCCGTTCCAGCCTCCGTAGCATTCATAGGAAGGCAGAGCCCACTATCAGTATCCTCCGTTGCTACATCTACGTCAGCCTAATCTATTTATTCGAGCCAGCGATACTTATAGGTAGTGCTGTTTTCATACCGTAGGATGTAGTAGCTGTTTTCTATGTTGAGCTCACAGGTGCTTGCGTTGTTCACAAGACTTGGATTCCAAGTGACCATTTGTTTCATTATAATGCCCCAAAATGTCGCCATCGCCACACACTCAGAAGTATAGTTGGAAGGATTTTCGTAGTCATAGCAGTCTAGGATAGTGCCCGAAGCGGTGGGAAGGAGCGCCGCTCCCGTATACACATAGCCAGGATCGCTTGTGGCCGTAGGTATATCAGTATTCACGTTAGTGAAGTTGACGGGCGTGACGGTGATAGGCAATACTCCAGTCACCGTGTAGTTTACGTAGCTAGTGATTAAACCAACGGCCTTAACACAGTATGCCTCGTCAAGCAGGAGGTTTATACAGTTTGCGTCGATTTCTGGGTTCAGGAAGTAGAAGTCGGTAAGGGAGATAGAATAGGCGAGAGAGACCTTGGCACATTCATCGCCTTTTTGAACCTAGTACAAATGAGCAGAAGACCTAACTTAGATAGAAGGATCACTCACCGTATACCACTAGCTGCAGTTGCGGTTACTATTGTCTATAGCATTTGTTGGGACCGCTGCAATGCCAGTGGCTACTCCAGTTGCGGTTGCGCTTGAGTCGGATCCACCAGCAGTCTGATTCAAGTAGCCACTCGGGGGACTATAAAGGTCAATATTCCGGACTCTCAAATTGAGATTGAAGCGAAATCTACTCACCTCACACACACCTCATATCCAATGAAGAAAATCGCATTCAGACAGAGGGAATTGATATTGGGGTTCCAGGAGAAGAACTACGGAAGAGTCACATTCGCGAGGCCGCCGACGACACTATCGCAAGTGTCATCAGCCTACCAGGTGTGTGTGGTGCACTACGAGGGGACACAGAGTGTCTAGTTGACTTTCGCCGCAAAGTTTTGACAGTAGAGATCCAAGTCGTTGGCTTACAGTAGGTAGTATATAGAGACTCCCAGCGACTTTGCCACGGAGTTACAGTCGTCTATTTCCTTCACCTGATAATAGTTTTCACAGCTGGTTATTGGCGTGCTGGTTACAGGCGAGCTGGTTGCAGTCGCAGTTGCATTAAGCGCGTACGCAGTTAGGGAAGTGACTGAGTAACCCGTGGCGCTGCAGCTCGACGTCAAAGAAGTGAAGCTGTCCGCCACGCCCTCATCATACCCTAAGGGGCTGTTTAATTGAGTCTCTAATGTCCCCAGCCAACAATCCGAGCAAGAACCATTAACTAGCCAAGACCCGTTGGACCAGGAGAGCAATTGCGGGTCACAGTAACTCCCGGACCTAATGATGGTCAGAATCGATAATCATTGGCAGAATCACCACTCACTCATCTTTCCGACAAGACATATCATAGGTCAACATGTACTTATCAGCGATAAATGTAGCTGGATAAACTACATCCTCAACGACGATCACATCGGTGGTCTCTAAGCAGGCTGCCTTAATGGTTGCTCTAGCGCTTTTCAAAGAACTATAGCAGGTGTCGACGCAAAGTTCATCGACTTGATCATCATCCAGAAGAGAGTTGCTGTTTAAATCAGCTTTAAGCCCGCAATTTATAAATCAGACCTACTCTAGGGACACAACGGGCAGAAATGCCGGACAGGACACATTAGTCGACAAGGCTTCTTTGCAACCATCGGTGAGACCAGGATAGCTTGTGAATCCTCGAATGCCAGCAGGCTACTGGGCAAGGGCCGTGGAAATTAGTAGAGCCCACGGGGCACACGCATCTTTAAGCAATATAGTAATCACCACTCAAGATAATGAATTAGTGAGACTGCAACCACTAGATAGCCTGGTATACAAGTATTCCAGAACTCAATTCACAAGGAAGAGAGAAGAAAAGTGGAAAAATGATGTTGGGACTTCGCTAAGTAGTTCCATATGCAGAGCAATTTTATCACTCTACATCTAGACAAAGTATATGGCTCGTTCAGCACTAGCCCCCAAGGGTACAATCGTTTCCACATCCACTTCACTTCCAATCGGGCATATCCCGGACGGGTCTCACGAGGATTTTGAGATTACTACGGAGCTCAAGGGCTGCCGCTTGGTTAGACTAGAATCAAGCATGCAGGCGAAGACTTAGCGATCACTCGAAACATAAGAAATTTTCTTTAGATCGAGTTTAGCGAGGGATTCCAAGCTACGCGAAGAGTACCTCAGTGGCTTGATGCGGATCCTTCGGCCGAGTACCGTGGGCTCCACTAGTAGTCCCTAGTAGTCCCTGGCTTAGCGTCGGTTCACCTACTCATCCGGTCTGAACCGGGGGCCAAATGGTAGGTCGTAAAATTAAATCAAACCTCGCGTGCAGTAGATCGATTTCACGCTCCGTAGTTGAGAGTATGGTCAATGGCCTTGACGAAGATTGAATTTTTAGATAGGATCTTTTGATACCGCCAATCCGAGTAGTATTTGGCTTTGTATAATCTGGCTGATTTATAGAAGCCTAGAATAGCAGAATATTTATCGCATCTTGAATTTATAGAAAACTATTGCATTATGACTCATTAAAGCTCTAGGTAGGATTGTTATTTTATTCAGGCTGGGGGAACCAGTACCTTGCCCTCAGACACGCTAACAGCAGTGCCCGTCAGCACAACCTGTTCAATCCTCTTGTCGCCATCCAACGTAACTACAACACCAATATCACTGCGGCGTCCCATTTCCACACCCTGCACAACATGGTACTGATGATTCTGACCGGCCTTGCCCTCCGTAAGTGTCAGGTACGCCGCCAACCCACTAGCTGCACTGCCAGTAGCCGGATCTTCCAGGGTTCCCAGTATCGTCCTGGACCGAATGACCTTCTTCTTCGTGACACTATCATCAACATCCCGAACAATGAAGTACACACAGATCAAACCAGCCCTCCACCCCTCATCAAGATAATCAGCAGAAACCAGCTCACCGCCGGTCGCAGGCGTAACAGCAGCCAGCGCCTCAAGCGAAGGAAGCTCGACAAACAACTGACTCATTCCATTGACAATGGAAAAGAGCGGGAAAGTAACATCTGGGCGCGTAAAAAACGGCGCCAGTGTCGGGTGCAGCCTCACCAACTCCTTCAAGCTAAACGGCGCGGCATGGATGCGCGTATTGTGCGCAACCTGCGCAGCGACGTATTTGGTCTCGCGATTCTGGACAGAGATAGGGATATTGCCTGACTTGGTGGCGAGGGTGGTGACGCCATCGCCATCCGCGGGGTCGACTGAGTGGCTCAGGAACCAGGAGGCTGCGCCAATGGTGGGATGGCCTGCGAAGGGAATTTCGCAGTCCGTGGTGAATATGTCGATAGTGCGCTTGCTCTTCTCGCGTACTGGGTGCACGAAGATACTCTCCGATAGGTTGAATTCCCGTGCGATGGTTTGCTTCTGGCTCTGGGTTAGAGCGGTTGAGTCGTCATCTGGGAGGAAGACTACTGCTAACGGGTTGCCGAAGTAGGGTGTTGATGTGAAGACATCGAGGGTGACGAACTTAAGGTGAGTCATATTGGGATATGGGATGTTCGTATATGTTGCGGATATCAACGGGGATGTCGGGATGTTTTATAGTCGAAAGATCTCCCCCACTTTTCGCTTTGACTCACCGTCAGTTTCGACTCACTGTCAAACTTCACACTAACACTTAGAATAATGCCTTTAGAATAATTGAATTATCTAAAAGGCTGAATATCTACGGCATTTGCAGGACATCTGACGACCCTCTATGCAGGAGGACAAAATCCTCCGGCATACCCCCTCCTACTCCCCCATATCTTCAATCCCTCAATCAATGCTCTACTAAAGTCAGGACATACTTCAGTGAATCGTTCCCAAAACTAATTCTCCCCCTCCGGCAGTGGCCTATGTGGACTTCGAGGCGGAGGGGGTCTGCGGGAATTGTTATGGTGAATTGCATGCTTTGGCAGTGGCATGCTGCTGTAAAAGTCTTGCTACCAAGAGCCATCTTGGGAAGACAGGAGCCGAAACTTCTTTAAAGGATGGGTTTTCACTGCTGCTGAGCAGATGTCGAGTGTGGGGAAGCTCGTATTTTTGTATGCTTCATCAGACACGAGCCTTGGCTTTGTGACATCCTTGGCAGATATCCCATCTGGCCAAAATATTAAGTCGTAAAATTGTTTTCATTGAGGTTAGGTATCCGATGCTTTACAATTCCTTTTCCATCTCAATGCCAAACGCCTCATCAGGTCATCATAATCGAAAACACATCACAAATATTGAAGTGAAAGCACTATTCGGAATCACTCTCAATCACGAATCCACCGCGCATACGTCTCCGGGCTGGAGCCACAGGCTCATCTTCCTCGTCATCATGTACAGCCTCGGGCTCTGTAGCTTTGATCTTGCTCGGGCGATCTCGAGTGAAGGCGAAATCATCATCAAAAGAAAGATCGTCCTCACCCGATGTGAGAGGGGTGTCACCGTCCTCTCCAGCGCCGTGGCTAGTAGAAATCTCCTGCTGAGAATGAGACGATTGAGCGTCAAGTTCCGCCATGAGAATATCGCCACCAGCATCATTCTCGGCACCGCTAGCAGCAGAGCCAGAATCACGACGTTGTCGCTTGGATTTTGCGGCCGCAGATGTGCCAGTATCGCTGATTCGCTTGCGGGCGGCAGATTTCTTCCCTTTGCCCTTGCTTGATGGTTCGACGGTTCCAGTGAGCAAGGCCTTCTTGATTTCTTTTGCCTGTTTAATTCGACGCTCTTCTTCGAGCCGGAAGAACTCTTTGTCAGCTTCTTCATCGCTTTCTTCGTCACTGGCATGGATGAACAGATCACTCTTGATCTTCGCTTGGCGAGAAAGTGCGTTTGACAGACGCGCATCGCGCCGCGCTTCTAGGGTTTCGTCGTCCAGCGGCTCCCTTTCCGTAGTGGCCTTCTGCTTCTTCTTACGCTTCTTTTTGAGGTCATCCAGCGCACTAGACTTTGACCGCGGATTCGCCGGGAATAAAGGACCATCTGGAATATCCTCGCCTTCGGACTGCGATCCGAAGTTGACATCAAGCGTGTCTTGGATCATGCTTCCGCGAACGCTTCCTCTATTCTTCGGTTGAATATGTTTGCGAGGATCATCATTGCCATCTCCGGAGAAAGGGTTCTGAAGGGCTTTCAAGACTTCAGAAATTGTTTCACGCAAGTCGTCGGACTTGAGAGAGGCTGGAATGACCCAAGAGGCACCAAGCACATCTTCAACGCCGAGTCGCTCGAATCCGACGACAGTCATGAGCAGACGTAACTTTGCGTTTGAGAACATGGCATTCTGAACGAACTCGTTCTTGCCTTTGACAGCTGTTTCATTCTTAGTATCAATTGAGAAATAGGGTGTTAGGGGAACATACGGATCATCGGATTGGGAACGCTGACAGTCTCGGAATTATCCGCAAGACGGACTTCTTCTTGGGTTTCCCAATCCTCTCTTTCGGAGGCTGCGGAGCTCAGGACATCCTTGATCCATGTTACCAGATCTGCTCTACCGTCGAGAACAAGAGCACCAATCACGATGTGGAGTTTCGCTTCCTTCGTCGTTGCATCCATCGATGTAATCACAAGCTCCGGCGGTGGACGCTTATAGGTGGAGATCGTTTGCTTTTCATGTCCATATTCTAGGTAGTAGACAGTCGAGTTGATCTTGCTGAACAACAATTCAGTGACCAAGGCGGGGCGTTGATCAAGCTTCTTGACTAGTCGTCGAATGATTTGCCGGACCAATTCCTCCCATTCCTTAAATACAGACTTGTTTGGGTCCATGGAGCCTGGGCCTTTGATCATTCGGTAGAAAAGGCTGATAATATCCACACGAAACAACAAGACAGTCATTTCCTGCTTGAATGCAATCCGGTAGAAATAGCGGTGGGCGCGTTTAAGCTGCTCAGAGTTAAGCTCTCGGTAGAATCCTGTGAACGCAATAAAGGTGTCCACGCAGCTTTGGTTGCAGAACTTGGCTGAGAATCGCTTGAAGTCAAAGCTGCGTTCCTTAGTGACCTGGGCGGCTTCCTCCATGTCTTCATCTTCAGAGTCACGCTCCTCGTCGTCATCTTCTCCCTCTTGCTCTGCGAGTTGAGCAGCCTTCTTTTGCCTTTTCTTGGCCTTTCGCCGGGAACGGATTTGCATGTCGGCGTTGTCTTTGGAATAGCGTTCCAGCATCCGCAGGAACACATGTGCTAACTCCGTGCAGGCATCTAAATAACCAAAGCCTTGGTCTTTATATCCGCGCAGAATAGTAAGGATCCGGTCATGGGTGGTCTCTTCGTAGAAAATTCGGTTTTGAATATTCTCGGCAATTTCCTGATCTTCTTCGAGCGGTGACAGTGCCATTTCCTGGACAGTCAACAGAATTTGGGTGAAACAGCGCATCTGGGCATTGAGGTCTTCCCATTCCTTGTTGTCCAGGCTATTCTGCATAGCCCGGTTCAAAGAAATGAACGTCTCTTGGTTCAGGGCGCCAGCAACCAGACCATAGCTATCAGGCTCAATATCTTTGGTTCTTCCTCCATTCTGAGCCGTGCGATGGCGGAGCTGGCGAGTCCGTCGTACGCGCTCTGCTTCCAGGAACCAACCGACTGTGTAGAAGAATTGGCGATGATTGATTGGCACCACACGCTCGGCTTCACGCTCGATTGCTTTTCGCACATGAGTGAATAGAGGATTGAACCCAGAATCCAAAAACTCCTCCACGAACGTCCTCAGGTTCTTAGTTGCCTCGGAATTAAGGTGAGCTGGCATGTTGAAGTTATTATTTTGGACCACATCTTCTTGTCTGCGACGAGGCCGAGGCTTATTCCACTTTTTACTTTCATCCATCTTTTGTAGTGTGGTCTGGTCGTCGCGCAAAACACCTTGTCCAGAGACAGTAGATACCTTCGCATCGTCTCGCTTGACCCAGATCATTGTACCGAATCGTCCATGGCGTGTAGGTGCATTCTTTGCGTATTCCCTCCGTACTAACGATTCCTTTTTCAGTAGATCACTGAGTTCGTCGGTTCGCTTGGCCGTTCTCTGCTCATCGTCCATGAACAACTTCTCGACGTTGACACCCTTGACAATATGGAAAAGTGTCTCCATCAGAGGAATATCTTGAAGGTTGAAGTCTTCGCCGACATTAGAGCACATAGTCAGGAGAAGTGCAAATGCGTCTTGCTCATGGAAGGCGTTGATTGTCGCCGATCTGGATGTCTCCTCCTCGTCGCCTTCTGCCACAAGTCTGGTATTGGGGGATATAATCGCAATGTTCCGCAGCAAGTACAACATCAACTTGAGGATTCCTTCGTCTCGGGTTCCACGTTCGGATCGAGGGGTCGCCATGCTCGGGAGAGAAATTCGAATAACTGCGCGAAGGAGACTTAATCCACCGGATCTGAGGATACCTCGCTTGTATTGCACCTGTGTCTGTTGGATGTAGGGGGTATGACGGTGGTGATTGACTGTCATCTGGCTATGAAACTCCACGGGCCATGTTAAGGGAACAAGAAGTTCCAAGCACGCCAGTGCGATCCTGGTCATATGCTTGCTGTTCTGTCCACTAGCCCACCAGAGCGAGAGGATCGGAAGCAGATCCCCATTGATCAAGTTGGCCTCTCCGAGGCACCGCGCAACGTCCATCCGGCTATTCTTTTCATCGTACAATTTCAACCAGCGTTTAATGTCGCGTAAACATGCCAGCGCATCGTCTCCGAGCACGTATTGGTCGGCATTTTCGCCATTGAATCCTCCGAGCTAGATAACCAAGCGTATCAGTGACTTGACCCAGAGCCAGGTCAAGGAAAAAGTGGAAATACTCACAGCAGTAACCAGGCCATAAACATAGTTACGCACATCCGGGTCCACGACTTGCACGTCATGTCCTAGAGGAACAACCTCTTCATCCATGGTGAGCGAGTTTGAACCCCCATTAATTTGCTTCCCGAATCGAGTTGAATGGAACGCGTCGACGCGTGTTCGGCTTCGGCGGTTCGGAGAAACTGGATGCCGCCAAAGTGCCGAAGATAACCGATGTTCTTACGTCGCCGATTAACGGCCGCTGCACAGTATATGGCAAAATGTCAGATCTATACGGAGTAGGTCTGAGCAGAATTACCTAGAGAACCCTTTGAGCTTGTAATTTACAGAGGCCCATTATTGTAAGTCAACCTTGGAAATGAGTCATAATATCTCGATGGTTCGATCGAATGCTCTATTACTTGATCGCCGAGCAATCATAATCATTTTCGATCTATCACTGGATTCCAACGCACAAGACCTCACATGTATTGTTCTCAAGAAATCTAGCCTAAATATTGCAAGAGCTACAATTGCTCACTAGCGCTTTCTCAAAACCACTTTCAAGGTCGTTGGGTTTCTAGAGTACTTAAAGCTTCGGGCTTCAATATTCCCATTTGGGTCCTTCCTCTGAACTATATGGACAGCAGGCAGCCCCGTAACTTCTACCCAGACCTTACAGTCTCATCTCTGCTCTATGCCCATGAGTGTACAACATTACGTATGAGTTCAACGCAATTCGCTAGAGTAATGATCGCAAGATTCCATACATATAGGCGGTGAGATATATTTCTGAATGGCCACTGTTAACCCCCATACGATGATGTCCGAAAGCACGTGAAGTCATAGCAGTATACTGGTTTGCTTCTTCACACTGACATTCTTCACTCCTTTTGTTCATTGTTCCCATAGATCCATAAACCACTGCAGCCATGCTTACCTCTGCTCTTCGCTTTGTTTCCCTTCGCCGCGGCCCTACGGTGGCCCGAAACTTCTGCTCAACCTCTGCAGTCCGGGCAGCCGAGGTCAAGTCACTGGGCGTTATCGGTGCGGGCCAAATGGTGAGTAACTCGAAATATACAACCACGCTGCAAGTCTAACAATTTTCAGGGATTGGGAATTGCTCTCGTCGCTGCACAGAAAGCAAATGTCCCGGTAACTCTTGTTGACACCTCGCAGGCCTCTTTGGATAAGGGCCTCAAGTTTGCCGGTATGCCGAGCTCCGGTTCAGTTTACTAGAATCGCCTTGAATTATCTGACATGGTATTGGATAATAGATAAACTCCTCGAAAAGGATGTAGCAAAGCAGCGCCTCACTCGAGAGGCAGCTGATGAAGCTCGTGGGCTTATTTCTACAAGTTTGACGCTCGACGGTCTCTCCGCAGTCGACTTCGTCATTGAGGCTGTGCCTGAGATCCCGGACCTGAAGACAAAGATCTTTGCCAGCTTGGCCCAGATCGCCCCAAAGCATGCCATCCTCGCAACAAACACTTCCTCCATCTCCATCACCAAGATTGCGGCTGCCACCAGCGCGGACCCCACCGACCTTCAGGCTTCCTCCCGGGTCATCTCGACCCACTTCATGAACCCTGTCCCCATCCAGAAGGGTGTGGAGATTATCCGGGGGCTCCAAACATCGCAGGAGACTATGGATACTGCCATTGCCTTTGTCCAGCGGATGGGTAAGGTGGCCTCTGTGTCGGCCGATACACCTGGCTTCCTCGCCAACCGTATCTTGATGCCTTACATTAATGAAGCCGTGATTTGTCTGGAGACTGGGGTTGGTGCCCGTGAGGATATTGACAATATCATGAAGACTGGCACCAACGTGCCTATGGGACCCCTCGTCTTGGCTGATTTTATTGGCCTCGACACATGCCTTGCAATCATGAACGTTCTCCACCAGGACACTGGTGACAGCAAGTACAGACCTGCTGGTCTCCTGCGTCGCATGGTGGATGCTGGCTGGCTTGGCAAGAAGAGCGGCAAGGGTTTCTACGACTACTAGTTACTATACTTGCCCGAGATGGAGAAAAAGCATTTCGATCAAGATACCCTCCCTGCATCATATTAATCTAGATCGCAATTGCTGAAAATAAATATTGATTACCCGCCCTCATTCATTCTCTAAGCGTCGTCCCCCCCATTAACAAGACTCACCTGCTTATTCCGCCTGCTCCATTGCAGTGACCAGCGTATTGACATCAAGATCCCCATCTGTATCCATGTCTTCATCTTCGCCACCACGTGCCGGACATTCGCATCGGCCGCGTTGGCCACAATGATAACTTATTTTCCGATTAGCGTTAACTTTTTGCCTAGGGCGTTCACGCATACCAAAATCGATGCCCACACATACAAACGATGTGGTTACATCCATCCACCTTCTCAACCAAATACAAACAATTGGAACATCTCTGCCAATTATTCTCCTTTGCCAGCTGCAACATCGCCTTCGTCTCCGAATCATGGCTACATGACCAACCGAGATGGAAAAAGTCCCCACACTTGGAGCAAACCTTTGCCCGGCAATGAGGACAGACACGATATCCTAACCGTGTCCCGGTGCTCTTTGGGGGGATCCATCGGCTACACTTCTCCCGAGGACAGTACAAGCGCTCTAGGGGAGGAATGTTATTCTCCTCCCATCGAACGATATACCGCTGTTTGTTTCGAGAACTCATCACCTTCATGAGTGCTTTGGTGGGGATCTCTTGGAAACAACATTTTGCCGGGAACATGTCCGGGTTCTTCAAGGCTGTTGAGGACATTCGTCGGAGGCATGAGGGACAGTATTGGTGTGCACAAGGAGCAGTTAATAGATTGCTCTTTGGGACATTTTGGAAGCACCCAGTGCATCTGTGAAGAGTTAATGTATTGCTTTTAATTGGTTTTCGATTGGCTTTGTGCGTTACTGACTGGCCCATTTCCTCGCCGCTAACTTTCTTGGATACGAACACTCGCTCCAAGTAGTCTAGGACTTTTTGGATGGACGAGCGGCTCTTAAGCATCCTGCCGTGGATTCGGTATAAACCTGGGGGTTTGGTACTGGGCCCTTCGAAGAGGGACAAAGTGCATGGCCAGATCTAAGAGGCTAGGGCAGAAAGACGTCCTCTTATGTAGAAGTGCAGGGTGCGCCTCATCTTTCAGGCCATATAGGGATTGAACATATAGCCATGGATGGGCAAACACTATTTTTCTTTCTTGTTCCTGAAGAGCCCATGGTCAACTATGGGATGACGGCTATATCCTAGGGGTTGCTGTCTTGTAGTCAGTGTATTAAGAGGGCTTCGGCGAGACCAACTCTTCTCCGGGCTCTCTTTTATTTCGTTGACTCGCAAAACAATGGAGATGTCTTTGAATTGTTCCAGCTAGTAGCCCTAACATAGAGGTGAGCAGTGAGCAGGCGCGGATCCATGGATCTGAGAATTTCCCAAACAGGTAAAAACACAGCTTATTCCAGAATTAGAGCGAATAATCACATCGTAATGTGAGCGTACAGTGTTCTAGCCTTAAAATAAAATTTTACGTTTTGTATATTGACCACTGACATTGAAAACTAGGGTATCACTAAATGCTATAAATGCTGTCGATTTCGGCCATCGTTAAAAACTCCCATACTTAATCCAATAAAGACTGTTCAGGCGGCTGGTACCTTATACGAGGCCGGCGAATCGACGAACAGCCCATCCTGACCCGTATTCTTGATATTCTTGGCGAGTGATGGATACCTTGCTGAGTTCCTCTCTGTTCGCTGCAAGGCGAGTGCCTCCTATCCATGTTGAGTGAACAGGGCTGTTAATGTTAGTATTTTCAGTCATGATAACCAGATGGATGACCACTCACTCCTTAGCCCTGCGTACTCTCACAACACATTCAGCAGACGCAATCTGTCGCAATTCGGTTTCTCTGTAAAAAGTTTGTCAGTAGAAACTTCAACCAATTGACTTTTGAGAACCCACAGTCTTTCCATGAATCCCGCGATCAAAGCATTTCCTCCGACAACCAGAACATTCGCCAAGAAGGCGGAGTGCAGGCCAGTAGGCAGGACCGACAAACTTTGAAGAATCATATCGGGTATGCCGGCTGACTTCATACCAATATCTCCGGGGGTGAATAGAAGCTCTGGGACAGCAAAACGCTCATTACCCAGCACCAGTACATCCTCCGACAACACCTCCGCGCTGAGCCCGGAAACCGCTCCTTTCTTCTTCTTGGCATGCAGAAGAGGATCATGCGGTCGAATGAAGCCCTTCTTGTTTGCATTCGGGTCTGGAAGGACATAGTCCAACACGATTCCCTCTTCGGGGCCACTCTGGCGCTTTCGGCCACTTCTCCATGCTTGTTCCAAATCACCCGCAAAGTCATTACTGACATAGCAGACCGCCTCTTTGACTTCGTTCATAATATATGTTTCGTCCACCATGTTGTATTGTCTCATTGACACAATCTCCTTCAGGTAGTTTGTAAGGTGCTTGCCTCCAAGATCGAGTCTTCGGATTCCGCGTTGAAGAGCTTGGCCTTTGTAAACCGGCGTCACTGTGGTGTGCGAGTAGCCAGAATCGACGACGAGCAAGCAATCTGCGGGCAAGATAGATGCGTCGGATGTATTGGAGAGAGGATCGCCGAAGAGAGAATGGATTTCATTCCATGCGTTGAGGCTTGGACCTAGAGATCTCAAGTCAGTAGGGGATCATATGTAGCACCAAATAGTCGGACTACCGTACCCAAACATCTCGCATATCCCCCAAATCCCCATTCCTCCATAACCATCTCATCAGCGTGCCGTTGTAAAATTGGCAAGGCATTCGGTGCCTCAGTAAGCACAAGCGTAGTATCTTCCGGGTCCCCAATGTGATAATTCTGATTCTGAGCCGTTACCTTCCCATCAAAGAAAGACTGGTCCCAAATCTCTCTCTCGGCTTCCCAGTTCACAACATATCCCTTCTCCACCGGGCGCCGGAACATCGCCTCATTCCAGTCGTTGACTGTCGCTAGCTGTGCACCAATCATAATCTTGTTATCACGTGTTTTGACAAGAGCATTGGGTATCGATGAACAGGCGGAAACGCTTTCGTCAGAGGCCGGGGCATGAGAAGCATAGCCGGCTTTGATCATGTAGGCGCCATTGTCGATGATAAAGGTCTTGTCGGGAAGGTACCGCGCCGTCTCCACGGGCTGTATTGGTGTTGCGGGCGTCCTTGGAGGAACGCGAGCCTTAGCTGTTCCCATAATGGCTAACAATGATGAACAAAAAGCTTTGAGCTTTCGTCAAGCTAGCATGCAATGATGAAGGTGTTTGTCTTGTTTGATACTGAAAATTCCTGCTTAGGTAATATGGTTTCACCCGCGACGGGTCGTCAGCCCTGGAGGTTCGCCGAGCTAGTCACATACAGCTCCGCCAAGGTCTAGAAGGCCGAGAAATATTCCGTCCATTGTTCACCCTCGGCAAGTAACGGGTAAGCAGAGGCTCTATCAGATGAACTCCTATGCACGCTCCACTTGGTCTCGAAGCCAAGAGGTGAGATCTATCTATTGACCACCATCGGCGCTGAAGTGTATCGGTCAAACATATTTCCGAAGCGCTTTTGGTTGCACGACATTATTCACAACTTCAATTTCGTATCTGAAACCCCTAAATGTGGCAATACTCGTCAAATACCTCAATACACGGAGAATGCACCATTTTCTGGAAGGTGGATGTACCAGTAATATCTCAGAAAGCCTCCGGCCCCACCACCCGGCAGCTTTAGTACGGAGTATATGGGCCTCAAGCCAAGCAAATTCCGACAAACTGTGTGTGTCGGAGTGACTCCACAAGACGGTCAATTGGAGATCAATCGCTGATTTCGGACGAAATACCGAGGGCGTTGAACAACTCTTGGGGTTTGCATGCTCCATACGGAGTATGGAGGGGCTAACTCGGCTAACTCCTTAGTTGGCATATTGACTTCCTTCCCCCCCCCCTCCCCAAAGTACTCCGTACTCCGTAGATAAACCACATATTCAGCCCGAAGAGCACTGATATTACAAGATGGCTGCGCCGCAAACTATCGAAGTTCCACACCTTGGTGGCATCAAGGCTGGATACGCCTTCTCTAAGAACCATTATGATCCCTCCAAGCCGACATGTGTGCTCATGAATTCGATGTGCATGACCGTGTCTCTCTACCATGATCAATTCAACAATGAGCTTTTGACTGACGCCATGAACCTTCTGGCTATTGAGCCATTAGGCCATGGCTCGACCACTTCTCCCTCGGAACACTTTACGTACTGGGATTCTGCTCACATGGCCTTACAGGTCATGGACCACTTCGGGATTCAGAAAGCCTTTGCGCTAGGGACAAGTCAGGGGGGATGGATCGTGACTAGGATGGCCCTCCTAGCCCCGGAGAGAGTAGGTCCAAGCCCTGGGGTCAATGAACTGCAGATTATGCCCCAAGCCAAGCTAAACCAATGGTATTAACATATTGCTAGATTCTCGGTCTTATGCCCCTCGGAACCTCAATGGACTATGAATCCTTGGATTCTCGCTCGAAGGGCTGTTGGGATCCTGCTGCCAATCTCACGGTGTTCTATGAGAAGTGGACCAGTACCTCGGCTACACCCGACTTCGTTGTGGATGATGTCTGGTGTGGACTGGTGGGGGGAATCGGCTTTGGTGCCGCTGCCACCGAGACGAGATCTGCGTTCTGGACTCAGACATTAAAGGAAGTGTATAAGGGTGATGAGGGCCGGAAAAAAGTTCGAATGGCACTCAATTGCCTACTGGAGCGGGATGGGCTCCTGCTTCGGATCGGGGATATTAGATGTCCTGTTTATTGGCTACAGGTGAGTCCTATGTTAACTGATATAGATGATCTGTGCATTAACAAATTAATAAGGGAACTGAAGACACTCCTTTCGGGACGATCGTTCCTGCAGAGCACATTAGACGTTTTACCTCGTCTGTGGAGGCTAAACTGGTGATGATTGAAGGGGGTGCGCATTACTTGAATGCCACCAACCCAAAGGAGGTGGATGAGGCTCTTTTGGAGATGGTAACGAAGTACAATTAGTTAGTAGTTTTCCGCTATTGTATAGAACCGAGCATAAGGAAACTGGCAAATCCACTAAAGGAACCAGTCGATAGTTCTAAAATTCAAATGAAACTATTCACCATATTCTTTTTTTTAGTTTTTTCTCGTTTTGTAACTTGTACGGAGTAACTGTCTTTTCTTGTTTTATAGGTGGGCCTCGGTATATTTCAGCCCAAACCTCCCTAAAAGGAAAGGAATTTACGACCCTTGCATCCATGTGGATATCTTTTACATATATGCAGGCCATTCATCTACTCGATGGTTCCTACCCAGGTAAAACTTACTTTACAAGGTGATACATATTAAATGATACATATGTTGTACATATGTAAGATGTATTAGTGATATTTGTGCAAACCAGAACAAATGCCTAGCCCGGTGTGGGCCATTAAGTTCAAACTCCAGACGCCAAGCTTGTCGGTTGAACGTTCAAAAGTGGGATTCCCGGGATTTACGAGCCGTGTCGAAAGCACGCAAAGATGGGACTTTTCGGTGCAGAAACTAGGCAATACCCTATACTCAGTACATAAGATTGTATTCCGCAACATTTGCTGGGCTGTTCTATGTTTATCTCCCTGAACAAAGCGTCATGGAAAGCAACCAGGACAGTCTGCAGCCATGGTCTATAGCTACCACGGCGTCTGTCACGGTGCTGGCCTTCGTGACGGTTTGTCTTCGACTACTCGCCCGTTATGAGCGGATGCAAAAGCTGTGGTGGGATGACTATATGGTCATCTTTTCTATGGTTAGTCTCATTCTCTCACTCAATTGAATCACAATCGCATAGTTGCTGATCAAACATAAGCTATGGAACCTGATCGTTGTCGGATTCATCTACGCCATGATTCATAAGGGAATGGGGCTCCACGCGGACGCTATTCCAATGGAAAACGTCATTTTGATTGCAAAGTATCTCGTTGTGGCCGAAG